AACAATAACAACGACGACGACGACGACGACGACGACGACGACGACGACGACGACGATAACGACAGTATAAATTATAATATCAACTATAATATCTTATCCCGCCTATGGCGCCGGCCTCCTGGTGGCATGCGGGGGTAACCTTCGGGAGTAATACCTGAAAGGCTAACGGCGTCAACCTCAACAAGTCAGATATCTCTCAGGACCATCGTGTTCCATTACCAACAACTTCACTCTCATCCTTTACATATCTTGACTACAACCAGCACTAAGTCGTCTTATCTTCTGGCTCGTCACCAAGTCGTCTCCATCCATAGGCTTGTCACTTAGTCGTCTCATCAGCAAAGACTGCTGTACTAACAGCAAAATCAACGGTATACTGAGGTTGACGGGAGCACTGGGGCGCGGAAAGGCAGAGAAAGTCGCTATAGATGCATAGATTATTTCACCTTTTACCTTTGTCCCTTTTTCCTATTAGGTTGACTGTGTTTGTTCCTCCGTTTTATTGAAGTGTTAGTAGATACCAAAGAGCCAAGGGCTTTTACTTCTTCCTAGATGACCTGTCTTGAATATATATAGATATGTGAACTCGAAAGAAAGATGACGGCTAGTCCGGCTACTAAGTCATGCCGTGTAATGTAAATGTACCAGTCTCTCACCGCCTGGTTAAAGGCCCATCCTTCATGGTCATGGACTAAATTGATCCCCTGAACCTGTACTTATCCTGTCTCCTGGTGGTGGTTTTCTCGCACGTGGGTTCTGTGTGGAGGCGCGCTAGGCAAAAGCCGTATCTTGTTTTTCCAAGCATCAGCAGTCTTTTTGGCCTTGGCTTGAGGTGAGCTGATCATCCCCTCCTTCCGGGCCCCAGCACTCAGGTCAGGAAATTCATGGGAAATATCTTAGGGAGCTTGCTCCGGAGTATGGTGCTGCAACGCGATATCCGCGGATAGTTGCAGCATGACTGGTCAGATAGTGGCAATGAGATGCTGGAGAACAGCAAGACGACCTTGCGATGTAGACTCTCGCTGTTCTCACCATGATGGACCCAACGTGGGAGCCAGCTCCAGAATCCACGAATAATCGAAAGGACAATACATGAGCAGTGGGATCACATGGCGTTCATTTCCCGCTCAGGGACACCGTCGGTGTTCTGAATATGAATCCTCATAGCCAGACTTAGTGCTTCGTAGGCTATTCTCCTGTATCTCTAGGAACATTGCCGAACGCCTACGGATATCCATGCCTTCGATGCCTAGGACACGCAATTGGACGTCAAACTCTAAGAATCCGAGGGCTCAAACTAGGGAGACCCTTTACACTCGTCGATACTTCTCGCAACAAGTAGAACTTCGTCTAAGTCTCAAGATTGGCCATGGGTGTATCGGTTACATTAAGAAAGGTCACGTTAGGTGTGAATACATGCCGTGTAATGATGCATTCTCCGGCAAGGCTTATTGCCTCAGTCTGTACTTATCTTTTACTCTTCTGTGGCGGTGAAGAACCCGAGTAGCCTTTTCTCTTCCTAAGTGAGTTGGCGCCAAGATTGACGCAACTTCAACCACGACAACCAGGAGCATGACGAAAACCGAGCGATTCTTTTCTTCTCCCACTTGAAGCTCTGTAGGTTTTATGCGGTCGCAAGGATCTTTGTTAGCTACGGATGGGCCATTCATGGGCCTCGGAGTGTGACTGTTGAGCCGTAGATAATATAGCTTTCAGGCACCATCGACTCTTCCAAGTTATCTTCGCGATCAGAGTCAATGCTCAAATGCCACTGCCCAGAGCTTCCAGTTCCTGGCATGTACTCCATCTCGAAAGCGATGAATTTGAACTAATTGATAAACTATGCTGACATATATAGCATATATAAGAGCCAAAAATACCCTGATATGTCTATCTGCGGCTGGATCGAGCAGCAACGAGCCCCCCTTTTCATGTAGCGCACAGCTTTGATATCGCTAGCCGATGAAGGATTTATGGAGACCTCCAGACCTAAATCTGGCAAATGGTACTGAGAAAGACATCTTTCTCAAGGACAGAATGGCTTTCACTTATCCAAATCCCTTGTTATTTTGGGGGGGGGGGGGGGGGGGGGGTTCAGTGATGCCTCAGATTGGGGCGGTCTTCGAGCCCTGGCATGTATCAGCCTTGGCGTTGTTTTCGATTGACTTGGTGTCGTTGTGTCTTGTGCCTCTCAGTGGGATTCATTACATGTATTCTTACGTGTGATGTTGGGCCAGGAATCAGAAAGATGGCCATCGACTGACTTTGTCCCTTCCTCAGGCGCCACTGTTTCGTCTCCAGATTTGCGAATGCTCTCCGCGACCTCGCCTCCCCGGTCAGTCTCTGTACTTACGCGAATAAGTTCGTCTTCAGGCTCACTTCCTATCACGAGTTCCTAATGCGGACAGTTCTTCCTCCGTTGACCATCGAATACCTCTTGAAGGCTGATGGCATGATATCGATGCGGACTTCATCACAAAAGGTCGGTCTTGAATAAAAGAAGAAGAACAATGAAAACAGCGTAGTAGTAGACCTCATCAAAAATATTCAATACACCCAACTGAATGAAGAGGAACTCAAATGAGACGTGAACGATCTATGAGAAATAACTGTGTCGTCTGATTTCTCAGATGATATGATCCGGCGTACGGCAGCCAAGTATACAAGAAAAGGAGTGACAGACCTTTTTGACTGTTTGAGACATGTGAAGAAGCATAGAGACAAACTGGAGAGGAGACAAGTCTAGGGTATGCTCACTTCTAGGGTGATGTGCAATGGGCATACAATGTTGTTGATACGGAACATGGGACAGCGGTGCCTGTGGACTGGCAGGTCGGCGATTCGGGAAGCGATGCATACCACTCCAGGCTGAATCAGTTGTCGCAGCTAAGGATATCAACTCTTTGTAAACGATAGTCCTGGTTGCTGGGTACATCGGTTAATACCAGCGAATAATTGATGTTGTACATTTCCAGTCGGCTTGGAACGAATGATGGAGAGCAAGAGGCGCGCATACGTAAGTGCTTCAAAGCGTTCGGTTCTTTGCCAAACTCAACTGGTAGTAAGGCAGGGTCGCGGAAAAGCTTACGGGCCACTGGACTTGCTCTACATTGGATGTGTCTGGGGAGAATGATTTTCGTGTTGACCGCGGATTGGAGGAAGGCAGCGATTGTGGGTGAAATAATCTCCGCAAGGTACGAGCTTTTTCTTGATTGGGCAAAAGGCAATTAATGCCTTCGTAGCAGCGTTGGTGTTGATATGCAGTAACGAAGCTTAAGACAGAGGGATATCAACCTCGGATTGGTATCACAAGACGATGCCCGGATCAGAGAGTGCGGGCCCAGATTCACTTTACAGTAGTGGTCGACGGGTCGCGAGAATCCATAGAGCCGGCCCAAGAACCATAGAGGGAGCCTGCCCGGCGCATGAAAGCCCCTGAAATTAGACATCGGCCGCGGTATAGACATACATGTATGAATACTTGGGGCAGCTTGGCTGATGAGACAGTTCTCTGTTCCAACGGTGACACGACGCACCGAGTTCAGGTTGCTTCTCACAGCATATTCAACTTCTTAGACTTCGTATAAAAGGTCTTGTAACCACTTCGAGTGCGTGCTTACGAATGGGCGACAGTAGCACTGCTACAGAAAGATTTTACATGTATGCTTTGACGGAATTGGTTGCTGTGGGAAGCTGCAGGTTATCTCGTCTGATCCAACAGTGGTTCTCATCAGCTACCAGATTGGCAGCAATTAAAGTTGTCAAGACACCCGGGGAAAGGTTGCTTGGCGCCGTATTCGTAATATGGCTGCACCGCCACACTGTGGGACCGAGAAGTTTGGAGAGGATGCCACAGAGTGGCTGAGCTGATCAGCAAGGTTCATCCGACTCGGACAGGGCTGGCGGCCGAAAATTCGCCTCCTTGAGCTTTCTGGGTTTTTCTTGGGCAATCAATGCAGATCTGACGTAGGTCGAGGCCCTGGCACAGATGATGAAAGTTGTCGCCATCTGCCTGCATGATCTCCAGGCGAGCTGTGTCCTCAACCCCGGCTGCGATGGCGGATGGCAAAAGGATGACGAAGGAGGGGTCCGAACGGTACGTACCTTGCCCCCCTTTCACAGCAAGAGTCAAGCTCCATAGCGGGTGGAGCAGGCCAAGCAAGCAGCATGGGGTTGTGTCAAGGTGCCGGAGGGGGAGGAACGCGCGCGAAACAGGTCCAACATCAGAAGCTCGCTCCTCGTCAGAAGCATCCTGATCTGATGGTGGCTGTGCTACATACACCAAGACACAAGCCGAATCAGATTGGAACACGGGAAGCCTGCGATGCTCTCCAATACCGCACTTATCCGAGTCGAAGGGGCAAAAGGGGTCTGCCGTCAGAGGTGTGTTTGCTTGCTTCTGTCGAGCGCGAGTGTACATCTGGTGGTTCACAGGGACAGTGGACCGGGAGGGAGCACCTTGAAATAAGCCGCGTCCAATGACGTCGCCCGCCGCTGAGAGGCCTCTCGGGGATTGGGGCACGTACCAGCGGTACCAACATCCATCACCGCGATGAGCTAGTGTAGAGTACGGCAGACCACCAACAGCAGCTGTTTAAGCGCCATGCAAGCTGCTTCGACACTCGTTCAATCCAACCACAACCGCCCTCCCTACACCCCGAGCCTGCCTATCCAGAGACCAACTGCAGTCGTCACAGCGTCTCACAGCATCGACCTGGTGCCACTTGTCGCGTTTATTTACCTCGCCTATTCAATCCTTCGACAAACTGAGCCCACTCACTCTCCTTCCCTCCCACTTTGCAAATCAACATTGGACCCCTAAAGACTCCGAGACTCCTTACCACACCTCTTTACCACCATAACCATCGGTCACTTCTCGAGTCTTGATTGACCGCAAGCTACCATCTCGCAAGGTCTGGCCTCAGGTAGCCAAGGACGACATCACTACGCTTGCTTGCTTGCTTTGCGCAACACCCCACTCCACCTTAACCACCACAACCATGGCTTCGGGACACAATGTATGGTCGCGAGCAACCAGACGACCCTGGGACCAGCTTCACTGACTTGAGTCCAGGACCCTAAGCTTTTGTACGCCATCAATGGTGTCAAGGCCTTCCACATCACCAACGGCAAGGAGGAGTCTCTTACTCCCGCTGGCCCTCAGACCTTGTCGCTGTTGATGGTACCAACCTCGTCGCCCTTCTCCTCCGACGGCGGAGAATCTCCGCCCGAGGACTTCTACCTTCACCTGCACCTGCCTCCCGAGCTCGACCTCCCTCTTCCTGCCACCACCCAGATCTACCACCAGCCGCCGACGAGCTACCTGATTCCTAGATGGGACTTGGGTCCGGACAGCGGCGCCTTCACCCGCATCCAGTTCCCAGACACTGGCAGCAGAAAGGGATTGCAGGAAGACGTGGATACCTTTGAAACGATCCTTGCGCAGTGTACTGCCTTCCTCGAGCGCGCCCCGCCGCCCAAGACTACCTCCTCCAAGTCCAAGGCGGCTGCCGCCGCCGCCGCCGCCGCTTACCCCTATGACGACCCCGTCTCCGACAACTTCACCTCAAAGTCCAGAGCTGCTGCCGCCGACGGTCTTCCCGCTTACAACCCAGCCGATTACCAGCCTGGACAGGGCTACGCACAGGGGGCCCACAGCTCGTCCAACAACGGTGGCAGGATCGTACTCATCGACGAGGAGGATGGCAGTGTCATTGGCGAGCTGACGGACAACTACCAAGTGAACGAGGAACTGGGCGTCAGACCTGGCACGAAAGGTAAGTACGGCGGCCACTCGGCCGAGCTTGACTCACATGGCATGCTAGATCCGGTGGAGATCACACTCCCTGCCGACAACAGCCAAGCCATTACCGTCCAGCCCTTATCGCAGGAATACCGCGAGATGATCATGCACCCTTCGTACAAGAAATCCTTTCTAGTCTCCAATGCCTCCAAGGCGTCGCGCCTCATCGTGACATCGTCCGACTTGGTCACCAAGGGCCTGCAGTCCTCGGCTGACAGCTTCTCCAAGAAGACGAAGCCGACGAACGAGCCCGTGACATTCACGCCTGCGGCGCACGACCGCATCCGTCGCATAAACCAATTCTCTACCAAGGCGGCCGGTTTGTCAGCGACTACGGTTGGCGCCGTGGGCAAAGTTGCCCAGAACCTGGGCGCTACCCTGACTAGGAAGAAGGACGGCGGCGGAAGAGGCTACGACAGGGACGGCAACCCTATTGAGGGTTACAAGCCTGGTCTGTTGAACAGAAGCTTGATGGCGTTCAACACCGTCGCAGACGGTATCGATCAAGCCGGTCGCAACCTGCTGACTGGCACCTCTTCTAGCGTGTCCCAGATGGTAGAGCACCGCTGGGGCGCCGAGGCTGGCCAAGTGTCGCGGCACATCGGCGGTGGGTTCAAAAATGTCGGTCTGGTCTATATCGATGTGACGGGTGTTTCTCGCAGGGCCATCTTGAAGAGCGTGGCCAAGGGCATGGTCGTTGGTAAGGTCAAAGGTGGCGGACAGATCATTGTTGGAGGCGGTGATGGCGGCTCTGTCGCCCTCGCTGAAGACGCCAAGACCCGGAGGGACGACCAGAGCGACACGGCCAGCTTGTACACGGCATACGAAGGCAATGGCAAACAGCCAACTGGAACGCGACCATGAGGGTAAAGTGGCTGATGGTCGGAAAATTGGGAGGAGAAAGTTTAGAGATTCAGGGCCCAAGCATTGTCAGGGTATGTTTGGTTTTTTGGGGTTTTTGAATGATATCAGTGTCAGTGCTCATGTACATGCCCCAGGGGCAATTACCTTTCATCCTTTCCTTTCGCAGAAGCGTAAGCAGTACGAGTATACCTGCGGAACACGGCCCAATTTAGTAATAGCAATTGAAAGCTCCTATCAAAGATTCGTTGCGTCCGTTAACATGCCCTGTAGTACGTCCATTCCAGCGTTGGAACGAACTTAGACAGAGAGTGTGAAACACTCGAAGCTACTGGTGCCGGCGGTGCTTATCTAATCTCACACAAAGTCACGTGCTGTCTGAAGACGGATGACGCGGGTCCCGACAAGCAGCCACTTTAGGCTCTACGTCGCGTCGAGTCGCGCTTTCACTTGCAAGCCCGTCTCCTCCATGCGACTAGCTGTGATATTGGAAGGAACCAGGCACTCAGCATGGAGCCTCCTTGACGTCCGGCGCAGTTCTTATTGTGGCTCAAATTTCCTGGTGTCCCAATTGTTAGGCAGAAACCCAATTGGGCTCGTGCTACGAACAATAGTTATATGCAGGCAAAACGCATCAGGTAATTTATCCATCCGCCAACCATCAGTCCATCATCGCCCTTTGGCTCCCTTCTGCCCCTCCATCCCCACCAGCTTCCGGAAGACAGCCGCTCTTGTTTTCTTCTACACTTTACTACCTTTACATTCACTTCGCCCGAAGAGTAAATGTGTCGCTTCGAGTTATTGGGCGCCTTTATTCTGCTTCTCCGCGACTTTGGCGAAAAGCCAAAGTCAAAGAAGCCGCCACAACCCCGCGAAATGTGCCAACCCTCCCTCTCCCCTGCATACTCATTTATGGTACCTTGACCGGCTAATATCTTCTCTATCTCGCTCTGCCGTAGAAGCAAGCGGCCGTCATGCTCCACGAAATCCTCCTCGCCCTCTCCGGGCACCCCTCCCCTCTCCTCCGGACCGACAACCCTGACCCCAACGCACCACCAACGGCCGTCTCACCTCCGGAGCGCGAGCTCTTAGCCACCGCTGCCCACCTCAGCGACCTTCACGTCAAGCTGCAAGGCTACACCGGTCCCATCGCCGCCGAGCATCCGTCCACCATCTGCCGCGCCGTCGCGACCGCCATGCAATCTGTCCATCTCGCTGCTTTCCAGCGCAAGGTTCTCGAGGTTGAGGACACGATCTTGCGTAGGGATTCGAGCCTCGTCGGCGCGTACAACATTGTGCCTCTGACGGCCGTTGTCGGGGAATTCTCCGAATGGACGAGGCGGATGGAGTGGCTGTGGGAGATTGTGCAGTTCATGCTGAAGAAGCAGCAGGGTCAGACGTGTCGCGGCGCACAGCTCATTGATAGGTTAAGGAGCGAGCTGCAAAGCGGGTACGTGGATATCGAGCGGACAGCCATGAGTCTAGTCTCCGTGGCAGAGACGGCATGGTTGAAGCAGGTGTCTGCTTGGATTCTCTACGGGCGCCTGCCGACGTTTGGGGGCGAGGACTTCTTCGTCCAGAAGACAGATGGTGGCGACCAGGTAAGCTGCTGTGGCGAGGCGGTAAGGAGTTGTGAGGACTGACTGATATAGGGCTTCGTGTCCGTGCCGTCTCTGCTACCCAAATTTGTAACGCCGGCAACCTCATCGTCGATGCTCTTCATCGGCAGATCACTGAACCATGTCCGCGTCAAAAGCAGTGTCGAATCCGGCCTGCAAGGCCTCGACCACCTCTCCTCTCAGCTCAAAGAGCTGTCCGCCTTAACATACCCTCTTAATACGGCCGGCTTTTCGCGTGCCATCACATCCATCCGCCTTACTCTCTCACGAACAATATTGCTGAAACTGTTACCCCTTACGAAAGTCGTTGAGGCCCTCCAGGTTCTGAGGGAGTTCTTCCTACTAGGCCGAGGCGAATTCGCCATGGCCTTGACGCAGCAGGCGGATGAGAAGCTACGCAGCCGGTGGAAGCGGTCTGATAACCTCGCGTATGAGAAGCGCGAAGGGCTGGGTACATTCGCGGTCAAAGAGGGCGAGGTTGCGGCAGTGCTGGCCAAGACGTGGGCGGCAATGGGCCTGATGCAGGGCCAGCACGCTGATGAGGATGAAGGGCTAGAAATTGCACGCAAACTCCTGCGGTTGAACCTCACAAAGTCAAAACCGGCGGTGCCCCTGAAGCTCGAAGCTAGCGTGTCACGGCCGACGACAAAGACCCTGGCCACGACCCCGTTTCGCAACCTCCTGCTCTCCGTCCCGGTCGTTTTGACAATGCAGATTCCCTCGCCCCTCGACATGTTTCTCACTCCTTCCGATCTACAGATCTACTCCACCATAAACTCATACCTTCTATCCATCCGCCGAGCACACATACGTCTCACCGAGTTGTGGAAGATCACATCTCTTCGTCGGCATCATCCGGCACCACCAGGGCCTCCCGCCGGAAGCACCCGGGTCGGACGTTCCAAAGTCATATTACTTCGCCAACGCTACGCGGCGCGGTCCAATGCTTTACGCAGTGCTTGGGTCACATGCAGCGCATCACTGTTCTTCCTCTCCGAGACGGAGGCTTACCTGCAAACCGAGGTTGTAGCAGGGCTTTGGGACGGCTTTCAGGCCTGGCTGACAACGAATGAGAAGAAGGATGCCTCAAAGCCCCCGTCAGAGGTTGAGGCCGAGGCTGAGGACGAGAACGAAGACGATTGCGATGATATCTGGCTCGCTCAGAGCACACCTGCTAAGGAGACGGCCCCCAAACCAACAGACTCGGGTCCAGTTCACGACCCTCAGAGCCTTGCCACTGCCCACCGGGCCTACCTCCGGGCCCTCTCTACCCGCCTCCTCCTAACCTTTCCATCCTACACAGACCCGTTATACAACCTCCTTACCCACACCGACCATCTCGTCGCCCTGGTGCAGCGCCTCCATACGGTCTGGACGTCTATGGACCTCGAAGCGGACGCCGGTGTCGTCGACGCCTTTGTTGACCTCGAAATCGAGGAGCAGGAGGTCCGTGCCGCGATCCGCGACGTGGAGAAGCATGTCAAGGATGGCATCCGAGACGTCATTGCTGCGCTGCGGTCGCTGGAGGCGGATCCGGCGGCGTTCGCGGACGAGGAGGAAGGCGGCGAGGAGGGCGTGCTGAGGGAAGAGGGGGAGTACGTGCCGCGCAGGGTCGGTGGCGTGGAGAGGTTACTGATGAAGCTTGACCTGGCCGGGTGGTTTGGGGAGAAGAAGGACGATTTCGGATTCATGTTTAGCGAATATTGATCAAGCAAAGCGATGATGTGATGATTACTGCGGTGCTCCTCTTCCCGTTACACTTGCCGCTCCCTTCCTGCGGAAACTGCACAGCTCAGGCGGAAAGAGAAGCATCACACGGAGAAGGTTCTCCCTAGATAATAGGCGCGAGAAAGTCTTCGAGGCGCCCCTCATAAAAGAGCAAGATTTCGACGCAAGCACACTCCGTATCTTGCATCCCGACTCTTCTCTCGGGGAACGTTCCTGTAGATAAAGGCCCACGCGGGCTACGATCAGCTAAGGTGGGTACATTACGGCAAGTCGGGTTCTCCTCCTGTGTGCATCTCTCGGGCAGGAGAGGGGTGGTGGGGAGGGTGCAGGCGTTGTTCGTGCAGTTTCGCCTGCGGCGTGTGAGACGACTGGAGCGCCCCCCCCCCCCTTCCCCCCCTTTCAGTGCGAAGCGAGCGAAAGGGGGGGGGGGGGGGGGGAAAGGTCGAAGAGGGCGCCGGCGGGACGGACACGGACCCGATGGGGCCGGATGGGGCCGGATGGGGACGCCATGGGGTTGGTCATGCGCCAGAGCGGAGCCGGTGGTGGTCCGGTCCGCAGGCGTCAATTGTGGCTGCGGGGACGGCTGGACATTTCCCAAACGGAAAAAAAGAAAAGAAAGAGAAGGAGAGAAATTGGCGGAGAAGGAAATAAAGAGTGAAATAGACGAGGGGGTACTGCGCGAGGGGGGTGGGGGGTTGGCGGTTCCGAGCAGCTATATCTCGCGATGGCGCGCGGGCGGTAATAACGTTGGTGCCGTCCCGCGGCAGTTGTCGGTCTAGTAGGGCAGTTTTTTCCCCTCTCGTCCAACATTTGGGTCTAACGGAGCCGCATAGTTGGGGTTCAAGGTCATGTGTGGACGAAAAAGGGGCTCCTTCTTGTATGGTTACTCCCGCCCAAGTAATGGGTGATTCAGGGAAAATTGCATCAGGATATGATGCATATTGTTTTCATTCATGAGAGGCTCGTCCTGTGGGACAATACTCAAACAAACTATCGTATCATATCGTTTAAGCTCTTCCTCCGATTCCAGATCCCAATGCACCGGAATGTACGCCTGCTGGAATGCATCCTCCCAAAGAAAATAGACAGAGATGTACACACGTGGAAGGTAAAGAGAAAGAAAATAAGGGCAAAAGAAAGAAAATCAAGAAAAAAAAATCAGATCATCCGCTCCATGTCTGTTGAAGCGGGAGGGATCATACGCTATCCTAACCCATCATATCCTATTGCTGTGTATCGACTGTGTGTACGTGTGTATGCGATTTATCTGCAGTAGCGCAATTTGCTGTCCATTATAGGCGGCCTCCTTTTTTGTTTTGTTTTTTTGGAGATGTGCTGTATCCGGTTTGCAACTTCCATCCGGAAGAAGCTAGTTCTGCTTTTGACGAGGCAAGGAAACAAGAGTCGTAATAATACTGGAAATTTTGATTGAGACGAATCTGCTTGAAGCATTCCGAGACTGGTTTTCGCATTGCTTCAGTATGTCGCAATCGAGCGTTGTCGTAGCGGACCAGAAGTATGGTCCGAAGCGCGGCGAAGGAAGAGTTGCTGTAAAAACGCCCGAGGCCCGACGTACTCGACGTTGACCGTCCGGGACGTCAGGGGTACCGGAATGTGGTGAATCTTTTTCGTCTGCCAGCGGTGCTTGATGCAGTCATCGACGAGAGCCACGAGGCCCGTGGCAACGATCACGTCGGCGACGTCGGTGACGGCGTCAAGGACGCTGCGATCACTGATCCACATGTGGCAAGGGGGCACCCAGCCGCCGGCGCTCTCGTCCTCGACAACCTGGTTGGGCGAGCGCGTCTCGGGGACTATGTGGGCAACGGCATCCCTGGCGTTGTTGTTCCCGTCCTTGACAAGGTGGAAAGAGACAGCGCCGAGGTTCTTGTCCAGGACACGCTTCCACTGGTACTTGTGACCCCACCATTCAAACTCGTAGCGCTTGTTGTTGGTGCCGCCACGGCGCGAGACGTCAACGCGTGCGTAGTTGGAGAACTCGAGCTTCATGGTGTTGCTGGGTATGCGGCGAGCCTTGGGCTTGGGCTCAAAGGAGGCGGACCGCCGGAAGTAGCTCGCGGTGTCATCAGTGCTGTTGCGGGAAGATGAGGCGCTGGACTGCGGGCGCTGAGAGGTTACATCCTTTCCCTTGCCGGCGAGGAACGAGCCGCCAGAGTTTGTGCGCGGTAAAGGTCTCCTCATGGAAAGGGTCTTGATGGCGCTCGAAACCGACCGCTGCAGCGTTGGCCGTTGCTCAATGGCCTCTTCGACGTACTTGCGCTTCGAGTTGCAGACTTCGCGGCCGGAGTCGCGGCAGTATCTTCGAAGGGAAAACTCGCGCTTGGCGAGGTCGTGCATACGCAAGTGGAAGAGCTGGATATTGTGGGGGCGGCGACCGGGGACGACGGTGTCGACTCTCAAGTTCATGTTGCCGTCGGGGGTGAACTCGTCGTGGGAGATGGATAACCTGTTCATGGAGGGGAAAAGCTTTGCAAAGTCTTGGGGGTTTGAAGGGCGGACATCGGTCTCGATGATATCGCGGCAGTAGGCGGGCAAAGGCGGGATCTCCTGATAAGGGTCAAAGTCGTCCATCTCGATGTCGCGCATCAGCTCGAGCTCGTCCTCGTCATCGGAGGCTAAGCTGGAGTCGAAGGTGTCGACAGAGGATCGTAGACAATTGCTCGTGGAAGGGGATACATCCTCCTCGTAAACAGGCTGGAACTTGTGGGAGACGGCCCTAGCTTCCTTGACTGATGCCTCGGTGCTTGCGTAGTAGGAAGTGGGTGTTGTGCTTTGAGATTCATACGTCTCGAACGAGTCGCATGACTCATTGCTCCTCCGGGAGCCGCGACTACATGTCGAGCTCTTGGAGCTATTTTTTCGATATGAATCAGACATTGTGAATGTGTGTATATATATGTGTATACGTGTTTGTGTGTGAGAGAGAGAGAGGTGTGGTGGTGGTGGTAGTAGTGTACAAAGTCAGTCGAAAGGTGGTTTGATAGTTAGATGGTGACGGTCTGTGGTGGTGTATGAGTATGCCGAGACCATCGAGGGAGGGAACAAGGCTTCATATATCCCAAATGAGTAAAAAAAGCCCGAGAAAGAGGCGCGTCAGGTCGGGCTATGGGATCTTTAAGGGCCAGTGAGCGTGTGAAGTATTGTGCAGCTAGTGAACGAGTAGGTAGGCAAGGCAATGAATGAATGGTATGTGTTTGACTTTGCGACCGGGGTCTTGGTTTCTGGTGAGAAGCTGAGGCGAAGGAGACGGTTGGATGGAGCAGGGGTATGTAAGTGAGTCGTCCGGGCGCGTGTGGGTGTGATTCGGGGCGGTTGTCTATAATGGAGGTAATGGAAAGTTGAGATGTGAGGATGATTATGAAATGAGTAGGTGTTCAGTAGGGTGTGCTTGGGGGGCAGAGAATATAACGATCGGGCAGAGAGAAAAGGCAGCCCGAGGAAACAAAAATGCAGAATGGTAAGGGTAATAAGTGATGATGGAGGGGGAGCCGGGGGGTGCCGTGGGATGGGGAGGGAAGTGGTTTGCTTCTCGACAGAGGGTGGGCAGGCAGGGGGACGGCCTGTACAGTCGGGGGGGGGGGTCGGATCTCAGTTGTCGAGCTGTTGGCCTGATGCGACACCACCCGGTTGGAATTGGAACAACAGGCCCCGGTCCGTTTTCCACCCTTCCTTGCCCTTCTTCCCCTTCTTGGCCCTCAGTGTGCCTTGGGGTCTACTATGTAGTGTGGCACTGGGTACCTAGGTACCTAGGTAGTGTCGCTGCTGCTGCTGCTGCTGCTGCTGCCGCTGCCGCTGCCGCTGCCGCTGCCGCGTGTCGGTACGTGGGTAGGTATGCAACGCTTGGATGTGGGCTCTCCATGTCTCTCTCGCCCGCTAAGGATTGAACACGATACGATGCCGGATGGGGGTTTGAAGGCGGCAGCAGAGAGGAGAAACATCTACTGCTACGTAGTCAGCGTGTCCGGAAGGCTGCTACGAGGGGGACGAGTCGACAGAATGGGCGGAGGACGTAGCTACATCAGGAATGTGGATGCGTGGCCCACGGACGAGACAGGACAGGTCGTGGACTGGACAAAGCCATGGGCAAGTCACGCTCTCTGCTTCATCTTAAGCGTGGAGAGAGGGAGAGAGAGGGGGGGCGAAGATGGATGAGTAACTAACTGTACACACGTGTGTACGTTAATGACGGACGAGTGGGTTACCGCTGCAAGGCTCCGAGACGTGTACATGGCGTACATAGTATGGTATGTATAGGTACATACTGCTGTACACCTGGCAGGGGGGGCATCAACCAGCACGGCTTGCGTTTTGGGGAAGGAAGGAAATGGTTGACAGAGAGTGTGTGCCCCCTGTCAAAAATGGTAGGTATGGATGGACCGAACTTTCCTCCGAGTGTGTGTACGGATACTCCGTACAGGTATACGGATACACTAGGTATATCCGTACTTGTACGTCAACTACCTGGGATGGGTAAAGGTTATGTTCGTCCAGTTTCGGCGAACCCCCGGTACGCCGGTTCGCCGGCACCTACCTACCTGTAATTATGTACACTAGGTACTACTATGTATGTATCCGTATTTTTTCTGAGAAATGCCATCTTGGCAGGCAACGTGCCTTCATGAAGTGGCACCACACGTCTCGCGGCTTAGCTTCCGGTGGCATGTTTCCTAGCGACCTTGACCCTGTACAAGCCTGGCCTGGAATCTGTTCCCCCCCCCCCCAATCGTCCCGCTGGAACGGACAAAATGGATACCTGCTTGGAAGCCTATGCTTGTGCTTTAGTCGAGGTATCTTGGAGGTAGGTACGATGGATGTATCCTTCCCAGGAAAACTTGGGCTGCCTGTTTGGCAACCAATCTTTTTTTTTTTTTTCGAATTTTCTTTTCTTTTCTCTTTCTTTTCTTTTTCATGATTGATCTTGTTTTTTTGCTTTTTATCTTCTATTCTTTGTTTCATAATACATTTTCTATCCGTAGTTGGAGCTCCAAAACCAAGCTTGCCATAGTTGATTATTCCAGCCTGACGATGACGAAAAACTCTCCGGCCTGTCAAAATCCTGAGCAAGAAGCTGGCGTCTCTCGTGGCTGAGCAGGAAAAAAGAAAAAAAAAAAGAGAGAAAGAGCAAGAGAGAGGAAAGTCCCTGCCTTACCTGCACGCACTATTGAACTCACAGAGTCCGAACCAGAACAGAACTCAGGCGGTTTTCGGATGGTCCTCCGATTCACTGGCTATCCCAGCAGTGACGGAAAAGTCGTAAACCTGCCTGCTTGGACAAGAAGCCATTGGGAAATGCCCAATGACCAAATCATCCCGCAGCGATCGTCCGTTCTCGACCTTCTTCGACCCTCCATCCACTCCATTTTTGTTGCCCCACGAGCGTACCTATCGATCGGTAGGTATTCTCTTCCCTTTTGGTTGACGCATCAACAATCGCCAACCCTCGCCATTCTTGTCCTCTTTGCTCCGTTACCCTCCGCACTCGCTCGTGTACACTAGCCCACACACCTCGTCCATCTTCGGGCTCCACCCATATCACCTTATCAAGGCTTCGATCTGCATCTAGAACATGCTCCCATCTTCTCCCCTCCTCCGTCTGCTTCATTCGCTAGCAGCTCGGTTCTCTTGCTTCGCACGACTTGACTCTCTATCGTCTCACAATCAATGAACCCTTGCACATCCCGTCAAACTCCGTCTCACCCACAGCCACAGCACGCGCCAGCAGCGTCCAACTCGCCCCTCGGTGGACCATGCCGACGGCGACGCGACCCGTCATCGTCGCATTCAACCCCCATACGAACTCAGGAGACCTCTGGGAGCCTGACTTGTTGCCAATAGCCACCCTACCGCGTGCCTGCAACCTTGGGGAAAGCCTGCGTGCGCCGACATGCAGGCCGTAGTGTATGTGTACGTGTAGACTGAGCGGATGACACATTGTGCGCAACACCAGGCCATTGTTCTACACCCCACGATTCGTCCATGCAACTGCATGCACCACCGCTTGTACAGCCCTTAGGACTAAGCCGCGTCTGGCTTCTGTGTGGTGTAATACAATGTACCTAGCCTACTTGCCATGTACGTCCGTGGTAAATGCTATTGATATTGACCAAAGTCCATCAATCCATCAAGCTCACGGCCGCTTCATCACCGGACGGAGCACGAGACGCGACGCGAAGCCCAGACGCTAGTAGTATACAGATATACAGCTAGCTAGCTTTTGACAAGCAAGCCCCACCAGCTTCGTTGGCTGCCCCGTCTCCTGCGCTTAATTTAGCTTGCCCGTCTGTGCCCGCCACAACCAGCCGCCATCGTGACGCCGTCCCTCCCCGCGATGCTTCAGCTGGCCTGGGATGGCCATGACTGTTGGCCAACTCGGTTCCGCAAGCACCTACGACCGAGTCTTGTGGTCAGCGTTCGCTTCGCCTGACGCGGACGCGCTCCCGGCGTCGAAACTCACACTTTGTCGCGAGCCCCTGGTTGCTGAGATTCAACACCACTTCGACAACTCATCCACGGCTTCTCCTTTCCTGCGCCTACGCTGATGCCCAACCTCATGAGTCAGCCCCACGACCCGGTCAAAATCGAGGCTGCACCACCCATTTGACACCGCCGAGGCCCCATAGCCAATTGCTTCGTTGTCCCCTAGGCACCCAGGACGTGGTTCCTGCAATTCCGACTCGGGAAGGCTTTTTTGGGGGGGACTCGGGGGACCTGGTCTGGACACTCATGCTGCCTGGTCCCCGCTGCACTTGGCGCAGAAATCCCCATCCGCTGCTCAAGTCCCATCTTGTAAATCCTCCCCACGCATCATCGACGGCTGTGGAGGCTTCTACCACTTGCTTTGCGGCTTGACAGCTTGGGGGTGTGACACAGCAAAGTTTCTGAACGACTGCGAACTGCCAAGCTCCCCCGACTTAAGACGTTTGTGTGTCTCACGGCCTTGCATCAAGGGAGATAGGCATGCTCAGAGAGACTTCTTCCCTCCCCCTTCCTTTTCTGAATTCTCAATGTATCCCCGTTTGCGCGGTGCGGCCACCTTGGCCTGGTATCGGAGCCGTGTGTCAGATGCTGATTCGCTGGATCTACAGTATCACTCACTATATCCGTCGCCCGGCCCTGGTCCGGTTAGTTCTCGAGTATCGAACACATGCTATCGTATGGTCATGTTCTTTGTATTCGACAGGGTCTGCCAGCTGCTGCTGTAACCCGTTGAGTAGCGCTGCGTCCCGTCTCTACCAATCTGTTTTCGTCCTTTGGCGGCCCAACTCACGCCGCAGAGCCGTGCAGGGCGAACTATCAGGCATCCCGATTCTATCTCGAGACTGGGAAAAGCAACCAGATGGCATCGAAGCTCGCGCCCCGGGACCTGTGGCCTGTTGTTCCGCGGCACGGCCGTCGCGCTTAATCGAGTTTGAACCTGCGCCCCAGACTATGCGGCGCTGCATGGCTTTCAACTTCTCTGACGGGAAACCTGACAACGGCCGCACATCTATGCAAAGGGAAAGGCTATCTTGGACTATCAGTCAGTAGTTGGGTGCTGCTGAGGAGGACAAAAGCCTGCTCCCTTTACCGATTAGTGACCGTCCCTTGATCGGCGTTCATCCGGGCCACTATCCGACGATTGGCAATCGCTGGACCTTGCCGCAAATGGCGGGGCCCACGAAATACGACGTCGTCGTTGAGCGGCATCCTCATATTCGATGCCCAAATCGGTATGGCTCGTGGGATACAGCGGGCGGATACCAGCCAGACCATGCTGCGGACGTGTCCCTGCTTGGGGCTCCTCGACCCTGATTGTCGGGATTGGAAGTCGAATGACCTCGCTGCAGCAAGCAAACGTGAACGCCGTCAATCCCAAGCTATACCAAGGTCTTGGTGACTTCATCGTTCGCTTGTTTCGACGAACAAACCGCACCAGGCATGCAGCTGTCCGAAGTCGGGAGGCCGTCAGTGGCTTTTTCTCGCCCTGTCGACGCCGTGGTGTCTATCAAGCGGTGCATGTCTTGCAACCGGCAGCAGAGCTACCTTGAGCTCGTGACTTCTGAGCGTCATCGCCCTCTCAATCCTGCTGCTCTTTAAACGTCTGTCTGTATGCTGTTGCCGCTATGGAATGTACCCGAGCAAGGTCGTAGCAGCAGCACAAACCGCCGATAATGGGATTCACCGCAGACTATCACAGTACCCAGCGCGGCTGAACCTTTCCTTCTGCGTTGCCGTATGGTCATTGGGGCCTATGCGTCAATAGTTGCAGCGTCCCCCTCCATTCTAGAACCGGATCATGATGGCGGCATGCAACCACCGTAGCTTTGCGACTTTGGGCTTCTTCCGCGTTGTACGAACACACCTCGGTGCTCGTTGCAGTTGTGTCCTGTTCACCAAACGGAAAGATAAATGAAATCTTACGCCACTAATAAGCATCTCAACGCATGCAGTTGCATTGACCTGGATTCGATCAGGCCTCAACGTCGTTTCATCTCCTGTGTATGGCTATATAGGTACTGCGTTATTCCTTGCGTTACCAACTCCCGGCAAGCGTGAATTGGAAAATGTATCCATGCTGAGTGCTACGTCGGCAGGACAGGTGGCGACTGATTGGCCCCCCGTTTATTGTTCTGCGGATCCGGATGCAACGTTTTGTGGGTTTTTTCAATTTTCTAGGCACTGGCGCTGAATTTCTTCCTCCCTGCCACAGCCTTTCTTGATAGGTCTCTGCGGAAGCCATGTCTAGTGACTGGTTCGCAAAGCTGTCTTGGAGGCAGCTTTCTCTTCTTCCCAACCAACTGATCACCAATCAGGTAGCCATAATTATTCCCCAAGGCGATTGGATCCGGGAGTTGTCCATGTGATGTTTCCCGATATCCACGCCGTCCAGACGGTTCGTTGGGGAACGGCCTACCCCGCACTTGAATGCAAGCCACCTACGTCCATTGGCGATGTGAGAGGTCTGCACCGCAGTACCTACCTAGCTCGACACACCTCTGTCGTCCGGCCCTATGGTGGAGCTTCTATCAAAGAAACGGGCCATCCTCCTCCCAGCACACCGGCGGGCTAGGCTCGAGCCGTCCACCAGCAACGGAGCGGCCTGCGGGTTGGGTTCCTGCCATGCCATGCGTGGGGCTACCTACGCTGCTGTCTGCAGGTCGGAGCTGTGTGTCTTGCTCGGGGTCGATGATCGGGTCCGGGGTAGGGAAGTGGATTTTGCTACCTCGGTCCACTTGAGGACGTACCGAGAGTGCAGGTGATGTGTGCCTGATACGGAGTGGCATTCAAGATGAGCGTGCCAAATGGGATTTGGGGAGCGGCTTTGGTTCTCTCTCAAAGGCAACAAGATAGGCGCCGAGGACATCGAGATGCATCATCCCCGTCAGTCGACCATATCTGCCTGCCTGCGGTTCTTTCTTCGGGGGCATCCTACCTCTCTCTCAGATGTTGGCTACTCCTTACAGGCCCAACACCCATGGGCTGCGGGATAAGTAACTTTGATCGACGACACTCACCCTGTGTCATTATCTCAGTCATACACATCTAAACACGGTGACGTGCCTCGTAGTAGAAACCCGGTGTCAAGTCCTCTTTCACCCGGACTCCTGGCTGTGCCGGACCTGGCCGAGCCCTCCTCCTTTTCATTTTTTTTCGATCTCGCTCTTTCTTTCTCTTATGAAGCGAGGAACTCCTAACCCCAACGGACGAATTGCGGCAGTTCCGTGTGCTTTACCGGGGAGACGGGACAACTATCAGTGTCATTGGCGTGCCGGGGATGGACCTGTGCGGGATGGAGGGTGGGCGAAGATGGAGGTTGGTTTGTTGAGGACGAGGTGAGATGACGGCCGAGTGGGTGGAGGGATGACTGGGTCGAGGCGGAAGGGAAGAGGGGTCGGGCTGGATTGGGCGTGTGAAGAGCTCTCCGGCCTTCGATGTACAACCGCCACCAGTTCTGGTTCCCATCCGTGGCATGCCGTGCCCTGGGCGATGCCTGCCCGTCCAAGCCGTGAACGTTGGGAGTGAATGGCGTAGCTTCCAAACATATTTACGCACATCAACTGCTTTCCGTGCCTGCGCCTTTGGGTTCGGTACGGCGGCCTTTGGCTCTGATCCAAGTCGGGCCCTTCTTCCCCGGGGACGATGCCACGCCACCCATACGGTCTCGGTGGTGTTAAACTCGAGACTGACCTGTTCCAACTAGGTAGTACCGAAATCAGTGTATGGTTTTACAGGGCTCAAATGCGTGATCCCTCTTCCCTCCATGCTATCAGTTGCCCATTTATCGACCCGCAACGACGTGGATGGCGGAGGAGAAGAGGAGGAGGAGGAAACTGGCCGAACGTTCATGTTGAGGGAAGTTGGACGGAGTTCTGGCCGTTAAATCAGATCCCAGTTCACCCCCAGATCGCGCGCAGCCTTTCCATGCCCAGAGGCGCCTCTAAGCGAGATGGCAAGCCCGATCAATTCTCGTGATGGTCCCTTCAAAAGTGCTTGATTCATTTCTTGGAACGGCAAGCCTCCCTACTCCTTCCCCTGCTTTCCTCGGCCCCTTACCTCTCCTCAACAATAGCAGCATCTGTAGATGCCCCTGAACACGTATCTGTTGAGCCTCTCTCCGGGAAAGGCGCCCTCGGCTTGCAACCCCCAAGTAGCTTCAAGAAAGAAGCCAAAGCCTGTCTGTGACAGTCAGGTTCCTATTCCCAATCGCGTCGCGCACACCATGTCATTTTGAACCGTTAGGGCACGTTGATCGTTTTTCATTCTTGCCACATAAGAAATGAATACTGCAATTGACCGGCTCCGCGCAGGCCCCGGCAACATATACTCAATTTCCATCCAAATAGACGCCAAGGATCTCCCCCGCGAGGTTCTGGGCGCTTAGTTGTCGTCCATCGAACACAAATGAAGCGGAGTTGTACTGATGTGGACTGTTAGGATGGCGGTCTTGGCCAGCGACAGCTCCTCTTCCTCTCAGTCGTCCTCCTTCTCCTTCTTCTCTTTCACCTCGACGTTAGTGAGAAGGGCGTCGCGGAGCTTAGCAACCCCATGCTGCCCTGCAGCCAAGTCAAAGATGAACTCCGGCTTTTGGTGTTTCCCCTCGGGTATTCCCATCCGTATGCGCCGCGGACGGGCAAGAATGACAGTAAGAAAGGGAACCACGTTGTCATCACTTAACAAGCCGATCAGGCGGTGGGACTGACAGCCGACACGTATCCCGAATATGTTCCAGGCACGGCAGCACGTGTTGGTTGACATTAAATAAACGACTGACTCTGACCCCCCCTGTGGGATCTCCTTTTTTCACAGTAGCTCAAAGCATCAGTACAGCCTCCCACCCTTAGCCAGCCAGTCAACCACCTGACAACTGATGCGTTTTCACACCCTCGCCTTGAAGAAGCACAAGTGCAATGAGCCGACGATGCTCCGAGGACCATTCACCAGCCAAAGTCTTGTCCCTCCTCTCTCGGAGGAACCGAAGGTGAGGCCTTGTCAATAAGCAAGAGGCATATGCAACCCGTCAAAAGGAACGTAGCAGGAAGAAGATAATTTATAGAATGTGGCGTGTGATGTATGAGCAGTGTTGCAGATATTGATTTACGCAGCGATGACACGCCTGACGAAGGTAGATTGCAGGACTCGGGGCGAGTGTAACAAAGTAACAATCAATGCGTTGCGGCTAGTTACCTAAAGCAAAACTATGCTGCGGTCGTATAGCGAATGGATAAACACGAGGACGAGCGAGATGAAGAAAGATCGCAGTCTAACTCTCTCTCTCCTCAGAACACGCAACAAATGCATCATCACACTGGCCCGTCATACCCGTTGATCCCTATCAAACGGGGCCTCCGCCGTGACGATTGTGTTCTCTCCAACGAGCTCCTTGGGGTCATGGTCGGATTCCTGCTTAGCAACAGTGGCATGGTCCACATCTCCTAAGACGGGCTAGTCCATCCTACCCAGCTTCGCGGCATCACACGCCAGATCTTGACTTCACCGCTGCGCAAGTCGTCAAGCTTGAAGCTCTCGACCTTTACCTTTTTGCTCTCGCGGCCCTGCTCCCAGGCGCGAACCTTCTTCTTGGTGCCGTCCCACTCCGACACAACAGCGACGTGGTCGGGCTTGCCGACCTCCATTGAGTACTTGGCGTGCATGGGGCCGTGCTTGCCTTGGAAGCGAGCATTCCGGATGGAAATGATGTCACCAGGTCGGATCTGATCGTTTTGCTGTGTCGAGGCGTTTGCCATGTTGGAGTACACAAGCGCACCGTAGGCTCTGGTTCCAATGGGCGCCAGGGCATCGTTAAATGGCTTTAACAGTTCATGGATAAGACCCTGCGGCGTTCCGTCGCCCACGATCGTTTCCTTCTTAGACGCCACTGCTTCGAAAATCGGCCGCCCGAACCGCTCGTATGACTGCTCAAGCTCGTCTTGACGCAGCGCTCTTGGCGGTGGGTCATGTCGCTGGTCCAGCATAACGTCTGCGGCGTTGTTCTGGTCATACTCGACTGTGATGACTGTCTGCGAGTAGTCCTGGAAGAGCACGTAGATGGTGCGAGTGACTTGCGAGCCCGATGTCAAATCGACCGTCTCATAGTAAAGGTCTCTTCTGCCCTGGAACACTGGGGGCACCGTCTTATCCTGACGCCACCATCCGCTCTGTTTGGCCAGGTCAACATCGTTAGCAATGAAGCCGGACTCTGCAGATGTGGACGGCCTGTGCACATCCATGGAGCGCCGCTGTGACATGGAAGCTCGGGAGAGGTCCATAGATTGACGGGCCCGGCCTCCAGGAGGGGCAGGAGGCGGGACTCTGGATTGCGGAGGCGACGGCAAAGGCGCAGTATCCTGTTCGAAATATTCCTCCTCCTCAATCTTCGAGGCTCGCTGAGAGTACGGGACCTTCGAGGAAGCATAGTTATAAGGATCATACTCGTCATCGTCTTTGGCCGGCGGAGGAGGCGGCGGCGCTGCGCGCGGGACGTCCATAGAGCGGCGCTTTTCGGATGGCGGCGGCTGCATGGGTACCGGGGGTGGAGCGGCTCTAGGTGGAGGGCCAGTCGGGATGGGCGGTGGCAGGGTCGGGGGAGCGTCAGAAACCGGTGACATGACTGATGTGGTATCATCGAGACTGGAGTCACGCGCATGAGACTTGAGTGCATCTTTATGGGGGACCGAGGAAGCAATGTCGGTATCGTAGTCACCCTCATACTCGGTCACTTCATCTTCGTCCTCACCCTGGGGGGCGGGTCTGATCGGAGGAGACATGGGCGAAGCCATGTGCATGTCCTGCGTTGACTGGCGGCTCAGAGTACCTCCAGGAGGCGGGGGAGGGGGCGGTCGCGACTGGGATGTGGGGATTGGAGGAGCAGCTCCAGGAATAGGGGGCGGCATCCTGCTCATCCGCTTGTTCGTAGAACTTGTAGGCGAACTTGGGGAGAACTCCGAGCCAGGGATAGGCGGCGGCGAGCGAGCAGAGGTTGCAACCGGTGGCAAAGGCGGAGGCGCGCGTCCTTCTTCGGCCTTGGGAATGTCCTGGGCCCCGCCTGACAGCTCATCGTCTGATTCGGAACCTTCGCTGGGCGACTTAATTCCAGAAACAGGAGGGACGGGTGGGGGTCGGGCTGGATTCTTGTAAGCCATTATTGGCATTAGGGTAGGTCGGATACTCACATTCAGCAGGCACAGGAGGCGGTGCAGGCCGTGATCCGGGAACAGGGGGTGCTCCGGAAGGCTCACGGGTAGGGACTGTTTCGATTAGCAGAGCACTTTAATATGGCCATTTACAACTTACGACTAGGAGGGGGGGCAGCAACGGGCTCGTCGTCGACATTGTTCTCCTCAACGGTTCGCGGAGGAGGAGGCGGCGCTCTCGGTGATGTGGGGGGCACAGGCTCATCGGCGGCAGCTGGCTCCTCTTGACGCCGGGGCACGCCCATTCCTGGCAAAGCCATCATGCCCGGCACAGGGACACGGCCAACAGGCGACGTCATTTCCTCTTCACGCTCCTCCCTCGCCGAGGTCTCCACTGGCCTGTCGGCTGTCTTCTTCTTTTTCGGAATGGCTGGGGCACCCATCGGGATTCCAAACATGCCGTGCATGCCCATACCGCCACTCATCTTGGCCATCCTTGCTCGGATTTCCTCCCTTCGGCGAACCTCAGGGTCAATATCGTCATCTTCCTCCTCCTCCTCGGCCTCTTCTGCGGCTCGTTCGTCTTCCTTGCTTGCCCCAACAGGTGATGCGACTCGAGGTCGAGGAACCGGACGCGGGGCGGCATCACTGTCGTCGCGTTCGGTAAGATCCTCTGGCCCTTCGGTGTCACCGGCACCAGACATATCGGCTTCGTTCCCATCGTGGTAAGTCTCGGCAGCAGGTCCCCGAGAAGATTTGCGGCGGGGCGCAGGCGGCAAACGTGGGGAGTCCACAGAGCTCCTGCCCGCTGCGTCGTCCGTGTCGGCCTCGGGCGCAGAAACAGGAACAGGAGCAGCAGCGCCGGCATCCTCGGACGCCTCCTGGCTGTCGGTTCGCTTCTTGGGCGGAGGTCGCTTAGCCTTCTCCTTCTTTGCAGCGGCCTCTGCATGACGCTGCGCCTGCTCCTGTTGCTGCCTCTGCAGAAGGGCGATGCGCTCCTTCAGGCTGGTTGGCTTGGGTGCATCTTCGCCCTCCTCACCGGTGGATCCAGGGACCGTGCCAGCCTTCTCAGCACTCTCTTGGTTCTCTGCCTCTCTTTCCAGAATCTCGGGGTCTTCGTCTCTGCGGTAGACCTTGGCCACGGGAACCTGCGAAGGCGGGGGAACGTATGCATTACGACTGGGAGGTGGAGCGACGAAGGGCTTCTTGATGTGGTAGGATCCCTGAGCCAGACCGGTCGGTTTAAAGGGCGCGATCGGGGCGGCCGAGGCCTTGTTGAATGCAGCAATACGATCTTTAAATGCATTACTGGAAGGCTTGGGTGGCGGACCAGGCTTCGCGGGAGTTGACGATGCCTTCGCGATGGGGGGCGACGTAACTGCGGGAGGCTCAGTGGCCTTGTTGGCCGGAGGTGCTGGGACCGGTTCAGGAACTGGCTCGGGTGCCTTTACGGGCTCGGGCTCGAGCTCGGCAGCTGCATCGGGTGAGGTAGGGAGGGCAGCTGGGGCGGGCGGCTCGGGATGCTCGGCTTCGTAGTGGGCTTCTTGCGCAGGCTGGGGATCGAGCTGAGGAATTGGTGGCGCCTCGGATGCTGGGGATGTGACCTCGGCCTCCTTCTTGGGACGGGTCCTGGTCGGGCGAGGCGGGGCCTGGGGCTCGATTTTCTCGACGAAATTGCGAGGAAAGATGCCTTCGTGTTTGACGCCTGCATCGTCTAGATACTCCCCGCTGTACCAGTCGGCATCCTCCTCGTCAGTGACAGTGATGACGGCGCCGGCGGGGAATTGAAGGTCATCCTCATGAGGGGAGGAGTATTCGAAGAGGGCCTTGACCCTGAAGGGGGCGGTCGACATGGCCGGCAAGGATCGAATCGGATGGTTCCGTCGTATCCGTCGCTGTCGTCGCTGTCGTCGTTGTCGGTTTGTATCGTCGTGAGATGTGTGTTTTGGGTGGGAAGACTGGAAAGATGCTAGGTAATCGAAAGAGGAGTCGGGCAAGTCAGGGCGATGGGAGCTGCAGCAGTTGGGCGTGTGGGGCAACGGAATCGGAATCGTCGTCAGCAGCTTGGACCTTGCGTCGGCTGTTGTTGGTTGCGGGAGCGACTGCCTTGGTAGAGCGAGCAGCAAGGTCGCAAACTCGGGGGTGGAACGGGAATGCAGGGCGAGGCTGTAGGAAGACGGTGATGCGAATGGTGCGTAAGCTAGGTATGTTTGCAAATATCCCGACGGGTTCTCCCTCAAAGTGGCCAAGGGGGCGTGTTACTGTGGGAAAGCGGAGGGGGGGGAGGGGGGGGTAACAGAGGGCGGTCCGTCTGTCGGAGAAGGAGGCTGTGAGTATGGAAGCGACGGGGGTGGGAGGGATCTACAAGCTGGCGTGTCGACGTCAGCGCATGAACTTGTAACTCTCTTAGCCCAGTGTTCGGGGCAATTGAGGGCCCTGGCCTAGGGAGTACACCCTAAGGGAACACACAGAGTCATGTATGCCCCGGACACTGCGTCGGGTCTTGACAAATGCTCTTTTCTCTCCAGGTGTAGGCTGTCTACCCGTACCACAGTGATGGTCTGGTCGCGTCGCATAGGTAGGTGAACCGAACGTAGACTGGGGAGAGGTACATACAGTAATTATTCCGGGGAGAGCCGCAATGCGGGTGAGATGCGTCTGCCTAGAACACACTGCAACCCTGGGTTCGTTCCACACCTGAAAATTGCTCCTTTTTTTCGGGATTCGATTCTGATTTTGATTGTGTTCTAACCCTATGTATCTCACTCCTCTTGCCGGCTGTACTGCTTTTATTCCTCTGTAGCTTTCAGAGATTCTGGCTGCATATGTAGGTACCCTACCGTGAGAGAATAAGATACCTAGAGGACTGACAGTGCCAAGGGCAGGGGTTCCTATAATACAACGGTCGTCCCAAGGGTGGGCGGAGGATCTTATCTTTCGTCATGTCGCTGCACTTTGCCGTCGTCAACCGATTAGGTAACCAGTAATTTCATGTCGCTGCAATGCTTCGCCTCACTTCAGACCCTATTGCCTCTTACCGTCATGAACGGCAGTAGCGGCAAGGCTAAAATACATCGGGTACAGGAGGGACAGCCAGACAGAACCATATTGCCGTTGCGATTAGCTGAGAATGACCTACGAATACGTGGTCCAAGGTAGATCACTATCACTATCCAAGAAACAGCCGGCTGAACCGAAGCAGTCAGTCGTGGCGCAGAGCAACCGGATCAACATAGGTGCGGTCAGGCAGTGTTGGAGGTGGGAAACCAAATGAGGATGCGCTACGATGCGCTACGATGCGCTGCACATTCTTCAGCCGCCTAAGCCAATGGAACCCCCGTCGAGGGGCAAAGCAAGGCGACAAGGAGACAATGGGGAAGAAAAGGACAGGTCCTGCGTGCCAGCCAAGCCACCCGAGCACCCCGAGCTACAGACCAGACGTGCCTGAGTGTAGCGCGGCTTGGCCCCCAATTGTCATCGTAATGGCGGCCGTCACTTCACGCCAAACATCCATCCCCACATGATTCGATGCGCATGGAAAGATGGAAAGACTCATTAGGTAAGTTCGGGTACGTACCTCCCTCAGTACCGAATTGCGCTTCGGGCATTTGTTAGTGTAAACGGAGAAGTGGGGTTGAGCAATTCGAAGGAAGCAACAGCGCGAATCGAATCTTCTCCAACTGGACTGCTTAACAATTTTCCAGCACTCACGCCTTCAACGCCCCTCGGTACCCGAACTTCCACTAGTCTCAAACCTTTTGCTTATTAGAGATACTCGGTTTGCTTGCCGCGGGCACCTCCTGCATAATCATAGACCAGAACAGCGTCCTTTGCGATTTGGCAGTGGAGCCCGCCAGACGCCTCACATCGCGCCATCCTCTCCCTCGCAAACCACGAAACCGCCCGTTATGGCCACCGATGGCCGGCCACTGAAGGGCATCCTCAAAAATTCAGCTGGCGTCTCCGGCAGCAGCAACTCTGGTGCCGCCGCCGCCGTGCTCAACCCGCGAAAGCAGGACCCCCGCGAAATCGCGCTCCAGCACGCCCGCATCATCCAACAGCGCAAGGACCTCGAGATCGAGATCCTCGAGAGCTTGGCCCTGCTGTCCGAGTACCCCACCGAGCGCAGCAGCCGCCTCTACTCAGCCGCGAACCCCTCACCCCGCGACGTCGCCGACTTCAAGGCCAACGTCCGCCTCTTCCAGCCCTCCGACTACGACGACCTCATCGAGGAGCGTAACGTCAACGGGCTGTGCGGCTATACCCTCTGCGCCCAACCCAAGCCGGTCGCCTCCAAGGGTGGCGAATGGCGTCTCGTCAACTTTGGTACATCGAATTTCGACATCGTCAACCGCAAGGAGACGGAGAAGTGGTGTTCGAAGGACTGTCAGCGCAGGGCGCTCTACGTCAAGGTCCAGCTTAACGAGACGGCCGCCTGGGAGCGCGCGGGAATCCCGGATATCGAAATTGAGCTGCTCGGCGAGGACAGGTCGGCAAGGGCGGACCCCGCTGCACAAGCGACGCGTGACCTCGCGAACCTGAGGCTGGAGGAGGGCAGGAGGGCGGCTGATGAATCCGCGACGCTGGCCTTGGAGAGGGGCGAGGTGCGGCGGGAGGGCGGCCAGTCGGGCAATACGTTTACGCTTGCGATCAGGGAGAGAGATGTCAAGCCGCCAGTCGATAACGGTACCTTTGCGGAACCGGACGATGCACATCTGATGGTGGAAGGACACAGACCGGGCGCTGGGAAGGCGCAGGCTCGGGCCGAGGCTTCCCAGGCTGAAGCCCGATTTAGGAAGGAAAACGAGTTGATGTGAGAATTTCACTGGCAGAAGGGAATTTAACACTGTTCATTGGAGTGTGGCGTAGTCGGCTCGGCCTGGCGATAGGAGCTGGTTGCTTTATATATAGACTTGATACCCAGCAAAGCAGCCAGTCAATTCATCACGGTAGGGCGTTTGGGTGCTTGCGAGACGACAAAACCAGAAGTTCCACGCCACGTCAAACCCTCACAATGTCAGAGGGACAGCGTCACGGCTCAAAATGGAAAGAGGGACGAATATTGGCAGTCAAGCGTTATCTCCGGAATTACCCTAGAGAATCGGCGACACCGTGTGTGGGAAAACAGAACTTTTCTTGCAGTTCTAAGTTTGTGAACTCACTACCGTCCCGCGAGACGCCTTTGGTAGCATGGGTGATATCATCATATGCCGTTTTCCGTAAGCCCGTTAAAACCAATCCATTTTCCTTTCGCCTGAGCCGAATCAGAGATAATTTAGTCGCGGCGAGGAGGGCGGTCGCCGAAGCGGCGGCCACCACGCTCCTGGACCTGAGCCTGGGCGACGGGGGTAACGTTGACGGGGATAGAGTCGAACTATTCAGAGCATCTCGTTAGCATGCAGGCCACATCCGTTGGTGCAGACCACGGGGCGGCACTGGAAAGAAGAGGGTGTACGTACGCCGAGGTGCTTGAGCAGGTCCTTGGTCTCGACGTCGACCTCGAGCTGGCCGCTCTCGGTGTTCTGGGTGAAGTCAAGGGCGGAGATCTCGGGGACGTATTGGTCCTTGCGCTCACGCTCCTCCTCCTGGAGCTTGAAGGAGATACCGCGGACGGGGCCACGCTGGATACGCTTCATCAAGTGGGTGGTGTATCCGGCAATCTGTTGGGGGATTCCTGTCAGCACAAACTTGGTTCCTCTTCTATTTCCCGCATGCCCGACATCCATTCCGCGGCTGCAATAGTCGTGGTCGGTGGCCGTGTGCTCACCTTGTTGCGGAGGCGCTTGGAGGCGATGATGGCGATCTCATCGCAAATGCGCTTGTTGGTCTCGAAGTCCAGGGTGAGCTTGGGGTAGTACCGCTCAATGATGACCTTGGCGGACTTCTTAACGGTCTTGGTGCGAACGCGACCCATTTTGGCGGTACTGGCTCAGTTGGCGGGGGAGAGGAGGGATTTGCTGGAAAGAGGGAGTTGTCGGTTAGTGCTTTCGAGATGTTGTCAACAGAGGTCCAGCGCCGAAATAATTTGTTTGGCTTTGGAATTTCCTAGCAGTTGTGGGCCGAGGGCAGGAGCGGGGATCTATCACGTGATCACGTGGATGGCATTGTGGGGTCTGTGGTCCAGATCCCTGTCCGGGCCCGAATAGGAACTTGGATGTGGGTCCCAGCCGGAGACGCGACATCTCGCATGTTGCCCGAACATTTGGAGCGGCTAGGGATTGTTGCAGAGTGGAAACAGGATGGAAATCGCATTACCAAGAACGTACCTAACAGTTTGTGGAAATCCTCTCAGCACGCGATGTCAGGTAGTGCCTTATCGTTATCAATACCTAGGCAGCCATAAAACCAATAAACTAATTTGTAGAATAGGGTTGCTCATTGATAATCTCTACGACTTTGAGAAATATCGAAATCGGGCTGTATTCTTCTTAGTTTACAATACCATACATAGTACACTCGGCACGCTTGCCAATGTCATATAGAGATCTATATCCCCAGACTGATCTTCCTCCCCCATCTGGGCTTCGCTCCTGCCTCAAATATGATGACCGAAAACGACTCCACGTCGTCAACGTTCATCACAACGCTCACGAGTCTAGGCCGTAGGTCTGCGTGCTGCCTGCAACATTCTTGTCGGTCTCCTTGGTTGTCCGCAAAGTTCGGATAAGCGGTCTGCGTTCTTGTCCCGACGAACCCTCGGCCTTGGTTTTGTTGTTGTAGATCTTGACCTTACCGACCGTCTCCTTGGAAATAAGCTGTGCCTCTTCGTTGGCCTCGGTAACGGTGATCTGCATCATGCCGGAAGAGTCCATGCGGGCAGAAGTAGGCTGAACGTAAGCCTTGGCGCCGCCCTTGATATCAGGGTCAAACGAGGCGACACCAGCGATGCTAGCCTTACGGCCGAGGAAGGACCTCTGGTTAAAGGCGGTGTCACCCTGAGGCGTCTCGGTGATGAAACCACCAACGCCCAGCTTCGCGGTGGTAGGCCCTGATCTCGGTGCGATGATACGAGCCAAGACTGGAGTCTGGTGCGCCTGGGGACCGTAGACAGGGTGGTTCTCGGCGAAGGCCGCAGTGCGGAGGTACGAAATACCGCCGGAGGGGTGGCAGATGGGAGGGCCGTTCTCGGCGTACAGACTGGGACGCTTCGTCGCTTCGGCGGATCTGCCAAGGTCTGCCATGGAGCTGGGCGGATTCAAGGGCGCAAGGTCCAGGAACTCGCTTACCAGCGAGTACAGTGTGATGCGGTCGGATCGCAGCTTGCGGAGGTACTCGGTCAGCTGCTCGTCGGTGACATCCCGGGCATGGATCTGCCGAGGAATGTTCTTGCCGGCGTCCAGAGCCTTCTGATGCGCCGCAGCCGTCAGCGCGTTGGCGATGCGCGCTTTCAAGAAAGTACGGAAGGCATCGCGCTTGTTGCGGACGCTCTTGCGCAAGTAGCGGTTGAACTCGCCCTCGGTGAGACCGGCCAGCCAAGGACCCTTGAACTTCCACCTCTTCTCCTCGTTTCCAAGACCGGGCTCCATGTAGGTGAAGTCGCCATCATCCTCAAAGACGGACTTCGCACCAACGTTAAGGCCTCCGAGGCGTGATCGGTTGTTTCCGGGGAGTGTGACGGGTAGGTTGAGCTCCTGGAACTTCTGGAGAGAGAGGGTGTGGTCGGCAGCGGAAGAGTAGTCGGTGACGTTCTCGAAGCAGTCGATCTGCTTGATACGAACAACGGGGGTCGAAGTCTTAGTCGTGGATCGGAGCGGGAGAGAACGTTTGAAGCCCCAGTCGCCAAGGACTCTCGAGGATTCGGTCGTGGTGATGGATTGGTGTGTAGGAAAGGGCGCGGTCGCCGTCGGTGATCCGAATCGTGCAATCGCAGCGGCTTCGCCTCCTGGCTTTGGAAGCGGTTTGGGAACGGAGAACATCCGCGATGATCTCAGAAGCGCCCCTCCTGGGGACAATCGGGCAGACATGGCGGCTGTCGAAGCTCTCTGCTGAGCTCAGTCGTCAGTCGTTGTATGTATCACGGAATGGCGTATAACTGTAGTGTTTGCGTGAGAAATTTCAATTGGAGTAACGGAAGAAGCCGGTTGTGCCTGATTGGTGGATGAAAGCTACCCCTGCCGTTTCCATGCGCCGACCGGAGTGGCTCACGCCTAGGTACTACAAATTCAGGTGCTCAAGTACCTCAATTAGAACATCAAGAACCAGGCTGTCAACTGGAGCAACGACAAGAAGTCTTGTTTCTCGCACGCACATGTATCCTCTTGCCTATTATGAATATGGCCTTAAACATTTCTTAGGTCACTGTGTTAGCTTGGCGCAATTAATATAGCCCTTGCGGAGCTGTGCCTTGAAGCAAAGGTGGTATATTAATGGCAATAAACGTAAGTCTCGAAGGGAACACATGTGAGCAGGGCATGCAGACCAGAATTAGAGGAAGCCTGAAGAGTGTTCTCAACGATAGCATCGAGTACATGAGCTTTGCAAACGCAGCTTATAGCAAGAATGACTGAAAAGAGGCATGTATGGTGAGGTAGGACTGGAGCAGTATGCAGAAAGAGAGCACCGACACGAAAGACAGAGGCCCCACCTAAGCCATCAGGAAGGCGCATCGCTCTTAGCGCCTGCGATTTGGGAGAAGTGCATGGTGAACCACACTCAAAACTTCTCCTGTTTTCGTCCACTTTCATAGCCAGCAGACCGTGGATTTACCTACGTAACTGCCCATGTGGACGGTCAAAAAGATGGCGTCAAGCAACATCGGCTCCTCGGCCGCTCTCACGTTTGAGCTTGTTGCTCGTTGCTCCGTGAGTCGCCCACATGAAGAACCCCACCATTATTATGTGATTCTGAGGCGCGATGCTGATGGCTTAGGCTAGACGACAAGAGCTCGCGCATCCATCTTGACGCTTCCCCATGGCCCGGTGCAGCTCCCCATTTTCATGCCCGTCGCGACGCAAGCTTCCCTGAAAGGCTTGACTCCCGAGCAGCTCGAGGAAACTAGCTGCCGCTTATGCCTCAACAACACTTACCATCTTGGGTTGAAGCCTGGACAAGATGTCCTCGACGCTATTGGTGGCGCACACAAGCTCCAAGGATGGAAGCATAACATTCTGACAGATAGCGGAGGGTGAGATCTGCATAGACCCTACGCGACCGGTGGGTCGAAAGCTGACAACATCCAGCTTCCAGATGGTCAGTCTCCTCAAGCTGGCGAAAATCACAGAAGAAGGTGTGCGCTTCCTCAGCCCCCACGACGGCTCCCCAATGCTTCTCACTCCTGAGCACTCCATGTCTCTGCAGAATTCGATCGGCAGCGACATTATGATGCAGCTGGACGACGTTTTGGTCACCACGTCCCCCGATGCTGCCCGTATGCGTGAAGCCATGGAGCGCAGCGTGAGGTGGCTCGACCGGTGCATCGCCGCGCACAAGAACCCCACCACGCAGAACCTTTTCTGCATCATTCAGGGTGGTCTTGACCTCGAAATGCGACGAGAATGTACCCGAGAGATGCTGGCGCGTGACACACCCGGAATCGCCATAGGTGGCCTGAGCGGCGGTGAGGCCAAGACGGATTATTGTCGTGTTGTTGAGACTTGCACAGAACTTCTGCCCGACCTCAAGCCTCGGTACGTCATGGGCATCGGATACCCAGAGGACTTGGTCGTGAGCGTCGCTCTTGGAGCCGACATGTTCGACTGCGTTTGGCCGACAAGGACGGCGCGATTCGGAAATGCAATCACTAGAAACGGTGTCATCAACGTTCGGAACTGGCGGTATGAAAACGACTTCGGACCTATCGAGGAAGGATGCGGCTGCCTATGTTGTCGAAAGGGGGATGGTGGCTTGGGCGTCACCAGAGCTTTCATCAACCACAATGCTGGCAAGGAGACGGTAGCCGCTCATTTGCTAAGCATACACAACGTATGGTACCAGCTGAATTTGATGAAGGGGATACGGCAAGCCATTATCGAGGACCGATTCCCTGCTTTTATCAGGCAATTTTTTGGTGATTTGTACGACGACAAGTCCAAGTACCCTGAATGGGCTGTAGATTCTTTGAAGAGAGTCGGCGTTGACTTAATAGACCAGTAAACCCATTTTTTCCGATCCTAGAGATTGAATGTCTTCCGCTGGCTTGAATATCGTTTGGGTATTGGTAACCGATGACGTTGCCTCGAACACGATCTATGATGCTATAACGAGTTTGAGAATGCTTCTGCAGCCAGGTGCCGCCACTCTTTTCTCTCAAATTGTACGCAGATATCACACTACTTGTTCCCCGGCCAGTATCATATATCCGTCGGCTCAAGGTATGCATTTCTCTACTTGAGAGAGCGGGTACCACGTCTCCGATAATACCATACCGAATCAGCAGCGGTATGTCTTTGTTGACTACATGACTGACGACGTGAACTAGGATCAAAATTGTGCCGAAGTTGGCCTGCCATACCGGCTCATGGTTAGGATTGTTTGCGTGGCCCTGTTATCTCGCCCATTCTACCAAGACATCTGCCTTAATCAAACATTTATTCAAGCATTGTTCAAGTCAGTATGTCCTTATACTAGATGTTTCCAGAACGCGCTGTATTAAAAATGACAATACTGGAAAGCGAGGGGTGCTGCCGACTGTGAGACGTGATTGTGGTATTCACAAACCAAGTCTGGGAAATGAGTTCGTGATGCGCCTCAGCTGCCAGTCGCATATTGTGTTCAGAAGAGAAGGAAACATTCATTATGTATTCTGAAATAAGAAGAGCAAGACAAATTGCTCCAATGAAAAGACAACACAAACGATTTCACCGTCCTTCCGCCCTGGTTCTTTAGTCTTGGTTCTCATCCTCCTCGTTGCTTTCACTCATCCAGACGTATAGAGCACCAAGCTCTAAACCAAGAAGCCAAAAGAGTGAGAAGAGTGGGTGCAGAACAGTAACCGCCCATATTTGAAGTTACATGTCTGCTTTGGACATGACCCTCGTAACCTTAAGGATGGAGGGAAAGTAGAGTGTTTTCTCGGTTAAGGCCACTGTCGCCTGCGTCATGACGAATCTCAAATCATTCCACAAGTCCAATACCATTACAAGCATTATATAAATAGAGTCACGAGCTGGCGAAAGCAAAACTGATGGAGAGGAAGGGATCTAGGAGTGAGTGGCTGCTGAATATGCAGGCTTGTCTAATGCCATGTCTAAAGAGACTGCTGCTGCTATGGCTAGAAGCTATCATATCGCCTGGTACCTTCATGTCTAGACGGGAGGAGAACAGGTCCAAAATAGCACATCCCAAGTGATCGAACACCTGACGATGAAACAAGACCGCATCGCATCTGCCCGACGCGTTTCAAATGTCTGATGGATATAGCGAGAAAGCCTTGGACGTGGTTCAAGATACGATATCAAGAGCGCGTAAGACAACTTGGACGACGATTTGTGTCCACCAGAAATAGAACCCATGAAGGAACAAAGTTGCAAGCCTTGAACATGCCATCAGGCGCTTGTGAAATTGTGAAAGACATAAACAGGGCTGGCAGAAAGCGACATGAAGAGCTATGTAAGATTAGCCTCGATAAATAGATATTATAACAGCCCACACCCATAGGCTATGGTCGGTAGGAAGCTTCGCTGAACAAGCGAGGATGCCAGCTCAATTTCGTCTCCAAATTGCCGGGTCCTTCTCCCCCCACCGGGTTCAACAGATGTTACGTGCCGATTAGTAAAACGTTGGACGGTGAGTAAGGCAAAGTAAGCTGCTGATAAGATGAACCAATTTCGGCATGGTCTCAATGAAAACCCTTCTGCACGGATCAGGGATCATGAGAAGCTGCCGGAGGCGGTATCCTGCAGTCGCCGACAGTGTTGCCAACCAGTTTTATTATTGTCGTAATGAGTAGCCCCTGACCCCAGATCTCGTCACATTTCTTTTCGTGTTCCCCAGAAGACAACATCGACCTGAGACTGCGGTCGATAGGCTGTGCTGACTTTACTCACCCACTCACTCATGAAGATGCGTCGCAGGCGAAGCTCATGATGAAAATTGCGCTGTATACGAGAAAACAATCAACACCGAACTCGCTCGCATTGAAGCTGCGATGATCTTCGGCTCACGGACCCGTTTGAACACCCCACTAAGATTTAGCGCCTGCGTTGCTTCCAGCCAAGCGGGATAAGGCCGAATGCCCCGCGCATCCCCTATTTGCTGGCATACCACGTGATCGCAATTATGCATCTTATGACGCGTGTTATGTACACAAAAGCAGACACGACGATGTGCGGTTGGTCAACTGAAGTCCCCTGCCACTTCGCCTTACACCTTGTCGGCAGCTGAAAGTTGCCAGCTACAGCAACACACTGTCTAGTAATTACCTTTTTTCCAATATTCGTCTGAACTGTTTTCTGCACTTTGTTCTTCAGACAAACGCAAGCTCCTCCAACACCTGGTAAACATCTCATGGGTCTTGCGCCTTTGCCATGGCCTCTCCACTCAACAGGACGCCATCGCGGCGCCAGTCGATGCTGAATACACACAATGACGGCGATAAGGATCTTGCGCATTCGCTCAAGCAGCTGTCGCTCTCGGCCTCTCCCGCTGGCAACTCGCCCCGCACCTCGAGCGTACTCTCGCCGTTGAGACCGGCTGTGAATCGGAACTCTCCAGCGCCGAGTCCTCGAGTGCCGTCCCGAAGCCCCTCCTTTGTGAGAGAACTCTCCCGGTCCCGATCCTCGACCCCAACGCTCCAGCGATCCTCCACGCCAACACTCCAGCGCAAGACGTCTACGAGCTCTCTGCACTCGGTGGCCGGCTCCTCGAGTAGGACGCCGAGCAGAGCTCCTTCGCGGCGGACCAGCATGGCGCACACATCCTCTCCCAGCATCAAATCGCCCCTGCGACCGAGCCTCCCCGAATACATCAAGCCCCCACCTACGGCAAACTCGATTGCTCGCGACTACTTCAAGACCGAGCTGGACGTGCATCATTCTCCTACTTCAACTCGCCCAACCGAGGCTCTGGTCGTACTACACGATGCTTGCTACGGACACCGATTCTCCCGCCCCAAGACCTCCCGAGCTGCCCTCAGCACCATCGTCGAACGACCCGAGAGAATCAAGGCCGGCGTACTGGGAGTCGCCATGGCGTACGTACGACTTGGCGAGCGACATTGCGACGGCGCATACGCACTGCACCCGAGCCTGGATCCATTATCAATTCCGACTATTCCGTTTCGCATTTACAAGACCGATCGGAGGCTGCCCCTGACATCGCCGGCCGTCACCAATGTGCATGGTACCAAGTGGATGGAGGAGCTCAAGATGATGTGCGACGTGGCTGAGATGAAATTGGCAACGGGCGGAAAGGAGCTTCAGCGACCAGAAATGAACCGAGGTTCAGAGGGACCGCCCGCCAAGTTCCACGAAGGTGACTTGTACCTTTGCTCGGAGTCACTCGAGGCCTTTGAGGGTGCGCTGGGTGCCGTCTGCGAGGCCGTGGACAGGGTCTTCACTTCAGGTCCTCGTCGAGCGTTTGTCGCAGTACGCCCGCCGGGGCATCATTGCTCAGCTTCCTACCCGTCTGGGTTTTGCTGGATCAACAACGTTCATGTGGGAATCATGCATTCCATTCTCAACCACGGCTTGACTCATGCGGCCATTATCGACTTCGACCTTCATCACGGAGACGGCTCACAGGCTATTACGTGGGCACACAACGCGCGCGGAGTCAACGCTGCCAAGAACACTGCTGCTTGGAAAAAGGCATCCATCGGCTACTTCAGCCTTCATGATATCAACTCCTACCCCTGTGAAATGGGAGATGAAGAAAAGGTCAAAAATGCGAGTTTGTGTATTGACAATGCTCACGGCCAGAACGTCTACAACGTCCATCTGGAGTCATATGGCTCTGAGAAGGAGTTTTGGGAGCTGTACGAATCCAGATACTCTGTCATCCTGGAGAAGACGCGCAAATACCTAAAGACGCAAGCAGCTCGCTTGAGCTCCTTCAATCTCCCGCCGAAGGCGGCCATTTTCTTCTCGGCAGGGTTCGATGCCAGCGAGTGGGAGACGAAGGGCATGCAGCGTCATAATGTGAACGTTCCCACCGAGTTCTATGCCCGCATCGCTCAGGATGTTGTCAAAATCGCTTCGGAGGAAGGCTTAGGAGTGGACGGACGGGTGATCAGTGTGCTCGAAGGTGGTTACAGTGACCGTGCTCTGTACTCTGGTATCTTCAGCCATTTGAGCGGGCTTTCAGGGAACCAGATTTCAGAAGAACCGACTCGAGGTCGTTCGTCGTTCGGCCACGAGACGGGGCAGAAGGCTGGGGCGACGTACAATGGCCAAAGCATTCCACAGAGCCCATCTACGTCCTCTCTACACCCATACAACCCGGCTTGGTGGTCGAGCTCTGAGTTGGACGAGCTCGAGGTGGCCATGGGCAACCGACCGCCAAGCCCCAGAGCCGTCCGGCACTCAACACCGCCGACTTACTGTACCCCGACTCAGGCGTCGATCGGTAAGGCTGTAGACCCTGCCAGGATGAGACGGATAGCGTCCGGTCTGTCGAACGGAATAACATATGCTCGGCCGCCGACACCGCCCCCTCCGGACGTTCACTGGACTGTTGCAGCTCATGAGCTGAGCAGGCTACTCATCCCGTCAGATCGTCAAGTTGACAGCTGCAAACCCGAGGATCTCAACGCGGAAGCAACTAGGGCTCGGAGGGATATGCAGTCGATCCTCAACCCCGACCTCGTACCACCAGCGCCTGCACCTGCACTCGCTCCGGTCAGCAGGCCAACCTCGCGCATGTCGCTGAGAGAGCGCAAACCAACGAAACCGGGCATGTACGTCGACGCAGATGAGGATGACGACAAACGGTCCAAGAACCGACGGAAAACGGTGGCGGGGCCGCCTGCACTCTCTTCGGACAAGGTTAACGACATTGTGCAAAATCTACTGGTGACCCGGGCTAACACGATGACTAGGCTGCCGCTCGAGGCATCACGTCTGATACGAACGGAGCAGCCAAGAGGCCCGGCCGTCGCCTTAGCGCGGTGTCGCCGGTGGCTTCGAATGCTTCAGAGATGGTCCAGGGGGCTAACAGGGTTGCGGGGCCCCGACCTGATACCTCGATGAGCGTCCGACCAGATTCGGCCATGAGTGTGAGGACGCAGGGTGGTTCATCCCTGACTGTGAAGAAAACAAGGATGCCCGCTGCCAAGAAGGATGTCCCCAAGACAACGAGGACGGTCAAGAAGCCGACCGCGCCGGCGAAGCCGTCTCCTCCGCAGCAAAGCCAACCGTTCCGGGCCCCTCATCGGAAGCCAAGCCCAGCCGCTGCGTCAGAAGACGATATGGATAAGCTGACGGCCGGCATGAAGAAGATCAAGATCAACCTGATCACCAAGACACAGAAGGAAGAGCGCGCCAAAGCAGCGCAAGCCAAAGCAGCAACGCCACCTGCGGCCGCAGAGGCGAACTTTTCTCTGGGCGAGATCGCGACCCCCCCTGCATCCTCGCCCGTGGCACACCCGACCGTCACTCCTCCGCAAGAAGAGGCCTTCACTACACCACCGGCGCAGCCCCCGGCGTTCGAGGAACGGTCCTTACCGGCTGCTCCGACTGCCTGGCCCGAAGTCTCAACCCCGGTAACGGAGCAAATGCCCGTGGCCGTAACACCCGACCCCCGTCAGTTTGAGCTCCCTGCCAGTTCGCCAGTCACATCGCCAGCAGTAGCGACGCCGTCAGGCTCGGACGTGTTCATCAACTATCAACCAGAGGGGCCGGCTGCCGTATCCATCACGCCGCAAGAACCCCTCAAGTGGCTGCCGCCGAACACGAACACGCCGGTCAAGACTTCTCCGCCCAAGCCGTCGCCCGTCACATCATTGCCCAACAAGAAGTCGCCGGCCAAGATGGCGCGCGCAGATCTACCGGTATTCTCGTCAACCTCTGCAATCCCGTTCGCGTCGCAGAAGCTCAGTGGCATGCCGGAGGTGAAACAGGAACCGGCAAAGTCGGTCCGGGAAATCCCCGAGACTCCGCAAAAATGATTTGAATGTTGGAAATTAGACAAAGTTGTACTGGGATGTTGGACCGGCGGAAAGAAACCGGCTTTGTCTTGTTTGACTGGGGCCATCAGTTCCGTTTGTTGTATAGGCCCTGTTGTGCTTTTCTACGGTTCCGGCTTTGCGAGCCATAGGCTTGGTGCCTGCCGTCATGATACCCTCCTGCCCGAGTTGGCCTATTAATTCTTTAATTCATTCGGCCTCGTCGTCTACTGTCTGCTCACTTCTTCTCCTGTACATACGTTCTGGACCTCGTGTCGCGGAAGCAATTGGCGAGTCCCGCAAAAGGGCCGCGGACTTGGGTGAACTGCCGCCTTCCTCAAAGACATGTCAGATCCGAGGCTATGGGATCCGCGGGTGTGCGAGCCTTGGCATGCGGAGTGAGTGGTGCAATCCATCATCCATGCGAGTCAACGTGGATGGATCAATGCCGGCGATTTGCCGGCCACTGCGGCCACCCGTCGGGCCCCGAAATTTCTGATGGTAGTGGGGGAACTCCAGCGCTGGGGGGGTGGGGGAGGGGCACATGGTTGCATTCCGAGGCGCGTTTCGTTATCATCCAGTACCTGCACTACCTAGTTGAGATACACGCCCGCTATCTCTGCTACCTATCTTGTGTGTTGAGAATTTTGCATCTCATAAGGTGTGCATTCATTAACACCAGATGTCGACTGTTTAGACTTGTGAGACTTGATCGCCCCCCCTGCATCTGACAACTCTGCTGGACGACGTCACTCGTTCACTCACCCGCTTAGGCCATCGCGCCCTGACTCACCTCCTCCAGTTCATCTCATCTCACAACTCAACAACTTCACCTCAAACCATTGCCAACACACGCATCGCCCGCCATGGCGTTCACGATGCACTCCCATTCGGGGCAGTTCTGCCCCGGCCACGCAAAGGACCAGCTCGAGGCCATCATCCAGCATGCCATCAGTATAGGCTACAAGACCATGGGCCTGACGGAACACATGCCCCGTCTCGATATCACAGATCTCTACCCTGAAGAAGTACGGCCCTCTCAATTCCATGTCCTTCGGTATCCAACAGGCTTACCTTAATCCCCCCCCCCCCCAGCTCGCAGAGGGCGATCCCGAGGCCTCCATTGCCGTCCTCGCACCCCGGCACGAAGCCTACCTTGTCGAGGCCCAACGTCTGCGCGAGAAGTACGCCTCCCAGATCGACCTGCTCATCGGCTTCGAGGGGGAATGGTACCGGCCCGCCTACGGCCCTTTCATCGAGTCCCTCGCCGCCCACCCGGCCGTCGACTATTTTATCGGCTCGCTGCACCACGTCAATGCCGTGCCCATCGACTACAGCCGCGAGATGTACGTCAACGCGATGAAGACGGCGGGCGGCAACGAAGAGAGCATGTACGAGAGGTACTACGATCAGCAGCACGAGATGCTGACGGCGCTGCGGCCGCGTGTCGTGGGCCACTTCGACCTCGTGAGGCTCATGAGCGAGGACCCCGGACGGGACGTCAGGAAATGGAAGAGCGTATGGGAAAGGATCATGAGGAATCTGGCGGTCGTGAAGGAGTACGGTGGTCTGTTGGAGTGTAACAGCAGCGCGCTGAGGAAGGGTCTCGATGAGCCTTATCCTTGTCGGCCTATTGCCGAAGTGAGTTTCTCCCCTCTTCGCTTTCTGTCTCTTAGCACTCGTAGTCGAGGAGTCGTGTTGCGATCCGGGGAGCTGCTGCTGACGTTCACGACCCACAGGCTTGGCTCGAGATGGGAGGACGGTTCACATTCTCGGACGACAGCCACGGCATCGAGCAGGTCGCAACGAACTACAAGCGCAACCTGGACTACCTCGAGAGCCTGGGTGTCACGGAGGTGTACACCTTTGAGCGCGGGCCCGTCGAGGGCGTCAATGGGCACGCGAAAGCCGTGTTGCGGGAGAAGGGTGTTGCGTTAGGGGTGTTCCGGACGAACTTCAATTAGAGAGATGATTGTGGATAGACCGCTCCAGATGCTAGAATAGACCTAGACGAATGAGAACGATTCTGTATGAATTACAAAGACAAAGTACAGTCTGTTGCGTTGACAGCGTCGAAAGGTCTTTTTCTTTCTTTCTTTTTTCGTTTGCGAGTTAAGAACACCAACTCATGCTATCGCAACCACCATAAGCTTGAAGGGATGGTCTGTAATAAGTGATAATACTAGCCCATTCAGGCCCAGTTGGATTTATCGAGGTGGATAACAGTGACGCCAGCTGAGCCGGACAGATCTATTGCGATGAATCCGTATGGGCCCAGCTGGGCTAGCATCACTATTGCCCAAAGTATTACCATTGCAGACTATCCCTTCTATCTCATGGTGGTCGGGATAACACGCACAGACAAAAAAGTGACTTTTTCATGCCAACGCAATAGATGGTAATGTGGCACTCGAGGTCCGGCTCGTGGGACCGCCTCAGCTCAATTGTTATGTGTTATGTTGGAATCGAAACCCAACGCCAATAGCTTGAGAATTTCTGGTTCATTGACGTCTGCAGACTCGCAGTCACGTAGAGTTACTTACACATGATAATTGCAGACGCTTACTAGTATCTATATGATTGGGTGATGATGACAGGGCTGTCAGAACGCAAACTCACGCACACTCTGCGATGGTTAAACACGACTCTGGTTCTTGCCCCATGCCCCAGCATATCGAAAAGACTTCATCAAGAACACTGAAAACCCACAGCTCACTGGTTGAAAACGGCAACTCACGGCAGTGAACACTCTCATACCACAGACGCAAAATTTCACCCTAATTCAGCTCTCACATTCAGCGCCCATGTCTAGGCAGGCACAAGCAGCCTCAGGCTGGTGGTCAACCCCTAGTGCACCGTTGCTGCCAATATTCATAAAACATCACCAATCGACCCAAGATGACCACCAATCAACAAATGAGCCCGTGATGGCCTCACAAACATCAAAAAACATGACCCCCACCCGATTTGAACGGATAACCTTTCGATCTGGAGTCGAACGCGCTACCGTTGCGCCAGAGGGCCGATGTATGACGTTCCGGATCCGGAGACGCTCAGATGACGATGGATCGGTTGAGCAGGCTTATGAATGAGTCGGAATGAGTCAGTGGGGCGCATGAGATGACAAAGTGGGTCTTTCGTCTTACCGAGGGCACCACAAAGTATAACTCCTGCGAGGGGAGATGAGATGGCACCCTATAAGGTTGTCGGCTTTGGCAAGCCTTTTGCGGATTTCCGAGTGAGGTCTACTCATTTACATTGAGTGCAAAATGCTACACATCTGAATGTTGATAGCGAGTTGTGTCGTTCCAATTGGGGTCGTTGTAATGAGGCCTGAGAGAGCCATCCATCGACGTTGCGACCCCGCTCGTTCGCTGTTGGCGGGGTTGCCCCCAGGGGCACCCGCGATTAAGAAAGAGTGCCCGTACAGCTGAGAATTGTATAGCATCTGCAATTCTATCGTTTGTATAGGATGATTGGCGCTCGGCTGACTTGAGAGATTTGCGCTGGGTGAGGCATTTCAACCGGCAGATGCAACCACAACTCAATGTCTGCTGTGGCCGCGCCAGGGTGTATCCCAAGACACCTCAACTAGTGCTATTAGAGACCTGAATCTAATTTGTAGATCGTCAAGGTTGATAGCAGAACCAAGTGCGATTTCGTCTCTCACCAGGTATCTATTCAGTCGTTGGAAAGACGCCTGCATCCCGAACAAGAAAAGCACCAACCAGACCCACGCTTTCATGTAAAAACTGATGCGCGTCTTTGCTCAAAGGGGAATGCCTAGCTAGATTCGGCGGGCATCCGCTCTTATTTGGTCGGTGTTTCGTGGCTCGTTCTGCCCTAGTACGGCAAGCTAAAGAGACAAGCTTCAGCCTCTCGGAAAATTGGTCCTGAAATCCCTTATCGCCTACTTGATGCTCGCGCAAATATTGACAAGCGACCGCCCCTACTATGGCACCCTTGAGAAGCCGACCTCGTGGGCCGAGAGAAGCTACCCGGCGAAATGTTCAAAGGCCATGGTTTGAAGCAAACTCCAAGTCAACCGCGCATCTGTACCGAGGGGACAAAGAATACTCCCAGCAACGCTCGCAACCTGGAACATGAATCGGCCTCGTTGTCCCGTCTTTTGATGACTTATATTCTGGGACCTGACAAAGTCTGACTTCATCATGGCACTCCTCGCCACTTTTCCTTGCCGGGCTTATTGCCGCCCAAGGACCAGGGGAGGGAGATACCGATCATTTTGCCCCTGTTTCTGCAGAATGTTCCTCCGACTTGGGAGTGAGGCCTGCCTCGGAAGTGAGGACTCATGTTTTCGCATCACGAGGCCAAGCTGTTGGTTTCTTGACGGAAGGATGATCACGGAGCGGGTCGTCTTGGAAAGCCGGCCGTGGAGTGGTTATCCCGGCGCTCAGCTCGTGCCTCACGTTGGTGAACATCGATGGCTTTGATGTGCTTGGCTACATCCGTCGACTCAACACCTCCAGATTCCCTGTTATCGTCCCCTCCGACACGGGGACGGTACTCAGTCCGGTGTTGGGGGTCTGGGAATCTGGCAAGCCTTTGATGCCCGCAACCCTGCCACGGTTGCGGTCCGCATGGGAGGTCTGACGCAGGCCATGACATACATCAATGGTTTGAGTGGAGGTGGTGCTCTCCGAAGTCGTTCCCGAACAGTTACCCGAACAGTTGCCCGAACATTGAAAGCTTCATCTGGCCTGGGAGGAATGCCAACAACGGTTTCAATCTGGCCTCCTACGAAGTAACCTTGTTCGAGTTCGGATGTTAGTAGGGCGGAAGAATCCAAGCTTTCCTGCCGGCGATGTACCTTGGAACCTCAATGACAAATGGCAAAGCACAGAACGCCAGCGAATGTGTGCGGGGGCTCGACAAGTTCACCTTCGTTTAGGGGTTCACGGCCGACGCCCTCAACGCCTGGTTCATTGATGAATGGTACGATACGCCGATCTTCGTCAAGCGCGAGCTGAGGACCGGACCGCCGACGTCCGATGGCATCGTCCCACATCCGCAGTCCGAGGATGACAGACGCGTAATCAATCCCAGTCAACCAGACCGCCCAATTCTTCAACCAGATACTCCACGAGTCTTTTTTGGACCGCGCAACCGAGCCTTTTTGCGAACTGCAACCAAGACATGCAGATATGTGAGCATCGATGATCTCCTCATCGACGGGAGTCTTGGGGGAGAAACGAATCTCATTCGCTCCCTGATCATTCCCGAGCGTCAAGTGGATTTCATCACCGTTTACGAAGCTTCCTTCAGTCCGCCGCCCAGGGCAACATCCTCTTCCCCCGGATCCCCGACGTCGAGACCCTAGCGACTCGGAATCTGACCAAGCAGCCGACCTTCTTCGGCTGCAATGCCGCCGGCTCGTCTCCCATGTCGTTAGTTCTCTACCTTCCCAATTCGCCGCGGTCCAGCTACATCAACTTTATCCCTTTTTCAAGTCGTCCTTCACGGACAGCAAGTTCGACCTGACGGCTGACAAAGCCTTCAACCTTGCCACATACGGCAGAGGTACCGTCGGCTCCTCGTGACCCGTCTGTCTCGCCTGCGCGAAGATCCGGAGTCTGAAGAGATTTGGACTTGAGCTACCGGGCGAGTGTCAAGAGTGCTTCGGGTACCACTACTGGGACGGCTCCGTTGCCACTCGCACAGTCATAGTGGGGGAATCTCAACCCTAGGCTGCGGCTTAACCCGGGTACGTCATGTGCGGAGCGGAATAAGACGTATTGGAGCAGTCAAACAAGCATGGGTGCAAGCAGTGAAGTCAGCGGCGCTGGAGGCAGCGGTTCGCGAGGGGAAGAAGCTATGCCATCGTCCTCGCTGAACCCATCCAGAGCCTCGACGACAGCTGAAATCGGAAGAGCTGCCGCTGCTTTAACTATAGCTTCTATCATCGCCCTCAAAGCATTGTTTTAGAATGGGCCTCTAAAAGGAATAGATGTAACTACCACATGCCCTACTAAGGGCCAAAAGAAACATTATATCTATGCGGCTGCAGTGTTTCAGGGGCGAACGGCCCGTACTCGCCGTCTTTATGCTCTATACCAAGGACGTCTGCAAATATTTCCCTTGCTTGCGAGACCAAGACGGGGATATTACTCAAGAGACCCTGGGCAAGGTGCATCCAGTCGGTGACGCCCGAGAGCTTGATGCGGAGAACCTAGCGAGGGAGTGTTGGGTCAGCTCTGCGGTAGTAGGTGTCAAACGTCTCAGATCGCTCACCTCGAGTTGGTCTCTCACGTCCTGGTCCTCTTCTAACGGTCTCGAGAGACGGATTGTTCTCTGTGTGTGCACGACGTATTTGGCAATCTTGTAGAGCTTTGAGCAGCCGTCCAACACGCTCCGTACATCGCACCCTTCCTCCTTGGCTCCCGCCAGAAACTGGACAAACTGCCCCATTATCCTAACGTTGAGATCGGCATGCGGCCCCATAGGTTCTTCGAGCGAAGACCAAAGAAGTATAAGGCTTGCCGTCACTGGGTAGCAGATCATAGCCCTTTGAAAATGAGAATCAGCAACCGGTTCATATCGCTCGCAGGAATACTCACCATATGTGCACATAGGGCTGCGTTGGTATCAGCCGCAAAATATCAATGGTCGCCCGCGCTGCCGATGTACACTTGGCATAGGACTTCTCTATCGTCGGCAAAGACTCGCTGCTCAGCCACGCGCTATACAACGGAGACGACGGGTGCAACCTCAACGCGTTCTTAATCCGGGCCAGAGCCATGTGAGTCTTGATCAAAGCATTGAAATATACTAGATGCAATAGGGCGACCGGTATCTCTAGCTCTCTAGTCGTAAGAAGGGCGGTGGGATCAGGCTGCAGATCTTCAGGGAGCGAGCTCCTCCATTCTTCAAGCTCGTGGTTGCATGCCATAACGATTGCGTGGTGATCTGTACCTGACTGGAGTTGAAGACTGTGCTGCGAAAACTGCTCGTGAATCCGCAGCTGGATTCGAGAGAGCCAGGCTATACTTGTGACGAAGTTTAGTGGTTGTGTAGCTGGGTCGCCAACGACAATGAATCCCTCGACGGGGTATTCGATTGTTTCACCATGTTGAAATGGTGTAGGCAGTCCGAACTTGACCATCATGTCCGTGTTTAGGATGTGTGCCGCCCAGAAAACTCGCTTGCGCCGCTCTCTCTCTACGGCATTGAGGTTGATATAGGCCTCTCTCTTATTCAGCCCCAAGATCTGTAGTGTGCGAGCTGCCGCAGAGGCCAGCTGGGAGGTTGTACGGGCATCGGTTGTTCCTAGCGAGAATGTAGTCATAGCCAGCATCGCTTCGCAGGTTGATATGTCATTTCCCCGGGCTACGAGTTCCGGAAAGATTGCATATGCGTTCTTGAAGTAGCACCAGCTGCTCACACTCATCTTCTCGAAAGAGTCGTTTGTCGTCCTCCATCGCATGGCAGTTCCGAAAAGGGCGTTGACGATGGCAAACCTCGCCGGGCTATCATTGCTGTTGCCGGGACCGGCCGCATACTGCGCATCAACGAGCCCCAAGAAGTGACTGCTGGTAATAGACGGACAAAAAAGTTGCACCTCTTCGATCAAAGTCCGCTCCATGTCGAGGAGGTATTCCTTTGGAGGGAGTCTCACGAAGCTCTGTCTTTGGAACGGTCTCTGGTCCATTTCCGCCTCGAGCTGACTTCGTACATTGCGAAGCCTAGCCAAAAAGGCAGCACGCAGTACGGCGTCATTTGGGAGGAGTAGAATGTCAAAGGGCACGCTTCCCTCAGCATCAACAGAGTGTGGTTGATCAGTTGGACCACTGTGCCCTTCTTGTGCTAAGCTATCCGGGACTGTTGGTGAAAGTATTGAGCTTAGAATTGCCTGAGATTCCGGTGTGTTGCTTTGCCCTCCATGCTGAGATCGCGGACTTGTACGCCGGGCCTGGTCGTCAAGCCCACCTGCGTTCGCAATGTGATTCTCCTTCACGTTGAGTAGACGCATTTGCTTCAAAGACGCTTCGACACCATGAGGCCTCGGCTCAGAGTCGTTCGATGTCTTGTTTCTATTCGTACATGTAAGTATCGTATTAATCAGTATCGATAGGTGTTGGGCTCAGACTTCCGTCCTGGACCTCTCTTCTTTCGTTGTGTGTAGACACAGGGCACATGCAGCCGCGAGCAGAGCCCGCAGACAGGTTCATACCCATCACAACGCCGTTTTCTTGCCTTGCAGTTCTGACATGCCTGGAGAATACGATCAGAACGTATGGCTCCAATGACCCCAAGGTCACTTACACTATAGATCCGCTTCTTGTGAGGTTTCTCCCCATTGTCGTCATTGGACTCCGCACTTTCCGCAACACTAACCATGGTCAGGACATGAGAACGATGAATGATGGCGGCATGCGGGAGATGAGAGTTTGTATCCGCGACAGGATTGAAGAAGAAATCATCCGCCCTGAGAAGCTGACCTGCCGTCGGGGGGGTTGGACGCAGAAATTAGGGTGGATATTAATAAGCATCCGCGCTTATGTGGTGCAGCGGCGGATGTTTCTGCGGATGCAAGCAGGGATTAATAATAATAAATCTAAACAGCGTCCGCCGTAGGTGGGCACCACTCATCGAGGGAAGTCGAGGCATCGCCCGTCCATGGCGGATAGAGAATCTACACCCGCCGAATTATCGCCTCAGCGGTGTGTTCATGATCCCGCTTCTTGACAGTCACGTTCCGACAAATCACTCCAGGTATATCGGGCACAGCAAAGAAAGTTATGAGCCGCTCGCAGCTGAATAATGATCAACTACGTGGCTTTGAGTGCGAGAAAGAAGTGCGTGACATTATCGAGGTAAGACGATGGCAAAGTATATATAACGATCCCCATTGACCAGACTAGATATCGTGTCGGACAGCCAGCGCCTTAGCCGCGACAATCACTGCATCAAACCAAACATCCGAACGTGAAGTCACAGACTCTTTTGCCTTGCATCGCCAACATGAGCACTTTCATCAACGTTGCCCTCCTCGGTGTAAGTCCCGCCTCTCCCTCTATCTACTATAGCGTTAGTAGTAACTATTTCGCAGAAAGGATACCTTGGATCCGCTATCCTCACGGAGCTTGCCAACGCTGGTTTCAATGTCACCGTCCTCGGCCGCTCTAATTCAGCCAAGGAAGGACTTCCCGCCGGCGTCAGGTTCGAAGCCGTCGACTATGCCTCTATTGACAGCCTTGCCCCCGCTCTCCAAGACCAGGATGTGGTTGTCTCGACTGTGAACAAGGGCGGCATGCTCACACAGCCTACTGTCATCGACGCCTGCATCAAGGCCGGCGTCAAGCGCTACATTCCATCCGACTGGGGCTCCTTCACGACTGACCCCAAGGCACATAGCGAGCTGGCCGCCGTCCTCGGCCCAATGTTTGACACCCAGAAATATGTCATCGAAAAGGCCCGTGCCGGCGAGATAGAGTACACCATCTTCTCCATCGGCTGCTTCACCGATTATCTTGTACACCTTCCCATGGCCTTCGACTTTGCGAATAAGAGTGCAGAGCTGTTCGATGACGGCAAGCACAGCTTCAGCTCCACCAGTATCGCGGGCATCGGAAAGGCCATCGTCGGCGCCCTCAAAAATCCCGGGGCGACCAAGAACCGCAACCTCAAAATTCACGAGCTCGTAGTCTCTCAAGCACAGCTGCTGGCGCTGGCAAAGAAGCACTCGCCGCCGGGAGCTCAGTGGACGGAGACCAAGCTGGACGGCAAGGCCGAGTTCGACAAGGTTTTGAAGGCTGCTCTGAAGGACGCTTCCAACGAGCACAAGATACTGCAAGTCATAAAGACTGCTGTCCTCGGCGGACGCTACGCAAGTGTGTATGACGAGGTTGACAACGAGCTGGTCGGCCTTCCGCTTCTTACCGACAAAGATCTAGAGGCAAGAATGACGGCTGCTTTCAGTCCTTAGAATGTGCGCGAAGAGACTGGTCGTGGCAAATTCAAGTAAAGTCTCTAGTTTCTTAATGGACAGTATAGTTACAATATAAAAAGGGCGTCAGTCTAGCAAGGTCTTCTTGGTTCTTGCCTGTTCTGTGTTCTGAGTATCTTGCGTGATAGACTAGCAACCATAAACGCTTTGGAGGAGCGGGTTGGAACTGGAACTTGTTTCCACTTCGGCAAAGTTAACGGTGTAACGAAAACGGGAATTCAGGGAAATGAAGACAACTCGGGGCGATTCGGTCTCCGAGAATGTCCGTCAGCCAAATATTGAGCAGCTTCCCCCATCCAACAGCCTCCCGGATTCTCACTGCAACAGATCCGCTGACACCCCTATTTCAGAAGGTTCATAAGTTTGACCAATCTTTTGTCCTCTCAGGAGGTTCAAAGCTCGACCCTGATGACACCTTGCTCTTTACTACTGATACAGACGCGCCGAACGGCGAGGTTGCCGTTTCCCCACATGTCTCAATTCTCTGATATTAGGTATTCCGAACTATGGTGTTTAACCCCCATGGTGCTTGTATGGCTAAAACTTAGCAGGGGAACTACAAAAGCCGGTAGGATCGAGATGGAATTCGCTGTCTCGAATGTACAAGTTGCCGCAGGGTTGGATGTCCTGTCCACATCTGTTGGAACGGTCAACAATGCCAAGGGGCCAGCTACCCTAGACATTGCTTCCCTTTTTTGCCTCATGTTCCCTTTGCCGACTCGCCGAGATGTGGCGGGCGGATGAACGGGTGTTCTTGGTGAACAGCCTCATGGCGGTTATGAGTTTCCACACCATGACTCGGACGCCTGACTGTGATCATCAGATTATGCATCCAGGGCAGGTCTGGAACGCCCGAAAGCAAGGTTGACTTGGCACCCCACGCTAAAGGACGCTTGCCCCCCCCTTGCCCAGCGTGACCAATCCCTTGAACAGACGATGCGGTTGGCGTTCGACAGCGAATTAGACCCCGCGGCCCGCGAGCGCTACCAGTTTAAGCTTCGGGCTAATTCATACGGTTGTCGTTCGCAGCGACCTATTCACTAGTGGTTGGGAGTATGGCGAGTGCGCCTTTAAAATGTTGAGGCTTTGGGTGATGAAATTCAGTCGTAGGTGGGGTGCGAGTCGGCCCCGATGAGCAGCGATTCCATGGGAAACTAGACCGTGATAGGCCAGCCAATGAATGTGAGCCTCGGTTGCCATTCTCGGAAGAAGCAGGTTTTGGCACCCCGGCCGCTCGCCGGGGCCGGATAGAACGCCGGGACCCAGCGGGGAAGCGAATACGGTGCGGAACGGGCTGCATGCGGGGCCGCTCTTCGGCCCCTGAACCGTGCCACTCTTCCGGGCAACGACTGCCCATTGGTGCTCTCACTCATTGCTTTGCCATACACCCAACACGGCCCCCCTTTCTCGTCCTGTCATCTTAACTCGTGCCTCGTGCTGTAAGGCACTTCTTGCGAGAAGATCCTACAATGCACAGTGAGACTTCTCTCCCTCTTTGATAATATACCTACCTAGCCGGCAATGATTGGGGTTAGCACCGAGAGCTGCTTAAGTTTGCTATCCCCTCTCGCAAGCATGAGGTGACACGACACAACCCCACCGCCGTTATCCCCCCCCATTGCTGTCTGCCTTGGCACCTAGATAAGCCACCTCGCCATCTTTCCCAACCAACGCTGTTTGCGCGTATCCTTGTCCTCCGGGACCTACCTACACATTCTCCCATAGGGCCAGGAGGCTTGTGACAAATGATAGCAAGAAGCCCGGTCTATGATTTAGCGAATGTTCTCCCCGGGCAGAATGCCGTGGTACCTTTGTTCTCATTTCGCGCCACCACACCGACTATTGCGACTCACAGTGCAGCGAGAGGAGCGCTGCAACCTGCGCTTTCAATTCTCAATGAGGGGTCAAACATCATCCCTGCCCAACCCCGCTATAAGGAACCTCTCAACTGACGTCAAGCTATCGGCTTCACGTCGACGACCTCCGTTTCTCCCCAACCCAGCAACGCTCAGTCACTAAAGGCGCTCCCACAAACGCATCATCGCATCAGAGAAACCAACTTCATTGTTGTTTTCCCGCTTTCATCTCAATCCGCGTCACCTAAAGGATAGCCACTACAAAAACCGCCCCAAAATGAAAATCAAGGCCCTCAACGTCTACCCCATTAAGGCCCTCCGCCCGATCCCCCTGGAATCAGCGACCCTCACCCCACAGGGCATCCTACACGACCGGACCTACATGCTCTTCAAGGTGAACCCGGACTCGTCCCTCCGCAAGATGCAGCTCTCCACCTTTCCGCAATGCGCCCTCTTCTCCCAGGAAATAGTCTCCTCGTCACCAGCCTCCGGCGAGAGCGGGGACACCATCCTCGTCACGTACAACACCCCTAACCCGCCCCTGGTGGACAAGCACCCCCTCCAGGACACGGTTCTCTTTGTGCCCCTCGTCCCGGACACCGCCAGCTTCCAGCCCGTCTCCATCGACCTCCATGGAAGCCCCGCCGAGGCTCTCCGCATGGGCGACCCGTACGACGCCTTCTTCTCCGCCTGCTTCGGCTTCCCCGTCATCCTCGTCCATATCGGTTCAGGTCGCCGCGGGGTTCTCGGTACCTTTGCGCCGGCATCTTCGTCTCCGGCTTCCTCGTCTAAGCAGCAGCCGCCCTCTGCCTCCTCCTCCCTCTTGTCGTCCATCACGTCCTTCCTCCCATCCATCAAATCCCCCGAACCCCGGAACGAGGAAGAACGCGACCCCGCGTGGCTCACTTTCACCGACTGCGCGCCCTATCTCATTACCTCAACCTCCTCTCTCTCCCATCCCTCCTTGGCGCCCTTCAAAGAATACTCCCTCATGCCCAAGTTCCGGCCCAACATCGTCGTAGACGACCCAGCCGAGGCCCCGTTCGCCGAAGACTTTTGGGCTGAGCTCTCCCTCCCCGGCTCCGGCTCTGGCTCCGGCACCGGCGGCCCGACCAGCGCAAGACTCCTCCTCACAGCGAACTGCGGCCGTTGCTCCTCCCTCAACGTCGACTACGACACCGGCCGCACCGCGGATGGGCAGGAGGGGACGCTCCTCAAGACCCTGATGCGAGACCGCCGCGTCGACCCGGGACACAAGTACGCGCCCGTCTTCGGGCGGTACGCATTCCTCGCCGTCGACGGGGCCGAGGAGAAGCAGCAGCAGTCCGAAATCCGGGTCCATGTGGGGGATGAGATCGTCGTCTCTCGCCGCAGCGACGAACGCACTGTCTTCGACTGGGATTTCTCGGTCTCGGCCAAGAAAGTCGCAGCTGTTGCATAGCATAGCTTCTTTTTTTTTTTCAGAAATTTTTTTCATGCCGCAATACGCGCCTCCCAACCAGCGTGCGCGCCGCTCAACACTTGGATGGCTCCGGTTTTTCCCGTGTGAGTGAACGATGAATGTCAGATATCACATGTTTGTAAACACAGAAAGTAGAAGGTAGCATCCTGAAGGGGGGCTTGTTCACCGTAAAAAAGAAAAAACGCCGCTAGTATGTGAAGAAATTGTCGAACCAGAGAGGAGGGAGGTGCCATACGACAGCCTTAAACGCCATGTAACCCTCCCCCCCCTATGCCGGTCATCTTTCTCGGTGTCGCCATGTCATGATTATGAAAGTGCAAGAACACTCAAATCATGAGATTAGAGCCGCGACTTGCCCGCTTTGCCGTTTTCCCCACCGACACCCCCTCCGACTACCTAGTTCTGCATAGGTATCCCGGTCCTCGGCTTGCCTATCGCGACAAGATGCCTACGGAGGGGTAGAGTAAGTAGATGGGTACAAACCGGCCAAACCACGAAGTTGGACTCTGCGAGACTTCCGGCAAATTGCCTTTTCAGGAAGCCCGTATAATATGTAGACAAACGCGCAACTCAGACACCTTTTGTTTCTCCAGGCATTGCCGGGGAGTCCACCCACCCACACCAGTAAACGTACATGGGAACGGGTGGGTAGGGAGGGGGAGAAGAAGAAGAAGAAGAAAAGGAAGAAACACGGAAGTATTTACCCGATGTCTTCGGCGCGGGGCTGATGTATATATGCGGTTTCCCGATGTCGAGGCTGCTCGAACAAACTTAGAACAAGATCGGGGGGGGGGGGGGGTTGCAGTTTATCTTCTCTTCAAGCCATATTACCAAAGTTGTCGGGGCCGAGTTCGAACCTCCCTCTCACACGCCAAACCAAATTTCCCGCTCAGAGTCTCTTTCGCCCGTTCTTTTACCATCGGAACACACCGCCTGGCCAGGCTTCGTGACCACAAGGACGAATCGCTCGTCGTCGGTGGAAAGAAACAGCCTCTCCTGGAGGGCCTTCGTCACAACGGGACCTGGCATACCTTCCCAAATTGGGCATCGCAAATAAGAAGGTAAGAAAGAAAGAAGAAGGAAGGGGCTTCAATGTTGCTAACCAAACGGGAAAGATTGTCAACAAAGTAAAAATAAAATAAAAGATTAAATTCCCGAAATAGGGCCACGCCGTTACACGACAATCGGCTTCCCTCGCCGAAATCCTCGCCCCTCCCCAAGGGGAATCGGAGAAAAACAAAGAACGCAAGAAAGGACTGTGGCATCCCTCGGGACGATCTGGTCCGCTGCAGCAGCTGTGCCGTGCCGCGCCCGTACAACCTGCCAGATGTACATACGAGCAGCCCATGTCATGCCGTACTCCCCCTTCTTACCCTTGGCCTCCCGCGCCGCCCACACTTCTCGGGCATTTCCTTGTGCGACGGGAACACAGAAATGTCCCGGTAGAAACATGAGGAACCCTTGTGAGTTTTCCATTGCTGATGTATGACACCTGTTACGCCGATTCTTCACCGACTACTTCGTACACGAAGGCCTAAGGCAGTCTCTCTTTCTCTCTCTCTTTTCACACATACACACACACACACACACACACACACACACACACACACAGCCCCGGGGCTGCGCACCTCCAGATCGGGTCCCCATGGTGACACCTCGGAGGGGTATTCACCGCTAATACGCCTCTCTTCAATCTGGCATATACAAGACAGGCGTTTAAATCAGTCAATCAATCAGAGATGCGATACACTTTTTGGTTTTTGTGTTGGCCTTTGGCCGTCATGCTGCAGTATCTACGTCGTACAATTCGTTTTCCCGTACGAATCACAGGCACTCTATCCGTACTCTACTACTATTATAATTTAGACCAACCGGACACATTACCGTATCCCGCCTGAAACGACACTCGGGGCGGAGGTGGAATGCAATGACAAGTAAGCCTCGTCAGCAATCTCGGCACGAGAAATGGATAACCCCCCCTTTCACCAAAAATTGATGAAAAAATGACAGGCTAATTACGAGTGGTCAAGCCCAGCGCTGGACAAGAAATGGCAAGAGGCCAGTGGTGCAAATCAGATAGATATAAATAATAAGAAAAGTCGAATTGACAAGTAACCGCCGTCCAGTCCGCCAGCATTTGCGTGCTGATCTAGCTTAATCTAATCCCGTTTTTTCTTCTTCTTGTTCGCCATGTCCCTTGATACCGCTTTTATAACGCCCAAAGTCTACTGTTGGAGAAAGAAATTTCATCTCACCAAACTCCTTATCCGCCTGCGGCACTCCTCCTCGATCCCGCCGACTCATCCTCACCAAATCCCACCTGCCACATGATGGATCCCCAAAGGGCAAATAAAGAAATACGTGTTATCAGTTTCCCGATTGAGGAAGGGGTATTGGGCTTCGTGCCGCTGATATTAACTCCGTTGCCGTGTGTTGACCAAATGTGAAATGCGAATGGACAATGCATATTTTCGTCCTCGCGGGCGAATCAGCAAGTCATCCACCCAGGATCTCGACGAGTGATCTCCCTGCTAATTTCGACCCAGCCCGTGCTAGCTGTTCAGACTGTAACCGTGGCAAGATGCCATCATCCGGGCTGGGCTATTGACACAGGCGCTAGAACGATGCCCTGTGAACGGGGATGTGCTTCCCGCTGGGGCCGCCGCTAGGGCCGTCCAACTGCAGCCAGCTGCATAGGTGCCTCAGCCAGAGGATTCCACGTGTGCCTTGCAGCGCGCCAGAATTCGACACCGCTGAGCTAAGCCAGAACTAGGACCTTGCCGGGACGGCAGGGGTGGCGGGGCCGGTGATCGGAGCTAGGGAGGGTTACAAAGAGAATGAAATATAAGAAAAAAAAATTCAAAAACTCAAAAAACGAAAAGAGAAATAGATCCATGGCATTCATGGGGCTAGTCTCGTTGCCATTGGCATGAGTGAAGGGATCGGAGAGAGCGGGTGGATGGGTGAAAAGAAGAATCCGGTGTGGTCAGATCGACGTGGTCTAGCTCTGGCGTCGATCGCCAGGGCGCTCCTCAGGTTGTATGCATCCGGTTCTGCTCGACTGGGGCGACACCACAGCGTTGTCATGAGGGTAAAGAATTATCACAGTCGTTCAGGGTATTGGCGGAATCTAGGCTTGTGTTAGCGGGTAACGAGATGTGTTGAAAGGTGTCATCATTCGCAAGTGCCATAAGGCTTTTACTCACGATGCGCATAGAGCGGAATGAAACAAGAGAGGGTGATGAGATCGGGATCGGATAGGGCGAGACAGGCATCGGATGTTGTGGTGGTGATAAAAGGGAGTTTGCGTCACCAAAGGCAGCTCGTCTGAGACGCCGGTGGCTGACCGCCTAGAGCAAAGACCGAGGGAATGTCTTTCGAACATACCTTAAGCGCATCCAATGCAAACCCCACCCCCCACGTCGGTCTCTCCCTTTGTGGTAAACACAACACTGTCTCAGGCGTATGCGATGACAATGCCGCCTGAGGATGCATTCGACGTGGGAAGTTCAGGCGCTCTGGGTGCAGGGTCGGCACGTGTGGATTTTGCAATACCGGCATTCGAAGATGCACCAGTGAGGGCCTGAATGGCATAGGTTGCAGGTCCACTGGATCAGAGTGCTATCCGACTTGATCATCTTGAAAGAGTGGGCGCAGGCGCTCGCGACGGCCATGGCGAATAGAAAATGAACGAAGCTTGGGTACTTGGGACGTGGCGTTCGGAAAGGGTCTGGACCGTACTGAAGGCCCCGTGCGTTCGTTGCGTGGTCAATGTCCGATGTAGGTGTGGCTGTCTTGGGTCCTGTAGGTCGAGCTTGCCGTTTGCTGATGGGGTGGTTTTCCTTCTTTCTTTTCCCCCTCTTGTGGTTGTGAAAGAAACAATTTTGGTAGCAAGTGGCAGGGAGGCAGTCTCCTGAGCTTCGGAAAGCTTCCCTTTTGGCCCTGGAAGCTTGAGTCAGTCTCTCTTTCCACATTCAACGTGAGTCTGAAAGGTACTTGAGGTATGTAAGGGTTTTGGGGAAGAGGGCTACCAATCAATCAGGTGAATTTGGAGCTCTGCCTCAGAGAGGTTGACAGTCGAGGTAGATGGGGGGGGAGGGGCAGGTCGAAAGCTGCGTCAACGGGTGCAGTTTTGCAGGAATTACCACAGTAAGTAGGCGAAGTGAAGGAAGTGAGGACCCGGCTTATCAGATGGTGAAGTGATGAAGATGAAGAATTATCACAAGGCTCTGTGCTGCTTTTGTGGGATGGATGTGACGGCAAAGGCCACGCCGTGAAAAGTGAATCTGAAAGGAGAGTGATGAGCCCCACGTCGAGGTGCCGCCGAGGAAGGCACTGCCCGGCCCGAGAGGCTCTTTCCCACTCCCGGGCGAGTGGAGAGAGGAAGGAAGAAGCCATATAAGGCCGTAAATAAGGAAGGCGTGCACGTAGTAAGGAAGTTCGGGGAGGAAGACAAGCGAGGCAGGCCAGGCAGGTACTAGAAATAATGGGTACCTACCTAGGAGAGAGAGAGGGGAGGGGAAGGCGGGCAGGAAGGAAGCAGCGTGCTTTGGATAGGGGCACGTAAGTAGGAAGGATTGAATAGATAAAAAACCTTACCGGTTGGAGGCAAAATATAAGATTTAGACAGACAAGCCGAGGTGAAGGAGGCGAGACGTGAAAGCGAGCGTCTTTGTGTCGATGAGACGATGTATGAAAATGTGTATCTCGTGGCAGCGAAGCGTGGGCTGTTTCTTATTCTTCCCAACAGCCAATGCAAGCCGGGCAAGGACCACCAGCTGCAATTGATGTCCAAAGCAACTGCGGTAGCTAATTCTGTGTGACGAGCAGCGTAGCAGAAACGATGGATAAGTTGAACGAGGTGAAGTGAGGTGAGGTGGAGGGTGAGCTGAAGCAATGCGAGGTGGGATGATGAGTAAAGTCGATGGGGATAATACAACTCGGACACTGGCATCGTCCCTCTCTCTTGGCCGACCGTCTGGCACTCCTTATATGGACGGATGGACCGCCCATGAGAAACAGACGGCCCGGGCGGACAGACAAAAAGCGTCTGATTGTAGCCAAGGTTGGGAGAAATCGGCAGGCCGTGACAACTCCTGAACTCTAACCTGCTGGTGGGTAGTAGGTCCCGTCGTCCCTTCGGCAGAGTTGCGCACTGTTTGTTCCTTCCGTTCGGACGTCAAACCCTGTCCCAGCTCCACAGCGGGAGTGTCGGATTGCGGACTGTCAATTGCCCCTCACGGGCGGTGTCTCTATAGCGCATAGGGCTGTCAAAGACGACTGGCTCTGAGTGGATGGATGGCTGGTGCCGTTGCCGCAAGTTGTGACGGGGCGAGGATGTGAGGAGCACCGGTCGAAAGGCAAAAAAAGGGAAGGGGGGCGGGGGGGGGGGGTGAGTTGTTCAATCGACCTGTTCCTCTGCCGAAATACACTACACTAGAGTCCCGATCCCACTGGAGGTGGGTGACAGAAGGGAGGAGCGGACACTCTAGAGTAAACGCTCCAGGGACGGCCCCTGCCGCTAATGGGGATATGGGCCCGAAGACAATCAGCAGCGTGTCGTACATATAGAAAGGTACAGCAGCCCAAGTGGTAATATATACCTATGTACGTTAGTACGTGGTATACGGTATTCACGTGTATGTGTATGCCATGGTTCCATTACACTCGGGCTGCTGTGCAGTAGTAGGTAGGTAGTATGAGCGTAGCACGCTGTGTGTCCACCCAATTTGCGGCATCGTGACTCTACCGAGTAGACGAGGAGACTAACTCCTCACATCTGCGATACCATTGCTTGCTGATTTGTGTGCATCTGTACCTACCAACGGTCAGCCGAAGCAGCGAAGGCGTCTTCTCGGCCCTTCCACGTCTTCATACCTCACCCGACTCGCCCCGAAAGACCCTTGCATCGGGTGCCATGACAAAATGTCTTCTGTCTGCTATGGCCCGGCCCGTTTCTTTTCTTACGGCACACATGCACAAACACACACACGCATGTGCTAGTCACTCCCTAGCCAAGGTACATAGTGTACGATCGTGGGTTGGTGCCAATAGCCATACATGCTAAGCAACTTCTTTAATGATGACGAATAGTGACGATGTTTGCTTGTTTCTTGATGTAAGAGTGCGGCCATCTGCCTCGACGCCCCTCCACGTCCTGCGTGCCATGCTCCAGCATGAAGCAGCGTGTAGCGCCGCGGCAAGGGATTTGATAGAAAACTCGACTGACAGGGCCCACAAGAATCTATCCATGTACGGATAGGTACCCTTCACCTCTAAGTAGACCCTAGCTAGCGACGGAACCGTAATGTATGGGTCCACTCTTTCGTCTCCCGTCTCTCTCCCATCTGTTCATAGTAAGACGGTATGTCACTCGGTTGGTGTAACACGAACAAGATTGTCGCCGCGACTGGTTATATCCTCTCCGTCAAACTTTTGTAAAGTTCACCGTCCAGACTCTTACGTCGTAAGTCGTCTTCAGGCAGGAACAGCCCATTTGTCCGCCCGACATTTCTGTTCCTGCTTAGGCCAATCATAGTCAATCGGTGTTGTCCTCTGACAAAATCAGGTCATCGGAGACGGCCCTCCAACGAGTAATTGATCTGGCGCACGCCTCTCGAATTTGCCTTGGTAATTTGACATCGATCTACATCGCAAGTCGCATACCGACAAATCTCTGAGATCCATGTAACTCGGTTGCTGTGTCTTGGGGAGTTTGGGTGCCGGCACGCCCGACTTTTCCGCATGTTGCCGGCAGGCTAAAATTGTCTCCTCCTGGAGGGAGGGGGGGGGGGGGGGGGGGGGGGCTAGCCTCAACTGCAATGTTTCTGTTTGACATTTAGGGAATCCTGCTCTGCCTACCCAGCTACAGGGTTGTCTGGCGTGGGCCAGTGAGTTCTGACATGTTACATCCTGCCCGCGCGCGGCTTGAGCAGTAGTTGACATGATAGGCTTGCGATCAGACGTGGCCCGGGGGAGGGAGGCTGCCATAGCCCTTGGAAAAACCGACATGATCATATCTGTATCCGTACTCCGTACTACAGCAGGTAATTGGCGGAGTGGTGCACTAGCGGCACGGCGCCCATCCCCCGTCCCCCGAGCCGTGGGAGTGATTGGCGCGTTCCAAGAATGATACACGTACCATGTGCGGAGCACGCTCTGAAGTCGAGTACGACATTCCAATTGGGTACGGCGGCGGTGGATCAAATACAGTACGACCGGGCCTCCGGATGCGCCATCCTTTCTGTCTTTAGACTACAGAGATCAATAAGTACCTCGACAATCCAGTCAGCGGGGGGGGGGGGGGGACCAGGAGGGGATTGCCCAATTCAGGCCTCCCGGTTGCTTGAGACGCCTGCTAGGCCAGCTTCCAATACAACACTGTAGCTTTTTGACAGAAATATGGAGCTGTTCGTCGGATACAACTTACAAGGCTGCTCGGACGGTTAGCTAGGCAGTACCGATGCATGAGTGGGCAGAATATCTCCAGCACCAGGGCCCTAGCATCAAGCGGCCGGCCAATGGCGAAGATCCTAAGCGATCCCGCTGCTCACCGTGTCTTTGCGCCACGGTTCTTCATGCGGGTCAGGGGCTCCAAGACAGGTATGGTGTGTGTGTATGGGAACCATTCTCGTGCTCCCTCTACGGGAGCGTTGCCCCGGGAAGGGACCGTAGATGTCGTCTTGACACGCCTCATTATCCGACAAGACGTGCGTGCCGCATCAGCTCTGGATAGGGCGCATGCCGTAGATACAGTACCTGTATCTTGCTGGAAAGCAACTGCCGGCTTGAAGCGAGAAGCATTGTGGCCTCGTCATGCTCTGCGAATGCTGCGTGCGCATCATGAGGTGGTACTTAATATCCTCAAGGTGATGGCATGGAAGTCGGTTGTGCGCGTGGCATTTGAGTCTTGACCGCATTGAGGCAAAGCCGCAGCAACTTTGCAAGGTAGCAGCAGTTCGTGGTTTCCGGGTGTGGCAGATCCTTTTGCTTCCTCCTTCGTTGCCCACTTATCGCTCGTCGAGCCAACCCAGAGTCGGATGGCATGCCACCCCAAGGATAATTCCCGGACGCACGAAGGACCACAAGGAGGGCAACCGAGAGTCGCATGCCGTCGCGAGATGGCCATTGAAGACAGGGGTCCGTGTTCCCATTCAGTCGCTGCGCACGCACGCACGCAGACACACCGCGGGCCCAGAGGAGAGACTAGAGTTTGATGACCCAGGAAGTCATTTGTCCAGGAGAAGAAGTGGTCCTATCGACACCAACGGCTTCGACTGAGCCGCATATCCCAGTTGGGATCGGATGCTATAAATGCTCATAATCGAGAACCATGGGTTACTGTTAGCGTTGCCTTCGCTGTTCCTGACTAGGCTTCTCGGGCCAGGAGCCGGGATACCTAGATCAAAGAGAAAAATGCGGGAAAGTAGATCATCGACGCCATGGCAACACGGTGAGCAGAACAGTGAATCATCCATCTCCAGGTCAGCTGCGGCAAGACCGCCCCACCTCCCCCTCAAAATTACTGTTCGCGCAAACGGCATCCGACACTGGATCAAACAATCAGGCTGTGTTGCCGAGTTGGCAAGCAGCGAGTAGGACCCGCCTTTGAGCCCCAGAGCTGGAGTTCTGGGCCCCTGTTGATGATAAACCGAGTGATTCGCTGCGCCGCTTGTATTTTCCTGGAAAACGATGGAGATTTGGGAAATATCAGCTTGTCGGCGAAATGGAGTCAATCCATTAGTGAAGTGTTCCATTCGAAGGGAACGGCTCTGAATGCAGCGTATGACATGTGTAGTTAGGCTGGGAGGAAAAGAGGGAACATGAACAGAAACCAGGCTAGCTGTTGTTGTCTCCTTGCCTCTGTCCCTCGCTTGTAAGGTGGATGAATTGAATGGCGTCTCTACTCCGTAATGATGGATGAGCAAGGGTAGCATACTATAGCAGTGTGACGGGCAGGCAAGATGACAGCGTCTGGTGTGATGCACTCGAAACAGTAACAGTCTTGAATGCAGTCGCTGCGTCTGCATCCGATAAGTACCAACAAACTTTCAAAGTACCTAGGTAGGTATACGGATCTACCTGTCAAGGCAGCGTCAACCTGCATTCCGGGCAATCAGTTCCTGCTTGAGCTGCAGTCTAAGTTCTCGGTCAGAGCTTTGCTGGCAACCCAACCCCACATGACGCCGGTGCTGATGGTGGGGATCCTCAGCTGCAGACTTCCCAGCTTGGCAGGTGGTGTCGTCACACGGAGCCAACACGGTGCTTTCTGCTTTGTGAGGTGCGAACGAAGTTCAAATGGCCAAACGATGGCAGGCGCAACGGACATGCCAACAGTACCAGATATGCTCAGACCAACCCATCAGAGCTCCGAGCAAGTTCGAGTAAAAAACCCCCATTGATTTATTGGACCTTCCCGCCTCGTCAAAGGTGGTGGTAGGAGGTACCTCGAAGCAGCGACTACGGATTGTAGATAAGGTACTTTGGGTACCTAGGTAGTAGGTGCAGTACTCATGGCGTGGGTAAACGGCCCAGACCGACCTGACACTTGCCCCCCCCCCCCCCCCCCCCGGATCTGGGGTTCGTTTGGCAACCATCACATGACCTCCACGCCGCCCCGGCTTTGGAGCACAATATTACCGGCAACTCACTCACCTGTCACTAGGTTCGAGAAAGACCCCACCTCCCTTGCCTGCACGAACCATCCATGTTACGAATATACTCGCAGAGACCATGGCAGAGCATCTTACTGCTTATTATCCGTATACCTGTCAGCTATGAGCAATCGATGCCCAGTCTACAGTGTTCCCTTGGAGCTGTGGCTATTGCTTCGCAGCTTACCCATCAGGGCCAGTTTTGGTGTGTCCTGAAAGATCAAGCCCACCCAGTAGCGGTTTGCTCCTGATTGAACAGGCCCAACTTGGACCCGTAACCTGCTCCTCCTCCTCATCACTGCTTCTCCACTTCTAGGCTAACTAACACTGACATGGGTACTTAACTGTGGTTCGATGGTGGCGCCGGCAAGAACCATCACACTCGGCGAAGTTGGGATGTTTGCCTTCACACCCACCATCTCGACGAAGCGAGAGCAGTTCCATGGCATGTGCTGTGTTTCCATCTAGAAACCTTCCATTACGATGTTGAGTATCCTTGAGTACGTCCCTCGGTCCTCGTGTGTTGCATTCCCGACAGGTAACCAGCACATCTAAAGCTTCGAGCTAATGCGGTGGTAACAAGCATGCAAATGCACTACGACTGTTGTGCCGGCCAAGATCTGCATCTAAACACTAGGGGCCACCGCCGTCAAATTATATTGCCGCAGCGACATCTTTCCTCCTGCTCCACCGTCTTCTCCTGCATCCTAGAATCAGTTCCCGGATTTCTTGCCTATGGTGGTTCCATCTTTCTCGCGCCAGGCCCGATTTGTAGACCGGCCCATTCACACAACACACAGTGCACATCGCCACAGGCTCATGGGCAACAACGACGAGTCCCTCTACCGATGCCCACGTCACTATTATCGACAAACACCGGCCAGCTGATAGACGCCTCATTTCGTCGGCAACAGACATCGCCGATCGAAGGCTTTGCTTTCTCGTCAGTCATGGCAGCCAGCTCGGCAGCAGGGGTGGGGGGGTGGTTGGCCTTATACATTACCCATCCTGCAGGAAAGAAAAGATCTTCATTCGACGCTTGTTCGCGGCCTAACCCAACGAAAAAGAATCCGTCTCATGGAACCCCCACGGAGTCAGCGGTTTCGAGATGTCGAAGAACATAATACGTGGGCCCAATACGCCATCTCCTGATCCATAAGTGAAGATAGCACGCCCATCCTCTCAAGACCATCATCATCTTGCTATTGGCGGGCACTAACCTCCGCAATCTCGTCATCAACACCAACCTTAACGCCCACGCAATAATTCTCAACTGATCACTGGGGACTGCTCGGAGAGAAGAGGACGCCCCTGCGTCTTGAGGCGTACGATTCTCACGCATCACGAGCGAAGACAGCCGGCCTGCGAAGGGTCTGTTCGGTCCAACAAACGTGGTTCCGGTGATTTCGAAGTTGCTAGGGATTGTAACCGGCTTATGCCTTTGTTCGACTAGGTTTCACATTGATTTGACCATCTGTTTGGGCCAATGATACCATGAATGTCTTTGACGCGATGAAGAATGAATTCAGAAGCGGGACGCGGGCAGTTACCCAGCTGTCTCCTCACCTCTCGTAGCACTTTGGCCCAGCATCTTGGGCGGGGATCAAGCATGCAATCGGGCAACTCACGTCACATTTAGCTTCTGCTGGCAGCCCAAGCCGCGTGGCGCCTCAAACCCATCTCCAGACAATGCGAAATATCGTGACACTCTTGTTACATTATAGAAAAGCCATGCTTTTGAGGGTGTTATACTATGGTGCGCCTAAACTTACTGCCCCCGACTACTGTTCCATTCCTGCTGTTGTTCTGTATGTGATATTCATCATCATTACTCGACAGGCGTATGTGTAAGTAACCTCATCGCTCGCTCGACTCGGCCGCCTGAGGCATGATCTCCGCACTTGACCTGGTCTTTGGGCTCACCAGCTCTTCGGGCTCCATGGCAACGGACGAGACCGACGCAAGGGCTTGGCCGGCCTCTATGAGCAGCTCAGGCTCGGCCTTGGTCTCGTCCTCCTTCTGTTTGACAGCTGCCTGTGCCGTTGACTTCGGCTTGGGGTGTAATGCCTTCATCTCCAGACCCTCGCTGTCACTATCCCGTCTCTCATGGTCCTCGAAGGAGAAGAGATCCGACAAGTTGATTGCGAGAAACGTCTTGGGGAGCTTGACTCTGCGACGGTCGTTAGCAGCACGTTCAAGCGCCGACACGGCAAAAGCCTTCGGCGGCGACTCACTGGTTGAATTTGGCCCTCAGGGTGCGAATCACTTGCATCCAATCGCCGTGAGGGGTCAGGCTGCGGCGTGGAGCGCAGCTGATGCAGTGCTTGCTATCCAGTTGCACATCTAGAGGGTCGAAGACGTGGCATCCAGGACTGATGGTGATTCTGATGCTGTAGGCAAAGGTCTGCTCTTCTCCGCCATCGGGTGTGTCAGCAGGGGCCTTGGTCTCGGATTCGTACAACTCGAAGCAAATCTGAGAGAGGTAGTCGAGCTCGGGAATGGTGCTTCGCTTGATCTTCGTCTCGATGCCTCCTTCAAAGATGCAGTTAAGGAGTGTGTAAATATGGGACTCCTTGGTGAAGTAGAAGAAAGATTTGGCATCGTTCGACGCTTGCATCTCTTCGAGATCCTGAACGATCTCCTTGAGCAAGGGCAGCGACGTCAGGAGACCTATCTCGAGTTTCTCGCCATCGGAGATGCCGTATTCTTGCGGGCAAATGAAATCAAAGAGCACCTTGGCGAGTTGGTACAATTCTCGGAGAGGTTCAAACCGAGCGTCAGTCTTTGCCTTGGTCTGAGTGTTCCCCTTGTAAAGGTGAAAGTACTGTTCCGGCGGGGCTGCCTCGGCGTTTCGCAGGCCGTTAAGGAACGATCGCCGTCGGAAGATGCGTCTGACAGAGGTCGAGCTTTTGTTGGCTTCGCTCTTCTCTGCCTTGTCGCTGGATCCCGAACCGTCCCGCCGCTCCTCGCGGGAGTCTAGCGACGATTTGCCCTCATCAGAGGCCTTGTCAGTGGCTTTGCCATCCTTGCTACCCTCTTTGCTTTCCTTCTCCTTGATGCCGTACTCCTCCTCCAACATGGCCTTGGGTGGCGTGAAGACCCATTCCAAGAACTGCCGGTTGTGCAGGGCATCGAACTTCATTGTGTCGTAGAGTTCTGAGATCTTGCTAGGATCGACCTTGTCCCCATCGCAGAATTCGGCGAAAAGCTTCTCCCAGCGCTCCCGGAAGAGCTCTGCATCCTCGCCACAGCACCATCTAGGTTGGATATTGCTCACCGCGTTTGCTTGAGACAGTGACGATGAGGTCGAGCCTGCCGAGACCGAGCTGTCCCCGTTGGCAGGCTTCTCTGTACCGGGGTTTGCAATGGCACTGTTCAATGACGCAACGGCACTGCCGTTATGCAGCTTCGTGTAGTTATAGTGCATTACGCGGCGATGGAAGTTCATCAACTGGACAACGCGAGTCTGGACCTCTGACGGTTCCGGCATTTTCTCTGGCCAGGCAAATTGAGGAGGTCGCTCATTGCCCTTACGCAGGAGACCCTTCAGCTTCTTCTTGACCTTATCCATCTCGTCCTTAGCGGCATTTGAGTCGTCAAGCAAATCTTTGCGGATCGTTATGAAGTCTTCGGGAAGATCCTTGCGGTCGAGGAAGGCAGAAGCCCAGATCTGCGCACTGGTGGTAACTCGACGTTCGGAGCTGCTGAAAACGTGAACCTCATCCAGCACGTCACGATTAAGCAAGTTGAAGTCGTTTCTCATGTTCTCGCCAAGCTCCTGGGCCTGGTACCGTGCTGAGTGAGTGGGCTCACCGCCCCACTTCACAATGAGCTGAAGCTTGTCCAGGACCAGACTCTCCTCCGCTGCCGTGATGCGGGACATGGTGACACCAGACAGAGAATCATGCCTCTTCGGCGGCATCCTCACTGGCGAAGAGTTTTCTGTCTTCGCAACAGCGTCTTCAGGCTTTTCCGCGAAATCTGTCTCGACGCCCTCTTTCAAGACCTGCGAGAGCTCGTCGCCTGATGAAACGGCGATTTCCTCTGTCTTCTTCTTTCGGAACATGGGCTTGATCTGCACCTTGGTGCCGGCCCACCCGCCCTTCTTAACCAGGACGTTGCGGAGGGACTTGAGCTTGTTATGATCCTCCACGCCCGCCCTCAAGGCAACATCAACGGCCTGCAACACGCTAGCCAAGGCTGCCTCACCAATGAGCAGCACCTCCTCCTGATGGCCTTTAAGGAGTTCAATAAAAGGGGCTGTGTGGAAGGTGAACTTGTACTTCTGCTTCGGAGTACGGTCCGCGTGTCGAATGACAGACACAATACCCTTGAGTTTCCAAGAGTGCTTTGGCGGTGGCGGTGGCACGGGAGTCTCTTCGGGCGGCGGTCCCGTTCCCTCTCCTTTCAACGAAGGCGCGGCAGACGGTGTGGCTGATCCTGTTGTGGACGGAACACTTGCTACGACAGGGTCGACCAGAGGAGGTGGGGGTGGGAGTGTCGGACTTGTGCACGAGCTGGTGACGGACGAGTTGAGTGCGCTGTCCGACTTTTGGGTGGCTACACTCGTAGGCGCATGCTTCGGTTCCTGTGGCAGTTTCTCGGAGATGGCCGAGATACTCGTCACGGATTTGTTCTGGGCCGGTGGCACAGGAATGGGCTGAGACTCCTTGTCCTTGCCTCGCGAGGCAAGCGGGTCGACAATGTCCGAAGGTGATGGGGATGGCGCGGGGGAGGTCACGCCGCCTCTTCGAAGTCTCTCCTTAACAAAGACGTCTTTGAGAATGTTGGCGCAATGGTCGTAGTAATCGTCATTGTCCTTGACAAAACTCCAACCGTTGACGTCAATCACATAGCTTTTGCCGCCAGCCCTCAAGAAGTCGAAGCCACAGACTCTCTGGCCGAAGGAGGTCGAGATCTTGCTGGCAATTTCCTTTTCCTCGGGATCCAGGGCCGTCACATACCGTAGCTCCTTGCCATGCGTGTTACGCCTGACAACACCATCGACGACGGGCGATTTGCGAGTCTCGGCATGGCAGTAGTTGGGCCCGACAGTGTAGGCCTTGACGTCCTCAGCGTTGTCGACTCGCATAAACTTTTCGTAGATGTAGCTGTTCTCCGGTTCCAGAATTGCGCGGGGAATGTTCAGGTCCGGGTCGTATTCCGAGCTCTTGTTGCCGATTTTCCGAAAGAGCCTGCGGGCGCCGCCGCCGGTGGACTTGGGGAAGTAGATGATGATATTGTGGTCTTCGCCGCTGACGGGCTTCTCGACGAATGGCTTCTTAAGCAGAGTGCCGTCAACGCTGAGAATGTCGCCGTCGTCAAGCAATTCAACCTTCCGAGGTAGCCTGTTGTATCCCAACTCTTCGGGGTCCAGAGTGATACCAGTAACCTCCTTGATATGCTTAGCTGTATCGGGGGTTAGGATCTTGGGGCCGCCGTCGCGGTTCACCTCGATTCGACCTGGAGTAGGAACACCAATGCGATCGAGAATGTTCAAGCAAAGGCGGCGATCCCAGAGAATTTTTTGCATCGGCACATCGTTCACACAGAATGGTTTCCGTGCCTTGACGTACGCAATGGCCTTGTCCAAAGGGAAGCCATCCGAATAGAATGAGATGAGGTAGTCGCTGATCAGTGTTAGCAGGAGTTTTTTCAAAGTACACAACATACACAATATTGCGACGCGATAGCTGGAAAAGTTCAGGGGCAGCATCGTTGGTGTGCATCAACAGCTTGACAATGTTGGTGGTGGAAGGGAATTCCTGTGATGGCACACTTGGCTGACGAGATCGAAGCTATGCTGTTTTGGCTCACGGAGCCCACCTGGGCGAAACAGAAGAAACAATCCGAACTTACCACATCGGCCAGTTCTCAACCTCTGCGAAAGAGAGGAAAAAAATTGGTTAGCCATCTATGCTCAATTAAAACGCATGCTCCCGATTTATATGCCCTCCCTTGTGGTCATGCTTCTTTCGTATTTGTGATTCTCCAATTCTTTTTTTTTAGAAAAAAAAAGAGGGGAATGTAGTGCTCACCTTCGTCCAGGATGACCTTGTCGCCAAACACGACGACGTCGAACTCGCGGTTCGCAATGAGGCGATTCAGGATGTTTCTGCTAGGCTTACTACGAGCCTTGACGTCCAAAGCGCAGACCCCAATGACACCCCACGGCGCCGGCTTGACTGCAGGTGCATTAGAGCTTGTTGGCACACGTTGTCGCGGCGCGCTTGTATCTCTTGACTGACCCTCTTCTTTCTCCTTGTTGCTGGTGTTACTGTGGAAGAGCCCTCGATCACTGCTGGGACTATGGCTGCTGGCGCCAGTGCTTGCGCTGAGCCTGCGCTTATTCCGGCTGCGAGAGCGAGTGGGCTGAGGCCGCTCGGGGCGAGGTCGCTTGACGACATCGTGGTGAGCATGGGTGTTGGTATCGCGCGGCGTCAAGTGATGGGCGCCAGGGGCGGAATTGCCATGCTGCCCGTTGGAGGAGGTGGTGACGGTAACATTGGAGACCTCAGCGCCGGGCTGAGAGGCGTTCGTGACGGGTTTTCCCGACGACATGATGCCGGAAACGGAGCGCGAAGGGCCGCTGTCGGAGCCGTTGGTCGAAGCTGCAGAGGACTGGGTGGCGGGAGCGGAAGAAGAGGGAAGGACGCCGCGGGCCGAGGCCAGCGAGTAAACGGAGAAGATGCTGGAGACGGAAGTGCGCTTTTGTTCCGACTCGGAAGAAAACGAGGTGCGGGTTGTCAGGGCGGAATCGGGGAGGGGACGATATGGGGCGGTGGAATCTGGGTGGTGCTGGCTGGACCCAGACACGAGGCGTGGGGTATCGAGGTCGTCGGCGTCGGCAAACTGGAGAGCGGAGTCGCTCCAAGCGTCGAGTGAGTTGTTGGATTCGCGGCGACGACGGCAGAGAGAGGTTCGAGAGCTTTTCAAGGGAAGCGAAGAGGGCGGGGGCATGGAGAGGTTGGCAGTGGCAGAGTGGGCGTCAGTCGTTCCAGGCTCAGCATGTCGACTCTTCCTGCTGGCGGTGGAAGGGATGTTGAGAGAGTGAGAGACAGAGCGGCCCGGCCTCGATCGCAGAGGTATCTCGGTAGGCGCAGAGGTGTTGTTCACGGCAGAGTGAGAGGACGACAATGAGGAATAAGGGTTGAGATTGAGAGGAGAGGCAAGTGCAGGTCCGGGTGTGGGTGCGGATGTGGGTGCAACAGCAGGAGAAGCGGGCGCGGTGAAGGAAGCCGAGCGAGCACTATCTACAGATGACCGGGGGTTAAAATTCAGTCGGTCCATGGTACCAGATGCGACAAGACAAGAGCGATCAGACGAAGATTAGGGAAGGGGAGGGGAGCGAATGCTGACTCAAGGAATTGCTGAACCGTAAACCGTGGACACTAGAACCTTGCTGCCTTCTGCCTTCTCTCTCCCTCTCTTTCTCTTTAAATTTTTCTCTTTTTTATGCTCGTGCTCTTTTTGATGATGCTTTGTTCCTTAGCCGGCACTGAAGCGGCGGGGGCGGCGGCCCTAAGAAACGGGTGCAGAATAGGATGGAGTAAGTAGCAGACTTTCGACTCTTTTTTTTTTCCCTCCCTCTTCTTTCCAATGCGTGCGTGTGTTGTTTAAGCGCCGGAAGCAACGAGAACTACGACAACAGGTTTTTGGAGTTCGAGGAGCAGGTAACAATGTTATTGCAGCATCTAGACGGAAGGTAGGTAGGTAGTTGGATACGTGGGTAGTATTCTTGAAGATGACGAGGGACTGAGGTGAAGAAAGCGACACTAGACGTCCAATTGCCCTCCTCATTGGACCGCGAAAGGGGGAGAGAAAGAGTGGAAGGTTTGTGGTCACGCGACAGGGATCTCTCGCCTTCTTGTCTCCCAGGGTTCACTTTTGGATACGGTACGTATCTCACTCAGTCTTGCTCCCTTTCTGATACACCAATCATGCTTTCGGGCGGTCACGACGACGATTGCGATACAAAAGTGCGATACAGCAGCTGCAGCTCAGCTGTCAGCTTGATGCCTGTGCCAAGACATGGCAGAAGCGGCAAACACACAGACACACGGGTTAGGTAGAATGGTTTTGGTATCCGTACCTAGTGTAGTATTAGAATGTACTCCGTATTGTTCTGCACACAGAAACATACCTTCGTGTCCATTTGTTCTAGAAACCCAGTGGGCCAAGACATGGGTATACAATTTACACATATAGGTACATATCTACGGATAGGTACTTGAGTACGGATATATATGCATACAAACCTGCCTTCCTAGGTACAAATCCTTGTTGTATATGTACATTCATAATACAAGCACACACGCGCACTGGAAAGGGGAAGGAGTTAATCATGGAGAAAATTAAACAACCCCCAGCCCAGCCTTTGCTGGGGCAGGAATGGGATGACGTAGTTTACGACCCTGCACTTGTCAGAAGTGCAGTCACTTGTCGTAATGCAAATTAACTACCTAACTCACTGCAGCCAGCATTCAAGCCCAAGTCAGATTCAACCTATGACGCTACGGCTTCTGGCGAACGACACCGCTAAAACGCGGCTCCTGACACATCACTATCAACACGGGCCGCTTCGTTCATTCTCAGCCTACTCGTCCCTGCCTTTTGTCTCTCCTCCCTCCTCACAGCAAACCGCACGTGCACCAAAAAGCAACGCAAAAAAAAGAAGAAGAAAAAAGACGATATGTCGCACACAGTACCTATGCTGTCATTTTTCTTGCGTCTGTTCCAGCTCTTCAACTTGATTCGAGCTAGCTGGGCATGCAGCTAGAGTATATACTACTATTAGGACAACAAGTACGTGATAGAAGCCCTTCATATAATCGCCTTCAAGCGGACAGCCAACCTTGCAACGGCGTGGTCCGCTACTCAAATTTCGTCCCGGTACGCCTACATCACCTCACGAAACATGTATCACGGCGGCTGTTCCGTCTTGTGTCTCCTCGTCTGTCGTCGCTGGTGCCCCGGCAATATCTTCCCTCTTGGGATACGCAACCTGGTGCACGGTATACCACGGCCGGTTGAAGAGGCTCTCCATCGACTCCAGAGACCTGCCCGAAGTTTCCGGCATCGCCAAATAGACGTAGACGAGGGAGACGGAGCAGATGGAAGCGAAGAAGATGAAGGCGCCATACCTCTCCGTCGCCGCCAAGCGGGACGGCATGGCACGCGAGCAGCCAAAGTAGAAGGCCCAATGGAACGCCATGAGCACCGATACGCAGAGCGAGCTGATCCGGATGGGGAAAACCTCCGCGCTGACGAGGTACGGGATCGAGAACCACCCGATCGACCACGCGATTGCGTGGATATAGATGGCCACGGTGGATGCCTCGCTCGCCCGCCGTGACGCCGGGCTGGCCGAGATCTCCTCGGCGCTGCGGCCGTTGGTGACCTTGAGGTAGATGCCTACGAACAAGAGGGTGATGATCTGCATCGTGATACCGGTGATGAGCGACCGTCGTCGGCCGATGAAGTCAATAACGAAGACGGAGAAGACTAGCACCGAGACGAACTTGTCGATAGCGTACACTCCGGTCGCCAGAAGACGGCCATCTTCTCCTTGTATGCCGAGGTACCCAAAGATGGAAGGGCTATACTGCGTGATGGCGTTCGCCCCGGACCATTGCGAGAAGAGATGGGCGAGGAACATGAGGATGAAGCGCCGCCTGTTGGGCATGTTCGTCCACGTCTCCTTGGCAAGGTCCAGGACCGACGCGCCCGCCACTATCTCCATCTCGTGCAGAAGCTGGGCCTCCATGGCCTGGTACTCTTCTCGCACGTAGGGGTGATCCGCGGGGAGTTTTCTGAAGTCGCAGAGAACCCTCATGGCCTCGGCGGGCTTGCCCCTCGACAGGATGAAGCGGGCCGAATCGGGGGTCAAGAAGGTTCCCAGGCCCCACAGGACCGCTGGAACGATTTGCAAGGCCGTGGGCAGTTGCCATTGCGTCTGGGTTCCGGCAAAGTGCTTCGTGATGCCGTAGTTGAAGAAGAATCCAAAAACGACGCCGAGCTGTTGGCAGCAAGTATATTGGAGCGTCAAGAGACCGCGGATCGAGCGGGGCGCAATCTGGTGATTAGACTGTTAGCGAACTGTTGCAGACCTGGCATTGCAGTGGCCGTGTTTGACGTACTTCTGAGATGTAAACTGGCGGCAGCACCGTTGTGGCACCAATATCCATACCAGCGACGATGCGTGAGACATACAATCCTGCCAAGCTGCCGGACGAGAACGTTTGGCCAAGGATGCCGGCAATGTAGACCAAGGTGAAGATCTGCATGGTCAGCTTGCGGCCAAGCTTCTCAGTGAGCTTGACACAAGCGAGACACCCGAACACCGCGCCGGCCGTAGCGATTGCCACGATCCACCCCTTCGTGTTGGAGTATTCGCTATCAGACTGCTGGTCGACGCCAAACCGTTTCTTGAACACAGCCATCGTTACGAGTGAGGCTATGTTACCTGGTACGGTCCATAGTCAGCCAACGTCCCATCGGTTCGTCCTACGTTCCTACCTTCATCAAACCCCTTGGCAACTCCTGAGAAACTCCATATCAAAGTACGCCCAGACAGGTACCAGTTGAAAATCTCCCTCGGGCTGTTTCTGACGGCGGCGATTGTGGCACTGATCAAAGACATGGCGCAAACTTGGGACTACTGCTTGAAAAAGATGACAGTATGAGCACGTCTGAATTTCCGCCGTGTGAAAGGAACTCTCAAGCTTTTGCCAAGATAAAGGGGGAAAGACTTGGCTACATAAACCGGTGGCACCCAGGAGTCAACCGGTTGACCATTTCAAATATTCCCCAGATTCCTACTCTGCAATGCGGGGGGCCTCTGGGGTACAATCCAAATCTGACATGGCGTTCGCCTCAAAACATCGTATTAGTTTCTTAACCAGGGATAGTAGGGAACAAAGTCAACCGCCTCCGTCGGACTGACTCCGTAGTCTCCCACCGGACCACGTCCGCAGTATCATGCACGACGACACCCCTGCCACTCTGCCCACCTCTGTGGCCGTAATCGGCTCCGAGATGCTCGCGGGGCTTGGCCAACTCAGCAAAAATACCAAAAATACCATGCCATAGAAAGCCTTCCTTTTCCAACTGTGTTAGAATATCATTGTGTACCTGTATGACCTTAAGACGGACCGCCTTGGCAACGTACCTTGGTCGAGAGCCTTCCGAACTTCCTCGGAGACCCTAAACCCGCGACCATGAATTTCTACCCAGTGCCCCCTACCATCAAAGCCGAGCTGCACGTGCGGGTGCCGGACCATCTGCGATGTATTGGCAAGGAAACCGAGTGGCGAGGTGGTTTTGCCCGCCCGTTCCAGCACATCTTCCTCGAAGGCCTGTCGCTGACGAGGATGGCAACCTCTTCATTGTGGACGTCCCCTACGGCAGGATCCTCAAGATCAGCCCTTCTAAAGAAGTCAGCGTGGCTGCCTAATGGGACGGCGAACCCAACGGGCTGGCCGTGACACAGGATGGCTCGTTCGTGGTTGCCGATTATAAGCAGGTATGCAGGTATGCAGGTATGCTGCCTCAACCCACACGCAACATTCTCAATGAAATCCGCCTATAGGGAATCCTTACTTTTGATCCTTCACTTGGCACCGTCAAGCCCTTGATGACTCGGCGTCATCTTGAACGGTTCAAGGGCCCTAATGATTTAATAGTCGACTCTAAGACTTTCAATCTGTGTATGCAGCTCTACGTTTGTCTCGCTAGACCCTTACGCCGCCTGACAGAAGGTGGTAAGTTCGAGCCATGAGTTCGGCTTCGCCGGCTCCTGATCCGTCCGACTCCGGAGGAACCCGGGAACTCCCCGCGGGGGCGTCGAGAACTCGACCAATAGCTTGCGTACGGTGCTGGAAAAGAAAACAATAGGTTTCATCACGTCCTTCGAGAGCCGCATTGACGTTGGAGTTCCACTGGCTAACTAGCCAACCATCCATCACCAGTGTGACAGACGTCTACCAGCCTGTACAGCGTGTCAGACGCAAGGTGTTGAATGCATTCCTCGGAATCAAGACATCAATTCCGTGTCAGAGCTTTCAAATGCTTCTGCGATAAGGTGCGGACTTCAATAACCTTTGCTCTGCGCCATGCCGCAATTATGTACCTATAGTGGTTGCCCGCGCTAACAGGCAATAGTTACGTGGAATCATTGAAACGGCGTGTCGCTGAACTCGAGCACAATGTCCAATCTTCATCAAGAAAACGAGCCCGTACAGGAAGTTACAGAGCCGAGTCAACAGATGGGCCTTCGCCTGCTGACGTGGAGAATGTCGGCCTCCAGGACGCTGGCTCGGGCCCATCGTCTCATGCTTCCGTTCGGAACATTACACGAGACAATGAAGACTCTTCCGTGAGGGCGGCCATGGGCGCCATCGGCTTCTTGTCACGTAGCGCCATGGCTGAACTGCCCGACCAGTCGGACGATCTACCTAGGAGGTTTTCCCCAGGTGAAATTGTGTCCGGGGCACTGGCCATCGATGGACGTGATCCATCCAAAGCTTCTCCCGCGCCACAAACCCCAACGATAGATGGTCACTCCTTGGCACTCACTCGAGATACAACCAATGAATATTTTCGTCGCTTCCTGGATTGCGCCATATGGTTGCCGTACCTGGATCAGGCGGGTCTTATGGAGCAGTATGACAGCGTTATCACCAGTAACGCCCAATCTCACCGTGGTGCGCGCACCAATCCTCTTCACGTCTTCAACGCTAACATGGCATTGGCTATCGGCGTTATGACGGTGCCAGATTCAGCGCATCTTTCGATGCTTAGATCAGGCTTTCACGCCATTGCCACTAAACAGTTGCAAATCATTTTACGTTCCGAAGTGTCCCTCGAGCATATACACTGCATGGTCATGCTTTTGTTGTACTCGCTTCTGAACTCTGTAGTGGGCTCGCTGGCATCTCCTTGGTCTCACGGTGAAAACATGTATTTCACTTGGTCTGCACCGAGAACCCGACTCCCACGCCGACTTGACTCTGGCTGAGTTGGACCGAAGAAGGTGGCTGTTCTGGAGTGTATACTTACTTGACCGGTGAGTGCCTCTGGGTTACGCTTCTGTGTATCAGTCAAAACTGTTCTATGTCTCATAGAACTTTAAGCATAGTTATGGACCGTCCGCTCAGTATCCAAGATGATGATATTTCGGTTCGAGTAAGTTTGACGAATTCAAGTCAGTATGGAATGAGACTTTAACTGATAGTCATCGCTCAGATACCTGTAGAGGATGTGGAAAGTCCAGTTTCGTGTCAGGAGACTTCTGCAAGGCTGTCTCTGGGTCGTTATCTGGTAAATTATATGCAGGTTGTGTCCAGTATCCGAACTGGGAGAAAAGCGGATATTCTACTCGATTACAGCAACATCTGCCACTGGAAGGACCTGCCCCCATGCATGGAGCGTTGCATGTTTACAACTCTAAATGTTGCAGATGTTCTACAGCAGTTATACTGTCGGGCTCTAACCCAACTGGTCTTACCAATACATTGCGCAGGTGCAGACACAGGCCTTTTACTCGGAACTGTCCATGATGTTGAGATGGACGTCATCAGCGCGTTTTGCTGGCCCTTTCGATGTGTATTATTGGCGAAAAACTTTCGAATTATGTAGGAACCTACTAGGGCCCAATCTAGTATATTCGTATTGGCCTCAGCTGACAATTTCTTGGGCAGATAATCACTCTGGAGGCATTCTCACCAATCATACCCCGACGTGTCCAACATCTGATTCGATACACGTTTACACAACACCCAAAAGTTAAAACCAGCATACTCACCCCTGGAATACAGCTTCATAGTCTGATGGTATGCAACTGTAAAAAATACAAAATTTGTAGTATACTATGTATATGTGTCGCTTCGTGACGATGTACAAAATAGTGCGATACTGTGCAAGAAAGTTGGAGACATCCAATATCTCTGTCCGCTCGTCATTGCGTAAAACTGATGAAAAGGTAGACAGGAATTGGGGGTAACCAAAGACAACGCCGTTAGTTACGGGGCAGTAGCCAGCTCTTATATATCTCGTGACAAAGTTACTGCCAATCTAGCCACGGAAGTTGGATAGGTGCTACCCAACTGACTGTTTGGAGAATGGGTATCAAATGGCGCTGATGTCCTTTTGACATGCTCTCCCATGCCAGTACGAGAGATGGCCTCAACCCTGACAACGCTAGGTGCCTATGTTCTCACTCTTTGCGGGGCAAATTTTGGCCGCGGACTTGGCCCGGAGTGCAGGCGTGTGCATTCGGACGTCGTCCGGCCCCGTATATCCACATCCCCAGATAACCCACAAGGTGCTAGACACTCATGGTTCGCGGGGTAACGGGGGTTTGGGTGCCAAGCAGCTGGGTTTCACGAAACAGTCGGTTCGTTCACGAGACTTTCCTCGCCGTAGGGGATGTGGGGTTCAATTTTTGATATAAATACCTCGTGCCAAAAAAAAAATTGGGGAAACAGCTCTCGGTATGAACCTCAGTTCTCACTTCTGCACCACCTGTTTAAGATTTCCCAAGCTGGCTTGCTCAGTGAATATGGTAACCCCCAACGACTCTAAACGTTCGTCGATGGACAAGGTGGGGGTCGAAGTCGAAGAGAGTGTTCCTGTACGCGACCCTCTCATTGAGCAATATGAACTCATCCGGGACAAGACTCCCGAGGAGCTCAAAGCTCTCGACAAAGCAGTTGTTTCCAAACTGGACTAGAAATTTCTGCCCATGGTTTGCGCCATGCTTATGATGAAGTAAGATCACTCTATCCAGAAGCCATCCTGTTGGCGCTATTACACCCTAGAGCTAACGACTCGGGATTACTACAGCTATCTCGATCGAATCAACGTCTCCAACGCCCGTTTGGCCGGCATGCAAGAAAACTTACACATGACCGACACCATGTGGTCGGCTGGTATTTCAATGTTTTACGTCGGGTACATCATCTCGCAGGTCCCTGCCAACGTCATCATCGCCAAGGGCAAGCCGAGAATCTTGCTTCCATGCTGTATGCTTAGCTGGTCTGCCGCGACCATCTGCATGCCTGCCGTCACAGCTGGCTGGAGCTTCATGCTCTGTCGTTTCCTCGTTGGGATCACTGAGGGGCCGTTTGTGCCGGCCGTACCCCTCATGACCTCGTCGTGGTACACCAAACGCGAATCCCCTCTTCGCATGGGCATTTCGCACGCTGGCAACACCATATCACAGGCGATTTCTGGCCTTCTTGCGGCCGGTATTCTGCATAATATGGACAATATAGCCGGCTTGAGAGCTTGGCAGTGGTTCCTCTTGCTTGAAGGTATGTTATTACCAGCTATACCAGTATTTCGAGACGGCTAACGTGGCGACAGGCATTTTCAGTATATTGGTGGCTCTTGCTAGCTTCTGGTTCAATCCCAACTTTCCTGAGTCAACCGGTACATATTTCTTCACCGCCGAGGAGTCGCAAATGGCACAGTACAGACAGACTGTGTCAGCAGGTGGTCGCTCTGAGGACGATGAAGGAGACTACTGGGGAGGTGTCTGGATGGCTTTGAAGGACCCATTCACTTACTTCTTCTCGGCAATCCATTTCTTCCTTATCATCGCCCAGTCTTACAAGGACTTCTTTCCATCGGTCAGTAGCATTTACTTGCCTTTTAGCATCATCATACGCGTCAGTGTCCTTACAGTATATTTAGATCCTTGCCACCCTTGGCTTCGGTACAACCGTCACGTACCTCATTCAGGCCCCACCAGCCATCATCGCTTTCTTGGCTACCTTGGCGGTTTCTTGGTCCTCCGGACGCATGCTGGAGCACGGCTACCACATCATAGTACCCATGCTCGCAACTGCCGTGGCCTGTGCAGTGATGATTACGACCCTCAATGTTGGCGCCCGTTACTTCTGTATGATCTTGCTGGTCACTGGTCCTTTCATCGGCCTCAATGTTAGTTGTGCCACCTCTTATACCCCTGGTCTTGATTCAATGCTGATGCCGTCTCAACGAAAAGCTTCAAATCTCCTGGGAAACCACGGTGGTACCACGTCCGCCTACCAAACGAGCTGCTCTGATTGCCATTGCCAACTGCGTGTCTTCAGTTTCGCACTGGTTCACGCCGTACTTCTTCCTGCGTAACCAAGAGCCTTATTATCAGACTGGCGGTGGGGCTATCATTGTTGGTTGTGGGTTGACAGTCATATTTGTTCTTATCACGAAGTGGTACTGCCATAAGAAGAACAAGGAGTTGGAGGAGCAGGAAAGACTTGCGGGTGAGCCCAAGGGATGGAGATTCGCTTCATAAGACGCCTCATAGTGATAGGGCTCATGCAGAATTTACTTCTTTCTGTTAACACGTTTCTATGGTATTAGTGCTAATACCATACACCAACTTGACTTAGTTGTGGGATAAGATTCTGATACTGTAGTGTCAAAGGGGTAAAGAGATACCTGGTTAGATTGGGTTCCACATTAATGTTGGCAGGTGTTTCTGTTTCTACAGTACTATAGTACTGGGTCAAAAGTCTGTTTACAGCAAAAAGGATAACCCAAAGAAGAGTTAAAGAGAGGACCCATTAATAGCTGGAGGTCACTTCACAGTGCGTCACTAAAGACCTTATGTCCTAACCACCTACTGTAGCTTTTGATTGGCTGCCCTTGTTACTGTAAACAGACTTTTGACCTCGTACTGTAGATATGTCTCAGTTACCAAGAAGGCAAAAGATGATCTTCAAAGGGGCATAATGATATTTAATTTGTCACAAGTCCCTGTAAGCCTGTTAGGCTCATAGACACAATATCCACTCTATTTGTACTTTTTCATGTGCCCATTGTGTATATACCCTTAAGAACGCATTCCGTACTTACTCTAACCCTAGTCCTACATCTAACCCTAACTCCAATGATCATAATATTACTTCTAACCCTATGTGTCTTTTTTATTTTTATTTTCTACATCCTAACTGCCCTGTTTCTTTCTTTTTCCAACAGGACTCCTGGTGATGTGAGTTGTTAGTGCACTTTTATGGGCAAAGCTATCTTTCTTGTAGAGTGCCTCTTACTAAAAGCGGTTAGATGCCGAAGCTGTATCCCACCCTTAGTCGCTTGAAGGACCCCACCGGCTCAACCCCGGCAAAACCCATGTCCACGATAAGATAAGACCCTTCTTGAGAAAAGGTCCAGAGTCCTCGAAAAAAAATCTCGGGCGCGCGACCTTGACATCAACGGGAACCAAGGCTTCGAAGAAACCAGCGTCCGATTCGTAAAGTTTCACATGCCTCCCACAATGCCTCACTCAGAGCACGAGGGGCCTCTGGTCAAGCGCCAGAAACTCAATGTCGCTTCCAAGCCGGCGACGGCCATGCGCCAGTCTTCCCGCATCTTCGCACCCTTTCGAGTTTGGCTCCCCTCCTTCCGTGAATTGATTGCCTTCCAACGCTAATGTTTCAACACAGACTGTCGGTCTTGTATCCCCCACAAACGTTCCATTCACCTCGATCCCTCTCGGAAAGACGACGTTCCAGATCACAACATCCGTGGGAAGAGCTCTGCAGACCTATGACCTGAAGAGAGGTCTCAACCTGGTCTTCGTCACTCGTCCCCAGACCCCCGCCGACATCACCGCCACGCTCGCCTGGAAGGAAAAGGTTTTCGCAGCATGGGGCGATGCCAGGAAGGGCGAGAAGCAGGGTCTTTGGGCCTTCAAGCGCGGGAAGAAAGTTGAGGAACTCGAAATCCCCGAGGATCTCAACGAGCCTATTCAACAGATCCTGATCTTTGGTTCATGGATTGTCGGATGCGCAGTGACGAGACTCGAGGTATGGAAGTCGGCAACCTTGGAGCATTACACTACGCTCTACACCATGGCCGGCAAGAAGGGCGCCAATGAAATCACCGGCGGTATCACCAACATGCCCACCTACCTCAACAAGATCTTTGTTGGTCGCAAGGACGGCTGGGTCGAAATCTGGAACGTTAGCACCGGCAAGCTCATCTACACCATCCTTCCGCCCACCCCTGACTGCGGCGCTGTTACCTGCATGCAGCCCACTACCGCTCTTTCGCTCCTGGCTATCGCCTATGCCAATGGCAACCTGGTGATCCAGAACATTCTAACAGACAAGACCATCATTCAGCTCAACGCCGGTCACGAGGACGAGCCCGTCACCTCCATCTCCTTCAGATCCGATGGTATGGGAGCAGGCCATGATGGCAGAAAAGACGGCGTGATGGCGACTGCCACGGCTGCAACAGGAGATGTTACGTTCTGGGACCTGAACAACGGAGGTAGGATAATGGGTGTTCTGCGCAGTGCGCATAACCCTCCGTCTGGAAATGGCCCTCTTGTGCGGGGGGGCGTTAGCAAGGTGGAATTTCTGTCGGGTCAGCCCGTCGTTGTCACAAGCGGACGCGATAACTCATTGAAGACTTGGATCTTTGACGAGACTCCTTTCTCGGCAATCCCGCGCATTCTGCACCAGCGCAGCGGACATGCTGCGCCTGTCAAATGCCTGCAGTTCCTGCCCTCCGATTTCGAAGGTGCTGATGCAGGCAACAAGTGGCTACTCAGTAGTGGCCAGGACCGAAGTCTCTGGGGCTGGAGTCTGCGCCGCGACGGCCAGAGTACCGAACTCAGCCAAGGAAACATCCGCAAGATGGCTAAGAAGACGGGAATTTTGTCTACCAAGGCTCTCGCACGCGGCCCTACAACAACTCTGGAAGATCTGAAGGCCCCCGAGATCACGTGCATTGCCAGCTCTCTCAACCGCGACGGCGGTATGGGCGCCATGCCCGGCAACCAGCCCATCTGGCAGAAGCATAGGGACCCGAAGAAGAAGCTAGACGCCGAAGTCAGCGGGGCGACGGGCTGGGAGAGCGTTGTGACAGCACATAAGAATGATGCATATGCTCGTACATGGTTCTGGGGTCGCAAGAAGGCCGGTCGGTGGGCATTCCCCACGGGTGATGGTTCCCATGTTTCTACGATCGCTATTAGCCCCTGCGGCACGTTCGCCCTGGTTGGCTCCGTGGAGGGTGGTCTCGACATGTACAACCTGCAGTCTGGCCTCCACCGTCAGCGCTTTCCCTCCAAGCTCACTCCCGCACAGGCTAGGGCGATGAAAATGCAGCAGCTGAAGCAAGCCGATAACGTCGTGCAGCTCCACACCGAGAAGGACAGCAACTTTGCACCTGGCACCGGCAGACACACGAAGGCGATCACAGGCATTGTGGTAGACTCCATGAACAAGAACGTCATCACGTGCTCTCTGGACGGCAAGATCAAGTTCTGGGACTTCCTCACAGGCAACCTCGTTCACCAGATCGACTGGGCACCGATGACCGCCATCACGGGTTGCAGATATCACGCAGCCAACGACCTGATGGCCTTTTCCTGCGACGAAAACTCGATTCGCATCGTCGACCTGGAAACCAAGAGGACTATCAGAGAATTCTGGGGCTGCCAGGGCGCCATCAATGACTTCTGCTTCTCCAATGACGGCCGCTGGGTTATCGCTGCCTCGCAGGACTGCGTCATCAGAGTCTGGGACCTGCCCACAAGCCATCTCATCGACGCCATCCGTCTCGAGAGGCCCTGCACGGCGCTGGCAATGTCGTCCACCGGCGAATACCTCGCCGCGACGATCGAGAACGAGCTCGGCGTCGCCATCTGGACTAACAAGACCCTCTTTACGCACGTCCCCACACGGCAAGTTTCTGACAAGGAAGCCGCGCTGCTCACGGGTCCCACGACATCCGGCGAGGGCGGCGAGGGCATGTTGGAGGCGGCCTTCAACGAGGACGAGGTGGACGCCGAGGACGAGACGATCGTTGCGCCGACCGTGGACCAGCTCAGCGCCGACTTGACGACGCTCTCCCTGGTCCCCAAGAGCCGTTGGCAGACGCTCCTTCACCTGGACCTTATCAAGCAGCGCAACAAGCCCATCGAAGCGCCCAAAGCTCCGGAGAAGGCGCCTTTCTTCCTCCCCTCTGTCGGCTCCGGCAAGCAGCCGCAGCAGGCAAACCTGCTCGAGGGCATCGCAGCCTCTGAGGCCGATGCCGCCACGGAGTCCAAGTCCCGCATCACCAAGCTCGAACGCGGGCGCATGCAGGAAGTGTTCACCAGCAAGCTCAACGACGGCGCCGTTTCAGGCGACTGTAAGTTAACCATTATACCCATTGCATTAGTCACACATGCTGACGTTCCAATAGTCGACGAGTTCATCTCTCACCTCAAGTCTCTCTCCCCTTCGACCGCGGACCTTGAGCTTCGCTCCCTCTCACCCGAGGACAACGGCCTCCTCTACTTTATTCGTGCGCTGACGAGCCGCCTCATAGCGCGCCGCGACTACGAGCTTGTCCAGGCCTGGATGACGGTGTTTCTCCGCCTGCACTTTGACCTTGTCATGGCCGACGCGCAACTGCTCGAGGCGCTCGGCGAGTGGAAGGCCCTGCAGGAGCGCGAGGCAGGACGGCTCGACGACCTGGTGGGCTACTGCAGCGGTGTCGTCAGCTTCCTGCGTAGTCCCAGGACGTAAGATATGAGGGGTTGTTATTATCGTTACAGATAGCGAAAAGATGGAAGAATGGGGTCAAAAGGCAAACACCATTTAAGAGGAGGGAGGCACGAGTTGCGTAGCAGGCATTGATCTGGCTTTACTATAATCCCAATACCCGCATCAAAGGTTTTTTGGGCAACAATACCCGACTTCTCGTATGGTGGAAAGAGCTCTCGCCGGCATCCGCTGCTTCTTCCGTCCCTAATGTTGGTTGTTCTCCCCTAGTAACTCGTATTTATGGGCAACCGAAGCCCAACTCGAAAGGCTTCCGGAATTCTGGTTTCTGCCTTGGCGACCCCAGGGCTGGCCGACTAGTTCGCTAGTTCGGCCAGAGCGCTGGTTTCTCAGGACGGAGGGGGAGGGTTGCGTGTTCAGGCGATCCCGGCTCGCCTCGGTCAAGAGGGCACCGAAAGGCGGCAGGGTGGGATATGCGGGTTTCCGGCTATGCAGAGAAGGTCGAGTTTCCCTTGTCGCGTCACCGGGCCGGGCGCGCCCCTCGGGCATTTCACCTCAATCGGTCCCTCAACTCGAGCGAACAGTTGGGTCATGATGTTCGCTCGCGCAGCCCTGGTGTCTCTTTCTCCCACGCCATGATGCTTATACTGTATTTTTCCGACAGTGTTAAGAATACCATTGTGTCCCTGTGCGACCTTAAGTGCGATCGGCTTGGATACGTACCTCAGTATACATCGCCGCCCCCTGTCTGCCAAAGTTGGCCATGCCATCCCATCACAAGCCTCTGAAGCCCTTGTTCAACTTTATCCCCGCCTACCTTAAGCGAAGGCCAAGCTTGTCCCACATCCCTCCCCTGCGCCCCCTCCTCGACTCCATGTAGGTAGCCCAGCTCCTTCTCCGCATGTTCGGATAGATCGCCAACTTTCTTCGTGCGGGGAAACTTCGCTCCCTCCCGGATGAATGAGTGCCCACGAGGACATAGATGGTGTCCGGAGATTACATTCCCGGGGGTCACCGTACCCTTCTCACGTCCGTCCGCACCAAAGACGAAGAAAAACACGGGTGCTTTGGGAGAATATGGCGCGCGCTCATATAATATGCACCTTCATGGCCTTCTGCCGCACCCTTCCTGTCTTTCTCTTGCTTTCTTAGGCGCGCGAGAGTAGAGCTCCGACGAGTTCGAGTCGAGCTACACCATCGTTATTTTGAGCGCGAGACAAGTCCAAAAGCCAACCCCTAACGAGATGCGCGTCTCTTCTCTCCGCGGCGCGGCGCTCGCCCTTGCGGCCCCGGCCGCCGCGGTCCTCAACACGACAGAGACATCCGACCGCCTCATCGTCGCCAACGACCGCCTCTACGCCGCCGTCGCCAAGCCCGGCGGCTCCATCGTCGAGCTCACCCTCGACGGCGTCAACCTCCTCGGCACCACGTCCGGCAGCACCGGCAAGGGCCCCTACCTCGACTGCTACTGCACGCCAGAGGGCTTCTGGACCCCCGGGAGCGTTAAGCCTACCTTCGAGCTCTTCTCGGGCGAGGACTCGGCCGGCGTCCCCTACGGAGGCGTCAAGATGTCCGACACCTACGCTTCCACCGGGCAGGTCCTCGACCAGTACTGGTTCCTCCGCGAGGGCGAGACGGGCCTGCACATGTTCAGCCGCGTCGCCTACCACAACGAGGAGAAGCCCTTCCTCCGCAACCTGCAAGAGCTGCGCACGCTCTTCCGCCCCAACGACCCCATGTGGACGCACCTCCTGACGAATCCGGCGCAGTACGCGCCCCTTCCCTCCGAGGACGCCGTCGCGGCACAGGTTGTTGTCCAGGATGCCACTTGGTACTTGGGTAACACCCCCGAGGACCCTTACGTCCAGCAGGAGGCCGACTGGTTCACAAAGTACACCTTCCAGGACACGTGGCGCGACATTGATGCCTACGGCATGTACGCCGACGGCTCCAAGACGGCTGACGGCTCCGCCTACGGCGCCTGGATGGTCTTCAATACCCGCGACACCTACTTCGGCGGCCCGCTGCACTCGGACTTGACCGTCGACGGCATCGTCTACAACTACATCTCGTCCAACCACCACGGCAACCAGACCCCCAACATCACAAACGGCTTCGACCGCACCTTTGGTCCGCAGTACTACCATTTCAACAAGGGGCCCGCTGGCACCTCCATCCACGACCTCCACGCCGACGCCACTAAGCTCGCCGACCCGGAGTGGAACGCCGACTTTTACGACGACATCGCCCACCTCGTCCCCGGCTACGTGCCCTCGACCAAGCGCACCAACTGGAAGCTGCACGTCGACCTGCCCCAGGGCGCTAGGAAGCCCATCGCCGTGCTGGCCCAGAACGGCGTCGACTTTCAGGACAACGTCTTCGACACAGAGGCCTACCAGTACTGGTCCGACATCGACTCCGGGGGCTACGCCACAATCCCGCGCGTCAAAGAGGGCACCTACCGGCTTACCATCTACGCCGACGGCATCTTCGGCCAATACGTCAAGGATGACATCCAAATCGTCGCCGGCAAGGTGCAGACGACCCACGCGCGCTGGCGCGAGGAGACGGCCGGCAACGAGGTCTTCCGCATCGGCACGCCAGACAAGTCGTCGGGAGAGTACCGCCACGGCTACGCCCGCGATGAGACCAAGCCGCTGAGGCCCGAGGAGTACCGCATTTACTGGGCGCGCTACGACTTCCCCGACGAGTTCCCCGAGGGCGTGCGATTCCACGTCGGCGAGAGCGACCCAGCTAGAGATCTCAACTACGTCCACTGGGCCGTCTTCGGCGGCAAGGGGAACTCGAAGCGCCCCGAAATATACCTCGGCGACGGCAACGTCAACAACTGGACGCTCGTCTTCGACCTCGAGGAGGCCCAGGTGCGCCAAAAGCGCTACGGCACCTTCACCGTCCAGCTCGCGGGCGCCAAGACGGCCGCCGGCAATACAGATATCTTCAACGCCAGCGAGCCGTACTCCAATCTCAGATACACCGTCAGCGTCAACGGAAAGGACCTCGAGCCCTGGGTGATCCCGTACCACCACAGCAGCTCGTGTGCCGTGCGGTCGGCGGTCATCTGCTACAACATCGCCAACAAGTTCGTCTTCGACTCCAATATGCTCAAGGCTGGCGAAAACGAGATCGTGCTGAGCTTGCCGTATGGCGCAAAGAATTACGAGAGCGCGGTGCTGACGGAGGCGGTCTACGTGCAGTACGACGCTCTGCGTTTGGAGGTCAAGTAATAGACCTTGGAGTGGCCTCCCAATATAGAATAGAGGCTGATAATTGTTAATGAGAAGGAAAATAAGATGATGATCCGTCCGAATAAGCGTAACTTTCCTGTCATGTTCACGAAACGGTGTGAAACTTTAACTCGTAGCCAGGTTCCCGCCAACAATGTAAGATGAAAAGAAAGAGAGTGCGTGCACGCGCAGGACAAAGAGGCTGAGTAAGGACGAGGAACGCATCGATCAGATGAAACCGTTCGTTTCAAAACTGCCAAAAGTGGGAGCTGCCCGTGTCATGGCTTTGTTTGTGATAAGGCCCCGACGGTGACGGCCACCAAAAGCGTAGAAATGGCCGTTCCAGGAGTTCAGGGGCGTGTTTGGGCCTGCGGGTTGGTCCCATATAGGCGTCGCAAAGGCGTGAAATTGGGAGGTGACGAGTAGCCGGAAGAAGAAAATGATTAAAATCGGGAATTCCGGCCTGCCAAGTAGGTAGGTATTGTTGAGCTCTTCCGGTATCGACTCGCGGGGCGCGCAAGCACCTCGGAAAGTGAACAGACAACCGTCCTCGAGGTGTTTCTCGTGATCTGACGACAAGGCAGACGCAACGAGTCGGACTAGCAAGCTTCAACAGCCGAGTGACAGTCGGAGGACTTGTCTTGGCCGGCCGCGCATAACCCGGCCACACCATTCCAGGGAAATCAACACCAACCATAATGTTGGCGTAAATGCAGGCGGTCAGTGGTAGGATCTGCGATGCATTGCCGTGCAAAGGCATGCCGTGTAATGCCGAGTCATCCTGAAGATGCATTGCACAAATGTCGAACAGCGAGTGAGGCGCTTTACCGGAGCGGCATGGCGAATTCTCACCGGTTCCCATGGTGTATGCCGGTGGCCCGGTGGAGTTCTCTCTGTGTATGGCAGACCTTTGAAGGTATGTCCCTGGACGAATGCGTTGTCATCAGCAGCGGCTGCTGCATCGTCATTGTCGGCATAGTGGTGGTGAAGGTTGGCAGCATAGTTCCATTCCCTCAGTCGTCTGCCAGACCAGAGATGATGGCCAAATCGAAGGGCAGGGTCATGCTCCCGTCAAGGCTGATTCGTGATCATCATGGTCATACCGGTAGCGTAACTGCCGTGCTGCCCAGGTTGCTGTACTGCTGAAGCTGCATCCCTGCCAGGTCAGGTCTGACGGTTCAGAAGGCAAAGAAAGGGTGGAAGCGATGACGGGAATACGGGAATCTGGTGTGGTACAAAATGATCAGGGCCAGTGGTATACCTGGGTAACCAACCAACCAACCAACCACGAAAAGAAGGATGTGGTTCCCGGCAGCAGTGCACTTGGTACGCTAGAGAATGAGCACCACCCACCCCTGATCCTAGCATTCAGCGCGGGTAGTTGAGTCGCCTTGCCATGGCAGGTTTTGGTGGTGCATAGGTACTTTGGCACTTGGCTAGTACCTATGGGGGGGTACGTATGGTATGCATACATGTAGAGGCAATTTTGTTGGAGCCCTCGAAACAAAGCAAGCCCTGGCATTGTCTCGCGATGGAGTTCAGGAGAAGGAGAAAAGAAAATTCTCCTGGGGTCTCTCCGCTGCATTGAGCTCAGCAGTCTGCGCCGCGCCGGCGGGAAATAAGCTGTCAACCGAGCATCGAATGAGAGAGCGCGAGGACGGAGACTCTGAGCTCTTGATCGGCTGAGATGGTGAATCGAATCCCGTTTCCAGACTTATGGCTATTGTTTGCCAACGTTTGAGTCGATGGCACAGTCATGCACCATGCGATGACAGCATTACTCGCTTGGCAACTGGTCCACCTGAGTCGTGAAGTGGTCTGCGTCTGCTTCCCGATTGAGTCCACCGGCGATATTCTTGGTCATCCACAAGGTTGCTGATCCTTCCGGTCGAGGTAGGGTAAATAAAGCCAGCCAGCTGGCTAGCTATACGAAGCTTGTGTTGGATGAGGGCATGTGCCGGCGACAAGGCTACGATGCTGTGCAACACTGCACGATGACGGGAGCGGTGCGGTGGCTCGACACAGCACAGCGCGAGAACAGGATGCGAGTCTGAATCATCGGAATCGGTCACGGCTGCGTGACCCGGGGAGGGGGGGGGGGGGGTTATGTTCGGCATTTCGTAGTGTATCCTTTTCTCGATCATTTCAGTCGGACAACAATATGCATCTGGATACGACTCTGGGAGAGGGTGAAGAAAAAAAAAAGAAAGAAAGAAATAAAAGCAAGGTACGTCCCTTGCCACACCAGCACTAGGTAGCAGCCGCCTCAGGTGGTTCTGATACCTAGTCAACTACCTAGTGTACGGATAGGTAGTCGTAGAAAACAGGGGGGCACAGGGGAACCAAAGACGGCCCCGCACGTGGCAGTGGGCGATGCGCATATTTCTCCATTAGGAGGGGGTGGCAGGGCTGTCAGGGCCAAGGGGATGCCTGCTACTTGTAGGTAGGTACCTAGGTAGTTTGAGGACCCCCCTTGGCCAAAGCACAACCCGATGTTCCTTATCGCTCGATAAGAGGTACGTACCGCATCTGTCTCAGCCCCTTCTCGCGGTGGGACAGGACGAACCGTCATCTCAGCATAACGTACAATCTCGTCTGAAACACCGTCTCCTGCCAGTCACCTACACGACTTCAGCTCCCAAGCTCCCCAAGAGCTCGCGGTCGACCCTCTTTCCCCGTCAAACTTGTTCCAGCCAACGACGGCGCTTAACCCTTTACCCTCGAGGAGCCGCTCGCTATCCTCTCTCTACGGATACACACGCACACACAAAACCCTGCCCTGGTCCTTTCCTCTCCTGCCCCGTTCCGTCTGCCCCTTTGTGAGAGCATGGGATGAGCTACTCGCCAAAAAAGTAAAGCTTGGATCGGATGAGGAGGGAGCACAGAGCTGAGAGTAGAGATACTATGTACTCTATCCGTTTGGTTTTCTTGCGTGTCGTGGCATGCGGTGCTCTGGCTCGACCAGGAGGCGACTTCAGATGAAGCCTTGTTTTGTTTTGTGCTTGTTTCCAGGGTGCGAGTAACGACATAGGCAAAGACGATCATGGCGCTGTCATCGCAGGATTCAAAGGCCAGCATAAGCCGCGCCTGCGCCGGCTTTTGCTCATCCTTTCCTTCTTCATACCTTGCCGACATTCCCGCTTCTTCCTGTCCAGCCTCTTCACGCCCCTGCCCCAGAGTGTTGCTTCTCCGGAATCCCGCTAACAAGATTGACTCCCGGGATCAGCGTCGCACCCCCTTCCTCATCGCATTGCCCGTATCCGTTTTCCCACCCACCCTCTCCATCACTGCGGTGCCGGTCCACCTGTTGTTCACTCCAAGGCTGGACAAGGGGCACATGGACCTGGATTCCCATTCACCACTAATATATTTACCATCCCGGCCCTCCTCCCCCGGCAGTGCCTTCTCCTGGTTCTCATTGTTGCAGCCAACACATATATCCTCGCCGGTCTCTGCTCCAACCTCTCCACCTCTACTGGACAAGGCCAGCCGGACCATCTCGTCTCTCTACTCAACTCTCTATTCCTAGTACTCACCAATATGGTAGCCAATATCGGAGGGCTCGCCGCCCGTGCAGTCTTCTTCATGTCTGTTCGTCCTGTTGTTCAAAGGGCAGACGTCACAACTTACACCAACAATGCCGCCGACGCCATCCGGACCCTTCAGACCTCATGGTACGATGTTGGCTCGGGTCTCTGGGACAATACATGGTGGAACAGCGCCAATGCCTTCACAACCCTCGCCGACTTTGCTCTCCTGAACCGCGATGTCGCCAACCAGCTCAACATTGGAGGCATCCTCAGAAACACATTCAACCAAGCCCAGAAGGCCACGGCGACGGCCGCCAAGACAATTAACGCGGCTGGTCTTGTCACCACCTCCTATGCCATCACCAAGCGCGAAAACCACCTGCCCCTCGAGGCCCGCCAGTTCAGCGCTCAGGGCTTCCCCAATTTTATCAACGAGTTTTATGACGACGAAGGCTGGTGGGCGCTCGGCCTGATCCGCGCCTATGACATTACCAGAGACCAAGATTACCTCAACATGGCCGTGCGTATCTTCGCCGACATGCAGACCGGCGGCAACACCAACTGTCAAGGCGGCATCTACTGGAGCAAGGACCGTCAGTACGTGAATGCGATCGCCAACGAGCTCTACCTTAGCGTCGCCGCCTCGCTCGCCAACCGCATCCCCAATGACAAGGCCAACTACCTCAACATCGCGACGGCTCAATGGAACTGGTTCAAGGCCAGCGGCATGATCAACGCCAAGGGTACCATCAACGATGGTCTGGACAGCACCTGCAAGAACAACGGTGCCAACGTGTGGTCGTACAATCAAGGCGTCGTCCTCGGCGGCCTCGTCGAGCTCAGCCAGGCCTCCGGCGACAAGTCGGTCCTGACAGACGCTACCAACATTGCCGAGGCTGCTATCAAGCAACTGGCCGATAGCAATGGCATCCTCCATGACACGTGCGAGCCCAACTGCGGCTCCGACGGAAACCAATTCAAGGGCGTCTTTGTTCGCAACCTTCGGTACCTGCAGGCCGTGGCGCCTCGGGACGACTTCAAAACATTCCTCCTCAACAACGCTGACAGCAACTGGTCCACGAACCGTGATGCTCAGGGAAGGCTCGGCGTCGTCTGGTCAGGCCCCTCGCAAGGTGTTTCCGGGCCGACTCACAGCTCGGCACTGGATTCGATTGTTGCCGCTGTTGCCGTCGCGTGAGCAATCTCCGTCTTCACGGGCCGCAGACAGTTGGTCAGGAGTTGGCTATTGAGTGAGTTTACAGCATCATCGCTTTAGACACTCCGTTTTTATTCATCATCTTTTATTTTGGGCGCACGGAAAAAGGTAATGGGCTAGACTCAATGGAGATGGGGATACCCTCTGATACGGACACTCCCTCGGTACCTAGGGCAGGACAAGGGTCCAGGCGCGCTTTGTGGGTTTATTGGTAATGACGATTTTAATGAGTAATGATACCACAGTTCGTCGAGTAGTTCTTGTTTACTGTATATACATATATATATAGGCTCGGGCAAAGGCATGCAAGCCTCCATCAGCAGAGAGGTGTTGGATAATACATGATCTTCCAGTCCAGAATCGTTACCCAGAAGACATATGTGACACGACAATAAGCGCCATGGTGAGTGTCATGCACTCACTTTTTTACTTGTTTGATAGCTTGTTTTTTCTTCTGTGACGATTTTCAGTCTTATCTCTGTTATATCAGCGAACCTATCTATGGAAATCATCGTGCGACTGGGATCTGCTATATAGCAGGAGCACTATTCAACTGCCAGGCCCAGCAGATGGTCGAAGCGCCAACGGTGTTGAGTCGAATTGAGTTGCGGGCAGATGAACAAACTTTCAGACCAAAAGAAGATCTGCCGATTGATCATCGGCCCGGTGAAAGCTGGTCGGTGGAAAGTTATTTCTAGCGCTATGCTGATCACTTCCCCTTTGAATCGCCCGAGATGATCGCTCGGGACCGTGGGATCATGCGGAGGAAATTGAAATTGGAGACCATCGTGAAGTGTTTCCCCTGGCTGGCCGCGACTGCATCGGGCATGTATGTACCCGATAAAAAAAGCTAAGAGAAGCGAATTCTACCTATGTCGGTAGGCATGTTATGCTGATAAGTGCAGTGGAAAGTCTTGGCAGTGTGGGGCTTGGTAAGGAGACAGACGAATGCGCCGTCAACGATCCGCGCATCCCTCCCATCTCCAAACCTGCATTGCCCCAAGCAAGGTCGAACGTCGCTCAAGAAGCCTTCAGGGTCGCTCATGCCACCTGCGCACGAACCCAATGTTCGAGATGGAACAACCCTCTCGTGACTTCGGTTGACTCTCGAATTATTGCCATTACGAAACCCTTGCTGCAGCTGGCTTATCCGGTCGGACGAACTGAAATCCGCCAACCTTCCACAAGAAGAACAAATATACTTTACGCAATGAGACATACTGTACGCTCGCTGTACCTACCCTTTCGCGTGTGTTCCGTACGACACACGGCAAGGGATGAGTAAACACCCGCGCCGGGGAGTCCATGACGTATACTTTACCCAGCTGGGCGGTGCGGCGGAGTACAGCCACGCATCATGATGCGCCTACGAGAGCTCGGGCGCGTAATTCGCGTCTCATTTATTCCTCAGCCGTTGTGCTCTCATGCTGGCGGCTCGAGAAAGCTACTTTTCATCCCTTCCACCACCACCGCCGCCGCTGCCAATACTGGTCCGACACACCATCACGAAACCAGCTCATCTGGTTTGCGTACCGCGCACCGCGGCCGAGTAACATTTTGAACTTGTCGTCTCATCTTCGGCTCAGTTGTCCTTCTTGCCCTCTCTACGGATCGATTTGCTGAGACGGGGCTATTGTCTCAAGTCCACGGCGTCAGCGTCTGCCATGACAGCCCTCACCGCTTCGAGCGACCCCTTCGGCCAGAGCCTCAAGGATCTGACCCTAATCGCGCTGAGCCTCGCTTTCTTGCCATTTAACACAGCCCTGCTCTTCACATGCTATGCGTGGCAGCGCCTGCGACCCGGCCGGGCTTCCGAAGGCGCTCCCAGCACTGCAGACTGGCCTCCCTCGCAGCACCGCAAGACCATCCTCGTCACCGGCGTCGGTATGACAAAGGGCCTTGTCCTGGCACGATTGTTCCACAAGGCTGGCCATCGCGTGGTTGGAGCCGATTTCTCCCCCTATGCCTGCGGCAGCCGGTCCCGCGCCCTGTCCGCCTACCACGTCCTCCAGAAGCCCGGCCGCGGAAGTTCTGACTCATACCTCGACTCGGTGCTCAGCATCGTCGGCCGGGAAAAGGTCGATCTATGGGTTAGCTGCTCAGGTGTCGGCTCTGCTGTCGAGGATGGCATCGTCAAGGAGGTCCTCGAGGCCCGCACCAGCTGCAGAGCCGTACAGTTTAACGTTGCCACCACCAGGATCTTACACGAGAAGGACTCATTTATGGACCACACGCGGGAGACCGGGCTGCACGTGCCGGAGTCCTACCTCGTCACCAGCCGCAACGGGATGATCGCCGCACTCGAGGGCGCCGCGGGGCTATCGTACAACCTCGACAGGGAGGCCGCCAAGCCGAACAAGGAGAGGAAGCCGCGCTTCATCGCCAAGTCGGTGGGTGTCAACGACAGGGGCCGTGGCGACATGACGCTGCTGCCGCTGCCGACAGAGAAGCTGACGTACGACCACGTTTACCGCCTCGAGTGGCTGGGGCTATCAGACAAGGAGCCCTGGTTGCTGCAGGAGTTCGTCGACGGCCACGAGTTTTGCACCCATTCGCTCGTGGTGCGCGGCGAGGTGCGGGCCTTCGTGGCGTGCCGCTCGGCGGAGCTGCTGATGCACTATGTTGCCCTGCCGCCAGACTCGTCGTTGTCGAGAGCGATGCTTGAGTTCACGAGGAAGCAGGCCGCCTCTTTCGGGGAGGGCTTCACGGGCCATCTGAGCTTCGACTTCATGGTGACCAACACGGACGTGGCCATGGCCAAGATGAGCGAACCCGAGCAGCTGGTACTGTATCCTATCGAGTGCAATCCGCGAGCGCACACGGCCGTCGCGCTGTTCGGGGACACCCCGGACTTGGTGGGCCAGTATCTCGCTGTCCTACACGATGACGAGTCCTCGGACAGGTCAGAGACCGATGTGGTGACGCCGCGAAAACCGGCCAAGTATTACTGGATCGGCCACGACCTCTTTACGCTCTTCCTGCTCCCCACGGTGCGACTACTACTTTTCCAAATGTCGTTGGCGGCGTACAGCCGGTCGGTGTGGGCGTTTGCCGAGCACCTTCTTTTCTGGAAGGACGGCACTTTTGAGCTCTGGGATCCGCTGCCGGCTTGGTGGCTGTATCACGTCTACTGGCCCATGATGTTCTGGGACTGCATAGTCAGCAGAAGGAGCTGGAGCCGCATCAACGTCAGCACGACAAAGATGTTTGAGTGTGACTGAGACCCGGGCTTAAGTCAGAAATAAGCGATTCTACAACCCAGGTACTGAATGAAACGGGCTCTTGGGTATAATCTGGGTCGGAAAGGCGCATATGGTTGACGTACTCACCGAACTTCCGAGACCGCAGAGACTTGGTAAAAGGCATTGTATGAGAAAAAAGCTCTTGATTAAAATGGAAGAAACCCACGTTTGATCACAACAAACAGCCCAAATCCCTGATATCAACCCTCCATGCGCCAATCAACCTACCTCTACTTGTAAAATTTAGCACCCCCAAGACAAAAACTATTAAGAACATACTAGAAAATGGGATCTGGGACTGCTAGGTTGGAAACCATGTCAATTCCTACGCCCTTTGCCCGCTCATCATGTCGAAAGGATCACCGAGACCATGGGCTCGGAACCGTTCCGAAGTCGATCCGTGGCCCATTCCGAAGGATCCCCGCCAATTACCTAGTTCAACCCCTCCCTCGTGCGGCTCAACTTTCATACACGCGCCTTTATCCGAGCCCACCCTCGGAAGACCGGGTGAGTCGGCGATTGACATGGAGTGTGTGTGGGGTAATAGATGGTACCATAGTTGATGACAACGCCCATCGGAAACTCAACCCTGGCCAGGAGGGGCCGGCGCTTGATTGGTGGCGCTGTTCTCGATGCACCCACACGCAATTGACTTCGTCTCATGTCTACGTCTCTAGGCGTGTAATTTGCATCCGGCGGCGTGGCATAAGACCGCTTGGAAATCTTTTCCACTTTCCAGGACTTCACGACGAACCTTGTGGCATACTCGCTTCCCACCCAATCTACGAAACCGTAAAGAAGGAGACTCAGACACACAGTATGGACTCGTCCGAATTCCGCGCCGCCGCCCAAGAGGTCGTGGAAGACAGTAAGTCTCTCACCTCTCACTTTCCCGCCTCTTCATCATGATAGTTTATCATCATCATCATCATTACTACGAACTTCCCTACCGACTAATATCTTTCCTCCAGTCACCAACTACTATGATACCATCGCCTCCCAGCCCAAGGTTCTCCCCTCCGTAACGCCGGGCTACCTTCGCCCCCTCCTTCCGGCCTCGGCCCCGGAGGACCCGGAGCCTTGGCAGGCCATCCACGCCGACCTCCAGTCGCACATCGTTCCGGGCATCACCCACTGGCAGTCCCCCTCCTTCCACGCCTTCTTCCCCTGCTCCTCCTCCTACCCCGCCATGCTCGCCGAGCTCTACTCCAACGCCTTCAACGGCGCCCACTTCAATTGGATCTGCTCCCCGGCCGTCACTGAGCTCGAGACCATCGTCCTCGACTGGCTCGCGCGCCTCCTCGCCCTGCCCGAATGCTACCTCTCCACCGCCCCGACCCGCGGCGGCGGCGTCCTCCACGGCTCCGCCTCCGAGGCTATCCTCACCGTCATGGTTGCCGCCCGCGACAAGTTCCTTCGCGACGCCACCGCTCACCTCCCTGCCGACTCGGACGAGAAGGAGGAGGAGACTTGGCGCCTACGCTCCAAGCTCGTCGCCCTCGGCAGCGAGGCCGCTCACTCGTCCACCAAGAAGGCCGCGCAGATCCTCGGCGTCCGCTTCGCCACCGTCCCGGCCCCCGCCGAGGCGGGCTACGCCATGTCCGGCACTGCCCTCGCCTCCGCCGTCGCCGCCCTCCGCGCCAAGGGGCTCGAGCCATTCTATCTCACCGCGACCCTGGGGACGACCGACACCTGCGCCGTCGACGACTTCCCCGGCATCCGCGATGCGCTATCACCCGACGAGCGGGACCGGATCTGGGTCCATGTGGACGCAGCATACGCCGGTTCGGCGCTCATACTTCCCGAGAACGCGCACCTCGCCGCCCCGTTCGCCGCCTTCCACTCCTTCAACTTCAACCCGCACAAGTGGATGCTCACCAACTTCGACTGCTCGGCCCTCTGGGTGCGGGACCGCGCCTGGCTGGTCGAGTCGCTGAGCATCAAGCCGGCCTACCTGCGCAACCATTTCTCCGAGGCCGGCCTGGTGACCGACTACCGCGACTGGCAGATTCCCCTCGGCAGGCGCTTCCGGAGCCTGAAGCTCTGGTTCGTCCTGCGGGCGTACGGCGCCAACGGGATCCGGGCGCACCTCCGGCGCGGCATCGATCTCGGGGAAAGGTTTGCGGAGATGGTCAGGTCGAGAAACGATCTCTTCGAGATCATCACGGGGCCGAGGTTCGCGCTGGTGGTCTTTGCCTGTAAGGGGCCAAGCCGGGAGGAGAGCAACAAGGTGACGGAGGCGGTGTTGGAGGGCGTGAATGGCGAGGGGGTAATTTACCTAACGCCGACGACGTTGCATGGGACCTATGGCATCCGCATGTGCACGGGAAGTAGCCAGATCATCGAGGAGGAGCATGTTAAGAAGGCGTTTGATATATTGGTTGCGGCGACTGAGAAGACTCTGGCCCAGCAGAAGTAAGTCCAACATCCTGTGCGTACAAAGGGACGGACGGATGGACCTGACCATGGCCTGTGACCTCACCTTCAAATTTAACTTCTTGCCACTTGTTTATATGTAAAAGCAAATAGATGCGTTCAAAGAGCAAGATACTTCTTCCTGGTAATATACTTCTTGAGGCAGACATGAGTAGTCGAGTGGCTGAACAGCGATATAAAGGTTGTACATTGTGGGTAACCGGAGGACGTGGTGATACCAGCATCCACGTCAGAAAATACCATTTTCTTACAGTCATGCCATTTTTACACGTAAATAACAGCGTTTTGGGTTAGGATCATAAAATAAAATTCTTGTATATAAGGTAGAATTATACCACCATTTTCATAATCACCAATATGAGGCATGATATGAAAGCAGTGGTATTATCTTATGTGGCCAGTAGTGCTATGAGAATGCGCGGTGAATTTCATATACATCGGACAACAGCTAAGCTAACGCTTCACCATTGCTATCATGCAGTGCCAAACCCCTCGGTCTTCAAAATGATGCCAATGCACCTTGACTCCGATCCCTGTGCTATGCTAGTCCCCATTAAAGCGTCAATTGCCATCATAGTTTCGTTTAATTTGATGCTGTGCATTGTTGTGTTGTACGGCCAACCCCCCTTCACTGTGGACATTTGAATGGGCTAGAGTTCGATGAGGTATCCTCACCAGTAGTCCCTTGAACGAGACGCTGGGTTGCTTCGGCTGCGCTTGTGCTCATCATACCGCCGACCATAGCCATAATCCCTATCAAACTGGTCAACGGCACGAAAATACTCCCTTTCATCCCTAACGCTGCCATCCCTCGCACTTCCCTCCCTCATTCGCGTCCTTGGCTCAGGGGGTTCGCTCTCGGGAGGTGCGTAATCCCTCACCGACTTGTACTCTCTCTCGTCCCAATCCTGATCGTAGTAATCCATGTCACTCCGATCATCCCGGACGCTCCTCTCGTCACGGAAGCTCCGTTCATCCCTGTCCCTTTCACGATCTCGATCCCAGCCGGCCTGGCTCGGATTGCTCCGCGGCGGGCGGGAACGCGACTGTCTCTGTCTCTGTCTCCGCCTCTCCTCTCGCCGGTCTTCTTCTTCGTGCTTCTCTTCCGTGCGTCTGAGCGACTTGTCGATCCCGAAGACGACCGTGGCGCCGATGAGCCCGAGGGCAAAGGCTTGGCCCCAGTCGAAGCCGCCGTTTTCTTTTTCAAACTCTTTGCGTTGTCTCCGGCTTTGGGGTTCCGCCTTCCACGGCCTGGGGTCGGGAGGGAGGATTTTGGCCGCCTTGACCATTTTGTTTTAGTAGATTGTTCCCTGGTAAAAGGCTAAGGTGTGGTGTGGTTATGCTTGTATTTCCGTCTAACACGGCTCAGAGCTCGCCGGCGTCTTCAATGTATGCGTGCGAAATGGTGCAGTCGTCGCAGACTAGTTGTAAAAATAGCTGCGCCTCTTGGGGGAATATATAATGCTCAAATGACCTGAGGTGGCGTGGCTCTCGCCTTTGAGACCAGAACGAGACACAATATGCAGGGGGGAATTGTTGACAGTGGTGGACGCCCCGATAGCAACCAAATCTGACATACGGCGCTGACTGACAAGCATCGAATTTATTTAATATCAGGCACTTTGGGGCTTCTCCCTTCGGAGTCCGATCTCCTTGGTACTACGTCTTGCAAGTTCCAGCCCCTTCACCGCTAGGCCGATGGTCAACCCCGCTCTATTGACCGGCATCTGACACGCATGGATGTTCAATGCCCGATGCTTGAGAGTTTGCCCATTGGGTTGAGAGTGAAGGCTTGTCGTCACTGTGCGGCATGATGTCATGGGCTAGCCCAGAATCGAGTAGTACTCATCTCCAAGCCGTTGACGTCAGATCCCGATTTGGCCATAGCTCCAGCAAAATGAGGCCCGTAGCGGCCAATGGAATGGCGCTCTTGAGACAAAGCTTCAATGCTTAAGAGCCAACCACTAACTCAACAACATTGTGAGACATCCGCCGATTCTTGGTCCTGCCAATATGCGGTTGATCTGTCTTACCCACGCGACCGATGCAGGGATGCCCTTTGGGTACCTAATTGCTGAACCCTTTGCCAAATGGCTGGGTTCAAATAGCGCAGCTTTTGAGCGGGGTGCACCGTTACGACAACGTTCTGCGTAAGCAACAATGCAATAGTGGTATCCTCCATATATACGGAGTACAGACTCTTCGTATACGTTGTCTCAGTTCTACAAATCTACTAGATGCTGGCTCTTCTGGGCGCCATGGTCCTCCGCATCGCCTTCTTAGCCTCGGTCTCTTCCATAAAAGGCAGCGCACCATCATCTCTTAATTTTTGCAGGAAGCCCTGCCCATATTTGTAGCCCATTTGGTACAACTCGTCAAATTTGCCAAAGTCGAGCGTACCATAGTCGTCGATGGGAGGTCGCATGTAGAAGCAGCCGGGCATGGTCTTCGCCCTTTCCAAGGCGTCGACGCTAGACACGTAAGCCAGTCTAGCCTGGATCTCCGCCAACGTCGGAGGATTGGGCGTACCCGAGAACGGGTTCCACCTGTTCCAAAATGCCCACACACCCGAAAGTGAATCACCATACGCCTGTGGGGTGTCATCATCGAGAGCACCAACGTCCACTGCGAAGATAGTATCCACACCCAGCCTCTTCATATGCAAGACGGTTAGGTTATCAATATAACCGCCATCCAGAAGCATGTTGCCTTCATCGCACAGTGGTGGAAGCAGACCAGCCAGGGACATCGATGCTCTGATGTATCTCCATGCGTAGCCGCTAGTGTGGTACTCAATTCGACTTTTACTGATGTTTGTCGTGTTGCAGTAGTACTCTAGCCAGAAATCCTCAATCTGAGTCTTGCCGAATGCTTTGAAGATGCCACGATTGAACTCGTGCCCAGTGGTGTACGAAGCAGTTGGGTACGTGAGGTCCAGCGCGAAACGCCACATACTGGCCATGCGGCCCGCAAACTTCTTGGCGAGACCGAAAATCGGAACAACGTCGGCATGGCGGGCATAAAGGGCACCTATGAAGGATCCGATCGAAGTTCCACCGACAACATCAATGGGAATACCGGATTCTTCCATGGCCTGGATAATGCCGATTTGGGTCAAGCCTCGAGCTCCGCCTCCACCAAGGACCAAACCAACAGACTTGCCACAAAGCCGTCGGGCCAGACGGTGGAAATCACCCTTGAACGGCGCGTCTGGAGAGTAGAACGCGCTGTGTCTTGTCTTCCTCGAAGTGTACTTCTGGATCTCCGCCTGGATGATCTGGACTCTCTCCTTCAGAGTCGTGCTAGTCCTCTTGGAAGGCGGATGCGCGGGAAGGATGTTAGGTCCGAGAGGCATTTGAACGTGGTAGTGTCCGCCATTGATCCACATACGGTTCCTCAACCAAGCTCTGGTTAAGCCCGATTGAGAGTATCTTTCGGGATGGAGAAGAACGAGGAGCTTCCTCGCTGTCGACTTCATTCCCAGCATAAACCGCTCGTACTCACCAATCTCGGGGGAGCCCTCGGCAAGACCCACTAGCAGGATGCAGTCAGCTTGCGTGATGCATGTCTGAGTCCATGGGGAGTTGACATTGGTATCTGACAAATGGTTAGCATTATTGAATATGCTGCGTGCGCCATCAAAATATTGTGGAATTGGTGTCCAATCAGGAAAAAATTAGAGTTAATGTTTGGCCTTCAGCGGGCTTTGCCTCGGGAAACAGGTTTGTTCATCATGAAAGGGACGGGTTGCGTAAAGTACAGTGGAATCGCTTACCTGCGACGTAGACAACCAGACCGTACTTCTCTTCCAGGTCAGCCAAGTATTGAGAAAGCTTGAGCTTGCCCATCTTATTGAATGCATGTTTGCCGAGATGGTTGAGAATTGCGGACTGGTTAAGAGAGGTGGCGCCATTTGCAGGGCCAACCTGAGCCAAGGCGTTCATCAGGCGGTTGCCGAACTCCACTACAGGAACACCAGAAGTGACAGGCAGGATAGCGACTGTCCTCAGGTTAAGGGAAGACGAGCCCTTAGTGATCGTGTTCGTGTTACCCACCTCTTTGGAGAGGAGCTGAGAAGGGTCGTCAACGAGGTTCCTCATGCGCGACGCGATGATTTTGGAAATCTTGATTGTGATGTTCGGATGCTCCTGAGCAAGGCTGTTGAACAGTGTGCGCGGGAACTTGACCAACTCAGTTTGTCGGATAGCATGAAGCGTACCGGGTCTGACGGACTCGGTCAAGACCTCCAGCTCGCCAACACTCTCGCCTTGACCGTACTCGGCTCGGACATTGACACCGCCATCTTTCCTGTCTTGAACAAGACGGAGTCGACCGTTGAGGACAATGTGGATGGCCTCGCTTTCTTCGCCTTCATGGAAAAGCACCTGGCCAGCATCAACTTGCTCCCAATCCAGAGCAAAGTCAATGTGCATAATGAGACGCGGCAGGAGGCTAGTCAATCGCTTGGCCATTGTCAGCAGGACAATAGGATAACGATCAACGATCCGTTCTAGAGCAGATAGTGGGAGGAATCCGACGTATACATCCGTCTTGGCCACCACGTCGATGAAAGATCGGTATGACGACACAGTGCCGACGTATCCTGCGAGTCCGCCGGGCTTGATGAGTGATACACTGCGACGGTATGGCTTCTTGGTCTTGGTGTCCATATTGTCCGTGGAAAATCCGGGAGAGCCATCCATCCCTATGTAACCAGCATGCAGCGATGTTCTGCTTGCAGACTGCAATATGTCCGCGGAAGAATCCTCCTTGGATGTACAAATGTCGAGGAATCCATCTACCACGTAGTAAAGACCGGGGTTGCGTTCGCCTTGCTCAACCAATACTGATCCCTTGGGGAAAAAGACGATCTCAACGTCATCCTTCATGTCGTTCGCAAGAAGGTGTGCGTTGGGTGGTGTATTCAATGTGAACCCACCAGATGTCATCGATTCTGTATCGCCATCACCAGAGGCATCAAAAGGCCCCATGAGGCCGAATGCATTGTTGCCAGGTCCTGGTCTTGACCGTCTTTGGTCATAGGAGAAGAGCCGAGGGGAGCCTTCGACAGACTCGGCTTCACGTGAAACGCTGCCATTGCTGCTGAGACCGATCGCTTTAAACATGCATTCGAGAATTGACTGACGAAAGAGATTGTCTTCGTCCAGAGATTCTCTGCCATCAACTGATGCTCGGGAATGTCTTTGGGTCGAGAAGGGTTTGAACGAGCGCTGAGCGAGAGGGCTAGATCCTTCATGACGAAGAACATCGGCAACGTCAATGGGACCAGTACTCCCGCCCGACGGTCGATGATCAGCGTATCTCGCGGATTGGATGTTGGCCAAAAGATCGCCAGGACTTGTATGCGTCGAAGCTCTCTCTCTTGGTGGTGCGATGGTCGTCGCAACTTGAGAAAAGGACCTCTCCTTGGTGGCCATAGAGTGTTTCACGGCATCCTTTCGAAGGGTAGACGTCGATTTGCGTCGACGATGAGCGTTGGCATTGTGAAGCGCTATGCCCTTGCTTTCAGATTCACCACCAACTCTCTCCCGCTCTCGATCGAATTTCTCCTTCAGGCGCTGAAGAGCATCGCCACGGAGCATGTTGGGCAATTGGCAAGTGGTGAAGGAAAGCATATTTTTTTCGGTCTGCAACACTTCACCAATGAGCCCCAAATAGTTGTAAGCTGTCGCCAACGTGACTCTTTGGAAGCGGGAAAGGATGACCTGGACGATGTGAGAGGTTGCCTTGGGATAGACCTTGGTCAGGCGGCGGAAGGCGCTGGCCGGAATGATAGCGATGGTCGTGTCAACTGTCGCTCTAGCGATGATGTCCGGATGGGCCGAGCCAGACGTTGCTCGACTCTGAAGCGTAGGACGCTTGGGTTGGCGGGCGCTTCCAGAGCTGTCCAAAGAGATGGGCGGGATTCTTGCGCCACCAGGCAAGTTCGGCGTAGCAGCCCGCTTCGGAGGCTCCTCAATCCGCACGCCAGACCCCTCCTCCGCGTTCTCGGGAAACTCGGGCGTGACAGGGAATGGGCTAGCGGGGTCCGAAGGCATACGGCGGAAACCGGTGTTGCGTGAGAATGGAGATGTTCTCAGACCGGCGCTGCTTGCCGTAGGTTCAGGGGCTTCGTCATCCGTCGACCGAAGTTTGACATCCTCTGTGAACAGCGACATGATAGAGAACAGAGAAGACATCGGTGCTCCATTGCGAACTTCCGTGAGAAGTTGATATCTCTGCTGTCCATGTAGCGACACGTCTTCCTCTTCCCCAGGATAGGTAGAATCGGGCCCGAAGTTATCGCAGGGATCTGGGTCCATGGCTCTGGCATTTCGGCCAGATTTGACAAAGATCTCCACTAGACCGTCCACAACGATACAAAATCCCTTCTCCTCTTCCAGGTTGAAGGTCTCGCCAGCGATGAGCTTACGAGTCTGCATGCTCCTCGTCAGCTCGTGGAAGACCTGTCGTTCCAAATAGCCAAAGATCTTGATGGCACTAAGAAACTCGTCCAGGTAGCTCGATAAACCAGACTTCTTGCCCTCATCATGTGTGTCGGGAAAGAGGTCAACGTCAGGCTCCTTTCTCTGAGGCTCCGGCGGAAGTCGGGAGTACATGTTCAGGATGCGGTATCGCACCACCCAACTAACAGCAGATATAATGGCGACCATTATGACCATTCTATACGTATGACGTTAGCAGAAGCTCAAGGACTTATACGTGCGATGGTGCTTACAACGTAGTAGCGTTCATCGTCACGGTCCAGCTCGTTGAGAACATGGTGAAGAGGACGGTTGGGATGGTAATGGTAACGATCCGTATGGCCCAGTAGAGGATCGAGGAGATCAAAGACAGAATGGCGAGAATCAACCGGCCAAACAGACCCAACCAACTAGACGACCCCTGGGCTGCGACGACTTCCTGCGCGCGCGTAAAGGCAGAAGGCAGGGCATCGGAAGAGGTTTTCATCGTTGCCGACAAGCTTTCTGACACCGCGTGAGCGGCACTCGAAATGTCGGAAGACGACATGACTGCGGTGTTGTGGGACGGGAAAGACCTTGCAGCATAGTGCAAAAGCAAAGGGAGTAAAGACAGGTTACATGTTCGGAAAGCGCGACCCTGGGGGCTAACAGGGCGCGTGCCAGAGAGGGAGATGTTTTAAGCCCGTTGTTGGTGGCTGAGTCGCAAGACCGACGGTGAGGGGTGGTTGGTGATTGGAAGGAAGAGAAAAGGAGAAAAATAGAAAACGGAAGAAAACGAGCTTTTTGCGCTTGTGGGGGGGAGCTTGAAGAAGCTTGGAAGTCCAAGGAACTCGGGGGGCGGTCAAAAAAAAGTGCCGCCCCACGCCGCTACAAAGTTCCAGGGCGGAACGTGCGGGCATGTGACGCCAGGCGCTGGAGGTGCTCGCTCAGCGACAGCGCTGTTGGTAATGTGGCATGGAGGGGTACAACTAGCTTGGGAAACTTCAACTTTTGAACATCTAGTCCTAGTCCGCGACAAACGGTTCAGACGCCACCAACTCCTTAATTTTATCGTTCAAGTGTACACGGCAAATCCAGATCGGATTACTCGGTAAACGCTGCCATGCCTTTTGCGCAGCTTATCCTGGGCAGTCCAGGCTCCGGAAAGAGCACCTACTGCGATGGCAGTAAGAGCCGCCCTTGCCAACGCATGCTTCGTGGCTGCCAAAGCTAACAAGACACGTCTAGTGCACCAGTTCATGGGCGCAATTGGTCGCGCATGCTCTGTGGTAAACCTCGATCCCGCCAACGACCACACAAACTACCCGAAAGCACTCGACATTCGCGACCTGGTGAAGTTGGAGGACATCATGGCGAGCGACAAGCTGGGGCCGAACGGCGGCATTCTCTACGCTCTGGAGGAGCTGGAGCACAACATGGAATGGCTCGAAGAAGGGTTGAAAGAGTTCAGCGAAGACTACATCCTGTTTGACTGTCCAGGCCAGGTCGAGCTATACACACATCATAACTCTCTGCGCAACATCTTCTTCCGGCTGCAAAAAGTCGGCTTTAGAGTTAGTCTCCCAGGTACCACCGGTCCCTTGATCAACCTCACTGACCTCGTGACAGCTTGTCGTAGTACACCTCTCCGATTCTTTCTGCCTCACGCAACCCTCGTTGTACATTTCGAACCTACTTCTGGCCCTCCGTGCCATGCTCCAGATGGACATGCCACACATTAATGTCCTTACCAAAATCGACAAAGTCGCCTCCTACGACAGCCTACCCTTTAACCTCGAGTACTACACCGATGTCGACGACCTGTCATACCTGATCCCGTATTTGGAGGAGGAATCGCCAGCGATGCGCAACGAGAAGTTCAGCCGATTGAACGAGGCCGTCTCCAACATGATTGAGAGCTACAGCCTGGTCCGTTTCGAAGTCCTAGCGGTGGAAGACAAGAAGAGCATGATGCATCTCCTCCGGGTGATCGATCGAGCGGGTGGTTACGTATTCGGAAGCGCAGAGGGCGCCAACGATTCCGTTTGGCAGGTTGCCATGCGCAACGAGTCGGCCATGATGGAGATTCAGGATATACAGGAGCGCTGGGTCGATCGCAAGGCAGAGTATGACGAGCTGGAGCGGAAAGAGTGGGAGGAGCAGGCCAAAATACGGGAGGCGGAGGATCCGAACGCGGGTCCGACCCCCCAGCAGGGTGCGGCGGATTATGATCCAGACTTCGGCGACATGTCGATACCCGCGGATAGTGGTGTAAAAGTAGTGCGCAAGAACAAATGATACCCTTCAGCCGTCTTCTTCACCCATTTCATCCTCGTCAGAGACGTCTGACGCGTCAAACATGATAGTGTCTTCAACTTGGACCTTGGGTTCGGTGAACATCGGCAGAGCGCCGCTGGTAGCAGCCGCGGCAGAGTCCTTGGCGGCGAGCACGAGCTGTCTAGCTTGTCGAACGGCCTCCTCTTCAGCCTTGCGAATAGTGCCGCTCACCCTGACGACCTTGAAAGTACACGGTTTGCCTTCCCCTGTCTTAAGCGGTACGCATTTCATGAAAGTCAGGGCAGCCCAAACGAGGCGGTAGTGTGCTCTCTTCACTTTCAGAATGAAAGTTGACGTTGCAGGAGAAAGGTACTTGACTGCTGCATAATTAGGCACTGTTTAGATAAAACTTGAAAAATCACGCTTACCTTGAAGGTTCCCCTCGATAGCGCCAGAACCATAGTCGCCGAACAGGATAGCAACTTCAGCTCTAATGGCCTTCAGCAGAGACTGGGGAGTGAGACTACCCGTTGTCGGTTGGTGAATGAAGACAAAGTCCGGGACATTAGGCGATTGCGATTTCGAGTCCCCTGGTGGGTACAGAATATTGACGAGAAGATATCTCTCCTTGATTCGGACCATTCTGGCGCGTGGGTGGCAGTGTTCTTCCGTGACTGAGTTGACTGCTGAGGTTGACATTCGAAAAAGTTCATGGCTGGCGGTACGTACCGCAATAGGCGCGACCCTGGCTTGCAGATGGGTCCTTGTGGCGGGACGCTCTTCGTACCTACAGTACGTCACTTACTAAGGCGGGGGAGCTTCACCATCCCCTTCTGCGCCTACGAGTTCCCGACGTCACCAAGCATAGTTCACCAAAGTGATATCAGACGTATTTGTGGTGGTGTGCTCATAAATTTTCGGGTCTTTTATAAGAGATCTGTGCCTCGAATATTACGTTTTTACCAACGTTCTGATACCCCCTAGTCACGATTTACACCATGACTGACGCTCCTCTCAAAGTAGCCATCCTGATCATCTCGACGACGGCGTCCAAGGACCCTTCGACAGACAAGTCTGAACTTGTTCTCAGAGATGTCATCGAGAACGAGGGCGGCGGAAAGTGGAAAGTCACGGAAACCAAGATCGTGCCAGACCATGTGCCCCAGATTCAGCGTCAAATCATGCTCTGGGCAGACCTGGGCCCCATCGAAGGAGTCAACTTGATCCTAACTACTGGAGGAACTGGCTTCGCAGTATCAGACAATACACCTGAGGTACGATGAATGAACTAGGAATGTAATATTCAATATTGATACCGCTGTTTAGGCTGTAGCAACTCTCCTTCACCGGACCGCTCCGGGTCTGGTGCACGCAATGCTGGCCTCGTCTCTGGCTGTGACCCCATGTAAGAGAAGGTAGCATCTCATACAGAGCCATACTGACAGCAGCAGTCGCTATGATGTCCAGACCAGTGGCTGGCACTCGCAATACTACCGTCATCGTCACACTGCCCGGCTCTCCCAAGGGTGCCAAGGAGAACTTACAAGCTATCCTAAAGACGTTGCCTCATGCATGCGTCCAGGCCGCTGGCGCAGACTCTCGAATTCTTCATGAAGGCGGAGTAAAGAAGCTTGAGTCGGATGCTGGTATAGACATAAAAGCCACCTCCACGGCATCAAAGCCCCAGAAAGACCACTCACACGGCCATAACCAAGACCACAACCACAGTCACAGTCACCCCCATGGCCATTCCCACGTTCATAGTCAAGGACATGGGCATGGGCATGGGCACAGAGGCCCCGTCAGACACACGAAGCCGGGCGATAACCCTTTGTCTAACGACCCGAGTCTTGGCCCCACACGCAGACATAGAGAGTCACCATACCCCATGTTAGAGGTAGATGATGCCCTACGACTGATCAAGGATTTTACCCCTGAGGCCGAAGTTGTGACCTCCAAACTTGGCGTTAATCTTGTGAACTCGGTGCTTGCAGAGGACGTCACAGCGAGAGAAAGTGTTCCGGCATTCAGGGCGAGCATTGTCGACGGGTACGCTGTGGTCGTGCCCGATGATGGCAACATGAAGGGTGTCTTCCCTGTCACAGCGGTATCCCACGCCGCACCCGGTAATGTGAAGGGCCTCAAGGAAGGTGAAGTCGCCAGAATAACGACAGGGGCCCCTCTGCCCCCTGGCGCCACTTCCGTCATCATGGTCGAGGATACCGTCTTGAAATCCATGACTAAAGACGAGAAGGAGGAAAAGGAGGTTGAGATCCTCGCCGACGGCGTTAAGCCCGGTGAAAACATCCGCGAAGTCGGTAGCGACATCCAGGAGAACGACGTGATCCTCAAAAAGGGAGAACAGATCTCTGGCGTCGGTGGCGAAATTGGCCTTCTCGCAGCCGTCGGTGTCGCCGAAGTCAAGACTTACAAGCGCCCGGTCGTCGGCATCCTCTCAACGGGCGATGAGATCATCGAGCCGGATCGTCCCGGCGGTCTTCGCCTGGGCGAAGTCCGCGACACGAACCGCATCACGCTCATGTCTGCCGTGCGTCAGTGGGGTTTCGAGGTCATCGACCTTGGCATCGCGCGCGACAAGGCCAACTCGCTTGAGGAGAACCTGCGTGAGGGCCTACGCCGCAGCGACCTGCTAATCACCACGGGTGGCGTTTCCATGGGTGAACTCGACCTCCTGAAGCCGACCATAGAGCGGTCCCTTGGCGGCACGATTCACTTTGGACGCGTGGCCATGAAACCGGGCAAGCCGACCACCTTCGCCACAGTGCCGGCCAAGACAACGCTCGGCGAGCGGGTCACCAAGGCTGTCTTCTCGCTGCCCGGAAACCCGGCCTCGGCTCTTGTGACTTTCCACCTCTTCGTCCTGCCAGCGTTGCACAAGCTCTCGGGGATCGAACCTATTGGGTTGCCCAAGGTGCCTGTGACCCTGGCTCATGAATTCCCCCTTGATAAGATGCGCCCCGAATACCACCGCGCGATTGTCACGGTAGGGAAGGATGGGTCGCTTTCGGCAAGCAGCACTGGTGGCCAGAGAAGCTCAAAGGTCGGCAGCTTGAAATCTGCGAACGCGCTGCTTGCTTTGCCAACGGGCTCGGGCCCACTGGAGAAGGGAAGCAAGGTCGAGGCCCTTCTGATGGGTGATGTCCGGGCAGAGCTTTAAACATATAGGCGAAGAAACGCCTAGCTCGAGTAAATCAGTAATTATATGCCAATTTGGTTCACAAGCACAGTCTGACAACCATGACTTGCAAGAGTGAGGACGTTAGTGCTTCAACAAATGTACCGCGATGTACACATGCAGGTCGGAATTATGAATATGTGCATCGTGTCCGGAATTCTCGCACAGAAATCATCTTGATGAAGAGCTATAATACTTCCATAGTGTACAATACAAAATATCCTCGCCCTGCCCGTATGCCATTAACGCCAGCCCAAGTAGTCTTGGTGTAATGCAGTACTCCACTGTACATTGTGCCCGAGGTCGGCATTTGCTATGCTGTCCGTAGTAATCTCCTTCTTTTGAACCCCTTGATGTCATTTACATCGCGAGTCATATTTATGCCTTACCGAAGGCGTTGGCCTTGCCGGAGACAAGGAGACCGATGATCAGACCGAAAAGACCGAGGACGGAGCTGAAGATCTCGACAACAAGGATCTTGACAAAACTGTGCGCCGGGTGATTAGTTAACCAGAACGCCGTCGACACTGATCCAGGCAAGACTTACAGTGTGGGGTCGGCGGCGTCGGCCAGCGCGGCTCCACTGCCGTTGATGCCGACGGCGACACCGCAGATCAGGTTGCACATTCCGACGGTGATACCGGCCCAGAAAAGGGCGAATCCAGTGTAGTAACTGTTGCCGTCGTGCAAAGTAGCACCCTGGACGTTCTCGAGCTGGGCAGAGAAGACAATGGCCATGATGACGCCGTAAATGGCGACGACTTCGCAGAAGATAATGGAGATCAAGTTCTTGGTTCGCACCCGGGGCGCCTTAACGCCCGCGCCGAGAATGGAGGAACCGGTGATGAAGATACCCCTAAATGGTGACGGCCCGTTAGAAATGACCCGCGATACTGAAGGTCGGATGCTTGTGCGTACCATGCCGCGCCTACGACGGAAAGACCGATGCAGAGGGCGATGCCCGTGTCCGCCCACGCATAGGGTGAGATAGATTCAAGGAATTCGCCGACATTAAAGGCCTCGCCCGATCCTGTGAAGAGCATGTCTGTCTCTGTTAGCTCGCGCTGTCGCGAATCGCCAGTGCAGCGCAGGGCGGGTCCATACAAGCTCCCACAACGAGGAGGGTGCTCCCCATGCCTCCCAGGCCATACGTGAGACTCATCGTGGTCGTTTCAGCGTGTATCGTTCCCGGTGTCGTGGATGGTGGTTGACAGCGGAGGTCTTGGTCGTTGCAGCTACGTCGAGCTCTCTAGTCGGCCAGGCGAGGTAAGGTATCTGAGGTGCAAGCAGAAAGCAACCCAGAGTTGGCAAAGTCACATGACGTGTATATCCACTGTTTCCTTAGGTAATCCGCGGCGAAAGCACCAAGATACCTAGGTACCTGCCTCCCCAGGTACCTACCTATTAAGGCAAGGGCGTCGCCAGAGTCAGAGTACACTAACAGGCAACCACGGAGAGCAGCAACGGACCCACTTCCTAAACAGCTGAGTAAGCTGGGTCCAAGGATATCCTCAAACAAGGCCAGTATAAATGCAACCTTGCCTCTTTCACACTCACAACCACCTGAACCGACGCCCGCCCGCAGGAGATCCAAGACAAATCTCCAAGATGGCAGCCGCACCTCAATCGTTCTACGAGCTTTATCGCCGTAGCAGGTACTGCGCCATCCATGACAATTACTATACATATACTGCTGCATATAACTAACTCATGTATCTGACTGCAGCATCGGCCTTGCGCTAACGGACATGCTTGATGACCTTATCAGCGAAGAGCGCATCCATCCCCAGCTGGCGATGAAGATTCTGGCCAACTTCGATCAGGCTATAACAGAGGCTCTGCAGAAGAGCGTCAAGGCTCGTCTCACCTTCAAGGTATGTGCCGCCGGCTTCGTTGGTCCTTCTTCGTCGCCCTCTTCTATCGCTGGCCTTTGGGCCCTACCCTCGGGGTTTCCCTGTCTTTGGAGGGTATCGCGCTCCACCGTTACAAGAATACCCTTGACGGCAGATGCGCAGCCAGCATCATGGTCATTTGTACACCCAACAAACGCATGCTAATACGGTTTCCCTTGCAGGGCAGCTTGAGTACCTACCGTTTTTGCGACGAAGTCTGGACGTTTCTTATCAAGAACGTTCAGTTCAAGCTTGATAACGGTGGTCAGATCGTCACGGCCGACAAGGTCAAAATTGTCAGCTGTAACGCCAAGAAGCCGGGCGAAGGGCCTTGAAGGGTGGGCGCATACAAGACCGAGAGGGCCAGCAGCGGCCTCGTCCATCTTTCTCGTACACGGGTGGATACGCATTTTGGGACACGGGCGACGAAATCGACGAGCGCCCCCCAGTGGCTGCATATATTTGGCGTTTAGGTTCATGGTCTTATGATGGCACCTGGCTAGGGACAATTGGGAGTTTATACAAGCTTACGTTTGTGATACCACAAGAGGTTTTGTACAGCATTGCGCACATGGCTACAATGGGCGAGTCAATAGACTGAGTGATCGCATGGAGAGCGTCTCATCACCTGTGTTCGTGGCTTTGCTGTAAGAGTGACCGACTCTATAATAGTCGAGTGAATCCCCCGTACAAATACCTTGGCGACGCTTGTCTGCATGTGCTACTGACCCTGTGCGCGATGCTGCCTCTCGTCTTAAATTGTTCTTGGATGGTTCTCACTAAACAATGCGATATGTCATTGCTGGCACTCTACGTCATGACATATACGCCGTCCCCACTGACCAATCAAAGTCTATTCTGTTTGGCTTCGGGGCACCGTCGAATGGCAGATTTTGGCGGCTAGAGAGTTTGCTTTGGCCTTCTAGGAACCTCATGGTCGATTTTGTCGGATGGTAGCCAGGCACTCCCTAAACACGCCTGCGTGGGGAAACGGCCGATGCCGGCACGCCGGGTACCTGCATAGCCCGGTGCCTCATTCTCCGGAACCGGGGGCAGCACGCGTTTGCGTTGTTCTCCTTCTCATTCTCCCCCATCGCTAACCTCAGCGGCCTGTGCTTCTGTATGTCCAACGACACGGTTTCCAATTGAGCCCCCTTGCTTCGCGCAGCCCCTTTCGTTTTTGGTATTTATTGCTGTGAACCTTATCAATGTACACTAAGACAACATGAGGTGGAGCGAGAGACATCACCGCAGCTCTCAAGACGGCGTGCAACTGGATTTGCTCTTGCTAGGATCCCCCACACTCTTCTTGTGACCTTCAATCACAATTACCGCTTACTCGTCGTTCTTCAAGCGCCTGCCATCTGGTCTCGCTGCTGCTGCTGCTGCTGCTGTTATTGCCGCTAAGTCTCTTCGGACTCCTTGGAGCGCACAACCTCCTATACGTGGGGCGTCTTTTGTCGCACTGTCACAGCACAGCGCACCTTACCTCATCCCATCGCCAAGCATAGCACCGTCAACCCGTCGTCCGTCTGCCATCCATCCCATCCTATCCCCAAGCAAAGCCAAAGCACAGAAGCAAAACAGGGGTCGCTCGCCCAGCAGTAACATCCTCTCCTTTCTCTTCCCCCTTCTCTTTCCACAATAATGCTCCGCCAAAGACAGCCTGCCGCCTCTGTAACCGCCGCCCCCAATCACCCTCAAAAGGCACAGATACCCACCATGGCCGCCGCAACGTCAACTACCCTGGACAACGAGCACCGCCCGCTGCTCCCACGCCACGAGGACGACGCGCGCAGCAGCAGTAGCCAGCAAGCTACCGAGGCAGTTGACAACGACGAGGCGACGAAAAGCATGGCCTGGGCACGGCGGAACCAGTGGATTGTCCTCGCCGTTGCGAGCGGCGCCTGCGCGGCGTTCAATGGCGTCTTTGCGAAACTGTGAGTTGCCCACTTCCTGTTCCGGCTCAATCAGGCGTTGGGCCAAGTCTTCGCGAACCAACTTCACTCGGATGAGTTTGTTGTTCCTCTTCTTTTCTTAGTAGCTTCCTAGAGCATGCTCGCCTTGGGATTGTCTTGACGCCAATTATCTCAATCCCGGTGCAATAACCTAAACAATTTCCTTTCCACTCAGCACCAAGACTTCCGCTCACAACCCCGTAGGACCACGACTGATTTGACAACCGCCATATCGCAAGCAATCTCCAACTTCCTTCACCTGCAAAACATCGAAGGTGCTTTTGAGGTTATTCTGCGAGCCGTAAGCTCATCTGATCGCCTCTCATCCCCGCCACACTAACCCGTCTTGAAGGTCTTCTTTGGTCTCAACCTCGTTTTCAACGGCATTGTAAGTCAACCGCCCCTCGCTTACGTAGGTAGCATCAGTCAGCTAACATATTCCCATTAGATGTGGACTCTCTTTACAAAGGCCCTCGCCAAGGGGCAATCGACCACGCAGGTCTCCATTATGAACACGTCCACCAACTTCGTCATCACCGCCATCCTCGGCTTCGCTATATTCACCGAGGCCCTGCCGCCGCTGTGGTGGGTCGGCGCCGCCATGCTCGTCGCCGGGAACGTCATCATCGGCCGCAAGGACGAGGAGGCCGACAAGCCCGGCGGCGACTATGCGCCGGTGCCTCAGCAGCCCGGGCTCGCTACCGTGCCGCTCGATGTTCCGGATGAAGACAAGGACTCCGAGGATGAGGACATTGTTGATTTAGGAGACATGAACTCATCTGAGCACCAGGCTTGAGCTGACCTAGAGATATTCGTATAGGATGACGATTGTATATGTCTGTACATGCAACACAAAGAATGTATGATACATGTGATAGATGTTCAGGTTCTATACCCTACAATCGTTTGCGTTGCAACCTGGGAATTGGGTCCCCATGGCCTCTAGCTTCCGTAATATTCTTGTGATCAATCTATCAAACCCTGGCTTCTGGTCACCCGGACCATCGCGCATCCCATAGCTATCATATCATGATACGGACGAAGCTGGTCTGTTACTTTTCAGCAGATTGTTGCTGAAATCGATTCACATCTAATGCCCCGAGAACAAAGTCCAGCCATGTATGCACATGCCCAAATAACGCCGACCAAGAATCATGCTTCCTGAACCATACTTGAACTCCCAGATCTCAGACCACGCGCCAGATCATACAAGACAGATAACATCACCGATTATCCAGCTCTACCGCCCCATCATCGATAGCATCTTCATCGCCGTCCAATATGTGCGCACCAGCGGACCGGCCACCGCCATAGCTTCCACCCATACCCCCTCGCTCATCAAACGACGATAGCCGCACCCGCCCGCCAGACGCCATTGACACTTTCTCAGACACCCAATTCGCAGCATGCCGCATTGCGCTCCACAACTTCTCCTGGCTCTCAGCGAGAGCGGAGTCGTCGCGCAGGTTTTCGGCGTGCTCGGCTGTAAACTGGTACTTTAGGCAGTCCTTGACGGTCACGAGACCCGACAGGCGGCCGTGGTACTCAATCAATACGACTCTCGGGCCAATCTTGCGGAAGAGCTCCATGACCGTTTCGAGAGGTAGCCGAGGGTGCGCTGTAACGGGAGTGGTATCAATGTACCGGCTGAAGTCGACAGTTGTAGACGACGTCGAGTCGAAGTTCACCGTCACGGTGGGTGTGAGCGGGGCAGCTGAGTTAAGGGCTGCCGGCGGGGGTGAAAAGGTACACCGGGCCTGTGGGTCGATGGGTCGCTCACGCCTCACCCGATCAATAGCGTAGCGCAGCTCCGTGCGACCGATGTAGCCGATGAGTATCTTGGACGCTGCATCCTCGACGATAGGGAAGCCTTGGTACGTATCCACCTTGAGGAGCTTCTCGAGCTCGGAAAACGGCATACCGCTCACCGGCAACGATGTAATCTCCGTCCGCATCACCTCCGAGACGGGAACGCCAAAGTTATGTTCCTCCTTGTTGTCTAAGAAAGGGAACCCACTGAACCAGATCATCCTGTCAGCGATGCCGCCCTTGCCAAAGAGCTCACTGACGATCTTGGTCACTCCGACAACGATCATGGTGGGGAGGATGTACGTCAGAGCGCCAGTGAGCTCAAACATGATAACAACCACAGACACGGTGATGTGCATGATGCCACTCAGCGCTGCGGCTGCACCAAGAAAAGCGTATGTGCCGGGTGTGATGCAAGGCTCATCCGGCTTGCAAGCCGCGAAGAATGCACTCGTGGGGTTGGCTTCGTGAATTGCTTGGACAATGATGCCTACTGTGCGGCCGAACGACGCGCCAATCGCCATGGATGGAACGAAAATGCCAGCCGGCACCTTGCAACCATACGAGATGATGACGAGCAGGACCCTCAAAACTGTGGCCAGAGCCAGCGACAGAATGTTCGAAAGCCTCTTGTCGGACTCGCATAGGCCATGGTAGTCCTCAGCTCCCTCGCACTCAAGAAACAGTATCTCCATGCTCTCTGTCATGTCGATCCTCAAGAAGACGTTGGGGTAGCAAATGATGGCCGTTCCGGCGGCGAGTATAGTGGCCTCCGCGATGGCGTACTTTGAAAGGTACTTTTTCCTGAAAGCCTGTACCCGCAGGTTCCACTTCATGACGAAGGCACCGTAGAGACCGCCGAAGATGCCTAGAATAATGTAAAACACCACCTCAAAAAAGTGCCACGACCGGTCGTAGCGAACCTGAAACATGACGAGTTGTCCCGTCCTAAAGGGATTCATGGCTGCAAGCACAGCTGTGGCTACGAGAGCGCAGAAGTAGCTGCGCCACAACGTCTTGAGGGGGAAGTAATTCGACATTTCTTCCAGAGAAAACAGTACGCCGCCAATGGGGCTACCAAAGGCAACGGCAACACCGGCCGCCGCACAAGCGCTTAGGATCTCCCTCGTTTTCGAGGCGTTGCGGCGGTACCTTTCAAATAGCCGCGAGATAACGTTTCCGGTGCACACGGCGTAATGTACACTGGGACCCTCCTTTCCGACGGACAGACCTGAGGCAATGGCCAGGGGCAGGCAGACGGACTTGATCAACAGCGTCCAGAAGCCTAGGAAGCCTTTCATGACGAACCCGGCAATGATGCATTTAATCTCGGAGATGCCGGATCCCGCGGCGTACGGCGCAAACGACTTGACGAGAGTAGCCGAGGTGAAGGCGAAGACGGTGCCAAAGAGGATGTAGAGGATGTAGTTGGCCGGGGCGAATCCCGTCCAGTGATGCCACTCGTCGCAGCCGTTGTCCTCGCCCCAGCAGCAAAAGTTCTCGTTGAGGTAGAACGCCGTCGTACAGTATCCCGTCTTGATATCAGACAGCCATTCCGTTATGATGTTTAGAAACGCCGCGTTCAGCCCGATGGCGACTCCGATCAGCGTCACGACGAGCCAGCCCTGCGCGGCATCGTAGGACTCGCGCAGACGGTATCTCCAGCCCGCCTGGCCGTTATCGAGCATGCCCGCGCGCCGCCTCCGGCGCAGCTTCCTACGGGCCTGTTCCTGAGCGGCATCCTGGACCCAGTCTATGGTGGTAAAGTCCTCGTAACGCTTGATCTCGGCGATCTCGTCTTCGATCTGCTGTTGTTGACGGTGGGCGGGCGCGGCCTCGGCGGCCTCATCGTCATGTTCATCCTGCTCGACGGTCGAGACAGCGAACGAAAGCCTCGAGCTGATGGACGGGCGCGGGAGCCGGTGAGGGCTGTGGGAGAAGGACGTGCTACGGGAAGTCATTGTCGCATCGGCGGCGCTGTGCGCATGTTCGCGCCGGTCGAGAGCAAGTGAAGTGGGGGAGGGTTCCCAATGGGCATCAGGCCAGTGTGGTCGGCTGTCGTCAATGGTAGGTGGTAGAAACCTAGTCAGCGGGACATCGATGACTTTGGGCTGTATGTTGCAATCTTTGCTCGCTGATCAATGAGAGAGGTCTGTGGTGTTGGCCGCAAGCTGCGGACGAGGCTAAATCGGGAGGAGCAAGGATTACGAGGACAATCATGGTTCCCAGCGAATTAATGCGGACGCCGCGAGCGTCTTCGGGGTGTCTGGGGGCTTCCCTGCAATTGGGTGTACTTAAGCTTGCACTTTACGACTTGCGGCTGGTGCAGCAGTGAGGCGGGCGCGTTTTTAGTGGTCGCGTCTCACTGGCCTTTTTGGCGCGACTTGTATCCAAAGTGACACTCTCCTCAACGACTACCCACCGGAAGACATCTCACAACACGACCAACACCAGCGGCATAGCGACGGTATTCGGATTACAAAACATTCTCCATTACACTGCGAGACAATTATTTACGTAGAGGATCTCAGAGACGAAGATACTCGCGGCATCAAATCGTTGTTGTCTTACCCTCCTTGGTAGGCACATATACCAAGTCCCAAGCAGGTAGGCAGCTTTCGTTTTATCTTAACCCCGGGCTATTTTTGCAGCTCAAGGGTTTGTGCAAGTGCATGAAGGACAAAGGTACTTGGTTTATCGCCTGAACGGTGAAAAACTGCGTCAATTCCCTGCCCATAAAAACCACTTATATGCTTGGAGTCCAGGAGCAGACAGACTGGCAAGGGGATCAACCTCCAGATAACTTTAAATGTGCTTTACACCTACTGTAGCCGCCACTGACGAAGGACTTCACTTTGCTTCATTTGTCCTTTGACCGCTCCCATTCAGACACACAGCCTTATCTCAGCCTTCATCAACTGTACTTACTAACTCTCCTTCAGACCCCTATACCGATTCTCACCAGACTTCTGGACATTCATCCCCTCATCCCCTAACCATTCACAATGCCTCCCAACAATAATGCGATACCTCCCCGTAAGGAGGCAACAGGCCAACCTGCCCTGCCATGTATGTTCAATATTTTCATCAAGACCCTCTGGGCTTCAGTCCTAACTCTTTGCTAGTGGCCCGTGTGAAGAAGATAATCGGCACAGACCCCGACATCAGTATCTGCTCAAACAACGCAGCCTTTGTGATCACTCTAGCGACTGTAAGCCCAACCTGCTCTCAAAGGCCATCCCGTCTTCGGACATTTTGTTGACACGCCTAGGAAATGTTTATTCAACACCTCGCCGCCGAGGGCCACAACATGGCCAAGGCCGAACGCAAACCCCGCCGCAACGTCCAGTACAAGGACCTGGGTAAGCTTTCCTTGCGTCACTGTGTTCGAATCAACCCTTACGTCCTTTTACCCTCATAATCTGTCTAATATTTTCCTTTCCCTCATCCCCCTCCCGCCTCTCACCCAAACTTTGTCTACAGCCAGGGAGCAGAGACCAGGCTAACGGAAGCGGGCCAGCAACCGCCGTGAACCACCACGACAACCTTGAGTTTCTCGAAGACATCATCCCCAAGACCGTTCCCTACAAACAGATCAAGGACCAAGCCGCCGCCGCCCGTGCCCAGCCCAGGAAAGCCGACCAGGAGCCAAAGAAGCGCCAGTCCACCCTCAAAAGCAGCGCCGTCAACGGCGTCAACGGCTCCTCCGCTCGTGCTGCCGCTGCCGTCACCGCCGACCCCCTGACGGCAGCACTTCACTCGGATGACCCTAGCGCGCAGCTCGAGGTCGAGTCCCGCCAAGCTGCTGCCGCAACCGCCGCCGCCGACGAGGACGAGGACGTCGACATGACGGGTTAAGGCCCTCGCCGGGCCGCCCCCGGTCTTCCCTCAGAATCGTATATGGACCCCCTTTCATGAGACATCACTCAAAGAGGCAGTCGTTATACGAAGAAGAAGAAAAACGAAAAAAGGGGTGGTTGTTGCATGCAGAATACATACTTCACCAACGTACATACCAAAAACACCAGGAGTTTGTAAGAGAAAAGCACCATTGATGACTTGTATGATGAACAGGCCTTTTCTTGGGTTCCCCCGGATGCCCATTAATAAGAACGTCTTTAAAACAACGGAACCCTTTTTTGTCGTGATTGAACAGAAAACGCCAGTCCATGATACGAACACGTGCCGCCCTCGTCCCCTCCTGCCGGCGTCAAATATGACGTCTGACATTATATGCTTCTCGCTCAGTCCTCCATGGTGGCGTCCCCGTCCAGATGCACACCCGCCGGGATCGTGCCCTCCGTCAGCATCTTCTCCAGCCGGATAATCTCCTGCAGGCTATCGGCCTTCTTGATCATCTCCTTCAGTCGCTCCTTCTCCTTGTCCGTAAGTTTGATACGCGAGAGCTTGGAGGTGGCCCCACCACCGCCGGTTGCGCCGTTTGAGGCGGCGAGGTCGAGCTTCTTAGACTTGATGCCCATGATCTGGGAGTAAGTTTACCGGTTAGCATTCCCAACTTTTGACGGCCGTAGAAGAGTGTCTGGAGTCAGAGTTGGATAGTCATACCTTGGACGCCTCGGCCGTGGGCTCCTCCGCCGTGCCAAACAGCTCCCTCGCCTTCTCCCGCTCCGCTTCCTTGACCTTTTGGTAATCCAGGAACCGCACCGAAGGACAGCGCCAGACGACCCAGTACCGGTAGTTCTACACATAGCATCTCGTATCAGCACAACAACCCCCAGTAACCAGAATCCGACAAGAAAAAGGCGAGGTATATGATGGGGACTAAAAACGCACCTCCTTCTTGGTTACGGGGTTATCCGCCAACACCAGGTGCGTCAACCGCTTGAAGCCCGCCAGCACATCCAAATCTGCGAGCTCGGCCAACTGGTTCGACGCAAGTACGAGCTGCGCCAGGTTCGGAATTGCGTTCGGAAGCGCAGGTTGTATGCTCGATACTCGGTTGTGCGCCAGCAGAAGCGTCTGCAGGCGTGGCGACAGCGGGAAGTTGCCCAGCACCTGGATGTCGTTGTCGGTGAAATCGATGGAGTCGTGGGGCTGTTTTTGGTCCGGGCACGTCAGCGACTCACTCTACCTCTTCTGCCCCTTCTCCTTTCCAGAGATTTGCAGACAGTGTCGCGACCAAGAGATAAGAGCTGAGGAGGAAAGGAGAGGGGATGGACTCACGCCTGCAACACCCAGATTCTCGATCGCCGGGATTCGATGTCCTATTGTTTCCGGTCGGCGCAAACGGCCCTTGCTATCAATCCTGCTCTCCCAAAAAAGTGTAGTATCTGTCCTTTTCACAATAACGCACCTCGGAGGTCAAGCTCCCGCTCCTTGAGCGGATTCAGGTAGGACAGCGAGCCCTTGATGAGCTCCGCCGTGAGCCTCATCTTGGTAGTCGGCTGTTGATGCTATAGGCGGTGGTAGTGTGCTGGGGGTTACCTCGGGGGGGATGGGACTTGTTCGTAACTAGAACTGTGGCGTGATTGATTCGCGATCCGTAGTGCGTCGTAGAGGATTTCGTCGGCTCAATGGCAGTTCTTCGTCGCGTCTTATAGTCGCGTGGGTTTGTAGTGGACTTCTTGACAAGGCTGAAAAGCTGGCGCTTGACAAGGCGGCGGCGTCATAAAATTTCCCGCCCGATAAGAGCTACAGTCTGTTGCGTTGGCAGCGTCCAAAACCTACTTTTCAGTCCGTGCGTTAGAAACACTATTACAACTACCCTAGTTAGGGTCACGTAGGGGGGTTACCCTGCTAAGTAGCTACTACTTACCTGTAGATTTATAGATTTTTATATAGATACTATAGTGTAAATAGCTTTAATTAATAAGCTTATTACTATTATTATTACTACTATTATTAAATAATAGCGCTAAAGAAGGGGGTTACTACCCCTAGTAGTAAAAAGGTATTACTAGCACTACTAGCTAATAGTACTTAAGCCTATAAGGCTGCCTATAAAGGATTATTATATATAGTAATTAAGCGCCTTATAGTAATAGTACTAGCACTAGTAGTAAAGTTAATAAAATTAATAATAATTATTAAGACGCTAAAAAAGTTAGTAGTAGCTATAGTAGTAATAAAGAAGTTAGTAGTAGTAAAGAAGTTAGTAGTAGCTATAGTAGTAATAAAGAAGTTAATAATAACTATTAAGACGCTATAAAAGTTAATAGTAGCCTAAGTAACTATTAATAATAAAAAAGAAGTTAGTAATAGTAATAATAATAATAGTAATAAGCTTACTTATAATAATAAAAAGCCTATATAATAAGTACTATTTATACTAAATCTATTTAATACTTTATTATAAACTTTATTACTATTACTATAGTAATAGTAAGTAGCTATTATAGTAACTACTTTACTACTAACTAATATAATAATATACTTTACTTTTAACCTCTAATTTAATAGTATTAAATCTATATTATAAGTCTAGCCTTTTTAAATAGTATAGTAATTAATAAGTTAGTTAATAGTAAGTATAATAATTAGGTTAAGGTAAAAAAAGTAAATCTTAAAAGATATAAAGGATTACCTTTAAAGGTAACTTACTAAGTAATACTAGCTCTTAAAGTTATAGATAATAGTAAAGTTTAGTAAAAAGCAGTATACTATATAGAGGGTTAATAATATTTACTATAGTAATAACTTTAGTAAAGTAGATAAGAAATAGCCTACCTTACTATAGTCTAAATTTAGCTAATAACTAAGTAACCTTAGCTATAAGACTTAAGAGATCTTTTTTAGTATAGATCTTATATACTCTACTAGTTTAGTTATATTAGTATTTAGTACGTTATAATTTACTATAAAGTTAAAAAGTAAGTAACCTAACTATAGTAAGCTAATTAACTATAGTAAGCTAATTAACTATAGTAAGCTAATTAACTATAGTAAGGTAATTAACTATAGTAAGTAACTAGATTATAGTAGCTAACTGTTATATATTAATTTAAAAAAAATAGTAATAAATTTAATAAGGGATAAGATTAACTAAAAGAGGGATATAAAAAGGGATTTATAGTATAATCTAATAAAGTATTATAAGTATATAGATTACGTAAGTTACTATAATAATATAAAGGTAAGTAATAGTACTAACTAGTGTTTAGTTATTACTAAAGTCTACTATAAGTTACTTACTTATAATCTTAAAGCCTAGTAAGATATAATACTTTATTATAAGGTAAATATAACTTTAAAAGATCTACTACTAGGCCTTATAGTTATAGTTACCTAGCAGCTAGTAAAAAAAGATAATTTACCTATATAAGGTAAAGTTATAAGTAATTTACCCTCTATAGTAGGATTTAAAAGAAGTAAAAATCCTACTAGTAGACTATCTTTACTAACTATAAATAACTTTACTAGTAATATAGTAGTTAATTTATCTTTTAGTAGTAAAAAAGTTAGCCTTTTTATATAGTAGTAGTATTAATTACCTTTATAATAGTAGCTATTTTTAATCTAATAGTATTAATATATACCTATTACTTTATTAATTAACTTATTACTAACGTATTTAGTAAGAGAGACTAAAGTGCTATTATTATTACCCCTATAGCCTAGAGAGCAGTTACCTATAGCGCAGTTACTAAAGGTATAAGATTTTATAAGGTAGTTTCTTAAAGTTAAAAGGTAATAATAAGGCTATAAAGGTAGTACTAATGTAGCCTTTTAATAACTATAGAGCTCTTTATTAAGCCTAGTAGTTATCTAGTGTATACTAAAAAAGTAGTATAAAGAAAAAGGTATACCTAAATCCCTTATTAGCACTATATATGTCACAGGACAAGGTGGTAAGTGCCTGTAGTTAGGAGACAGATAGATAGCAGGGACTAGATACCTGACACACACGTGATACGTCACGTGTGCCCTGGGTATATATCCCTTCAGTAGGTGACCCTTCACAGAAGGAGGGTCAACCATGAATACACCTACTATCTGTTACCTATCTTGTCCTGTGTCACTTGTTTAGCTCCTTGTTATTGTTCGTCTTGCTTCACTGCTCTGCTGTTACGCTTCGCCTACACACTACGTCACTTCACGACACTACTGCAGCCTAGCTTTATCTTGTTAGAACCGTAACGGCTGCCAGGAAGGCTGTGTTAATATAAAAGTTAATAAAGACTTTCTTACTTATATAATAGTACTATAAGTATAGCAGACGTAACTTTACTAGCTCTAACTAATAGCGTAAATTACTATACGTTACTAATAAAGTTAATAAAGTTAATAAAGTTAATAAGCTACTTATTATAAATACTATAGCTAATAAGATAAGTAACCTTAAGAAAAGTAGATTTAGTTAGTTAAATTAAATCTAGTAGTTATAACTATACTAACCTCTAGGTAGTAGATAGTCTCTTTATCTCCTCCCCTATATAACTAGGTAATTATTATAATGTTAACTATTGCCTAGATATTAGTAGTATAGATTAACGCTAAACGGCCAGAATAACTACGGCTGATTTACTATAGATCTACTAGATTTATAGGGATATTACGCAGTAGATTTACTATATAATCCTATAATAGTTTCTTTTCCTTTATATATAAATTAGAACTAGTATTTACCCTTATTATTTATTACTGCCTATTAATACATATAGTTAACTATATTACTAACCTAGTAAAACTAACACTAATTAGTAGTTAACTTTACTATAACTACTACTAAAAATACTATAGATTAGTAAGGTATTATAAGAAGAGGTAATAACGTTATTAACTGCTTATAGAGGCCTAAAGTAGGCCTTACTAAAAAACGTTACTATAAATACCCTTATAACGCCGTTATACTACACGCCCTTATAGGTTAATTACTAAGATAATAATACCTAACCTCC